CCTCGACACTGGGAAATTCCAGCCGTATCGTAAACCTGGAGATGCACCTCCATCCATACTACGGAACATCCCTGATATGATCAATGTACATCAAGTACATTGACCCAACGCCACCTGCTGCAATGAACGGCAGCAAGCAAAAAAGAAAAAGGAAACGGAATGTGGTGTGGTTTAACCCGCCATACTCCAAGAGTGTCCGGACCAACATCGCCGGCACCTTCCTCCGGCTGATCGACAAGCATTTTCCTAAGGGGTCCAAAATGAACAAAATCTTCAACCGCTTCAATGTGAAGGTGAGCTACTCCTGTTCGCCGAATATGGCCCACATTATCAGTGGCCACAATAAGCGTCAATTGTGCGTCCAGGAACTGGACAAGCCGTGCAACTGCCGTCGCAAGGACCAGTGCCCTCTCAACGGAGCGTGCCAAGCAACCAGCATAGTCTACGCGGCGGAGGTGTCGAGTGATGGCCACAGCGATGGGCCCAAAACCTACATTGGCAGTACGGAGCCTCCATTCAAACTTCGATACGGGAACCACAAGACATCCATCAAGCTTCCTGGATACCGCAAATCCACGGGCCTCTCAAAGCATGTGTGGGAATTAAAAGATAATGGCAAGACGCACGACATCAAGTGGCGAGTGGTCCAGAAGGCCAAGGCCTACAGCAACATAACAAAAAGATGCAGCCTGTGCCTCGAGGAGAAGGCGAGAATAATCACTGCCGACAGGAGATTGAGCCTCAACAAGCGGTCGGAGTTGATATCCAAATGTCGACATCAAAATAAATTCATGCTGTCAACACCGATAACATGATCTTCTCGGCACCCTGCCTCCAGGCAGTAGGGCCAGTTGATAGCTCTCTGCCGCCTTGTCACCATCATCATCTTTGCACCGCGGAACTCACTAGCTAGGCCAGCTCAGTTTTATCACCTTTATCCTTTATCACCTTAGTACCGCGATCCAGTTGATAGCGCCCCTAGCGCTTTCTGTTATCCTTGTCCCGCCATACTGGGCTTTAAATAGTGGGTTATTTTTCTTGATGTTCATATCACCTGATGAGTGCCTGAGATGGCATGAAACTTTAAGTTGTGACTGATCAAGCCATCTGTTGTTCTGACTAGTGTGTCACGGCTCTACCTTCCCGGTATCGAGCTCTCTTGGATTTCTGCTGGAATTCACAACAGTGTGTACTACTACTACATGTATAATAATTATTATTATGATCGTACACTGACTCCCTCTGTATAACTTGTGGTGTAATTACGTATTTTAATTATTATTTATGTATTTTCATCACCCCTACTGAACCTCTTCTTCACCTAATGAATATTATTGTTTCGACAGTAATGCAATGTTCCACTTGTCCGTGAATTGCAACGCAGCGAATCACACATACATGTATTACAATTACCCAATGCTGTACACAGCAAGCTGTTTCGGCCATAAAGGGCTCATCAGTACAGCTACGAGCTAAACAGGCCGAGCTGCCAGACTTGGTGCAAAGGAGGCACCACAGACATTAAGATAGCTCGTCGCTCTTCACCTCACCCTTTCCACGTCCATAACGGTCTCCTCACTGCGAATCAATTTCCATTGCACCAATTTAACACCACGTTCTACATGTACCTTTGTTGCTTGTCCGTGCAGTGATTACAGGGAGACATTTTGTAACTGGGTATTGCGTACTTAACCTGTGTTGTGTTGGCCGGTAGTGCCAAGATGTATGCAAGTAGGTTCCACAGCGAAATGGAGCAAGAGGAGCAAGCAGTTTGGTACTGTATCATTGTCTGCAGATACCGGTAAGGTGGCCTATTCAGACACACATGTACATGTATACAATGCTGTATACAGCAAGCTGTTTCAGCCATAAAGGCCTCATCAGTTCAGCTATGCGTTTTATCTACATATTACTACATGTCCGAAAAGTAGCGGGGCAATGCGTAATGCAGCAGCACTAGAGCAGCCTACCAAGAGTGCTCAACGAGGCTAATGCCGAGGAGCGTAACCCCAGAACTAAAGGCCCACATGAACCAGTATGATCAGTCATGTACATATACATGTACATCCGGGGGCCTCTGTACCACGGGGACCGAGGCAGAGTCGCAGGCGGGTCTGTACTGGACAGCAGCAGGTGTACTACATCCAGAACCAACATTCCAATGACTCGTCTACTTCACACCTCGACAGACAATTGTTATAGCTTGATTGATGTCCCCTCTGTTTGCTGATTAGATTTTCAGCTACGCCTCTGGAGCACTTGGCAAGCACAGCGTGAGCATGTTTCTTCATGAGCTGAAAGCAAGCACAGACATCTTGAATACTGCCAATTAAAAGTCAATTCAATTACCTGGCGTTCTCGCCGGCCGGTGTAGCTCATCGTTATTACATTAACCATCTGAGAAGGGAGCAGGCCATGGACTTCGAGCCCGAATACGCACATCTGGATCTAGTCCCACTAGCGCGAGCGACGTCTTTTAAGATACGGTGTGTGGCGTGCATAATGCACTGTACCCCTGTGGTTCGCTAGCCAGTGTCTTCGGAGGTTCAGGGGAGCTTGACTCAATCCTTGGTCAGGTAATCTAAATGCTGAACTACTTTGACGCAGTCATGACAATCAGAAACAATGTACATTGTAAACAGTTTCCTCTGAGACAAAAATGCGATAATACTCATAAAAAGGACACACTTCAGGCTCATTACAAACATCTTGAAAGTTTTTGTCTTCACAAGTATACTTTCAAGCCTTCTCATCAGGTGAAATACAGGCGATTGTGTCACGTGTACGCAGTGCTAGATTGCTGAATGTTTCGGAAGCTGTTTACATCCACACAAGGAAACCCAACCTTTGCAAGCAGAAACAAATCAAATTCACACTTAGGCTGTTAGGTAGGTCGTCAAAACCTCGTTAGTTACATGTATGTCCAGTGGTTGTCTCTTGTTGTCTCACTACATGTCGCGCTTATTGAGTTTTCTCGCATTTGCACCTTTGTGTCATTATTGCAATTTTCGCTGTTTACTTTAGCTATCTTCTTTATTTCTTTCTTTCTTTTTGCGCTGTTTTACCACCTTTTTACTGTATTTAATCCACTGTTCCTGTTCCTTTTCCCTTGCCTGTATTTCACCTGATGAGAAGGCTTGAAAGTATACTTGTGAAGACAAAAACTTTCAAGATCTTTGTAATGAGCCTGAAGTGTGTCCTTTTTATGAGTATAATGTACATTGTACTTCGGGTAATTACTTAATCCTAATAATTATAGCTCGAAGAGAATTGGTGAGCACTCATTCCCTGGGCACTGCAAATTCACAACTCATTTCATTTCACATAATCATTTTCAACGTTTCGGCAAATTGCCATCATCAGGATACAATATGAAGCGGAAGTCTGCCAAGGAGCAGTTATATACACTAATTTGTGTTCTTAGGTGTTGATAATATTATTTTATGACTACATATGTTACCTCAGTGCTAGAAAAATTAGGCTGTTTAAGGTTTTTTTTTGTTTTAATTAGGCGTTAGGCTGTCGTTCGACTTGAGATTCTCCGCGAAACTCAGTCATCATCCTGATTGGCTGCAGATGTCACTAAACGGTGAAATCCTTCAGGAAAGAAAGGTCTGGAAACGTTACATGATTAGTCATGGATTGTAGAGATATGCTGCGCTGAATGCTCCTTTCTGAAGGCTCGAATAACACCATTCATCTTACGTAGATTCGTTTGACAGACATGAGAGGAGACTCCAAATTTATCTAATTGTCACTTCAAAAATTATCGTCCTGCTCAACCCTAATTGACGAGTGCACAATACGAAATACTGCTATAATGACCCACGCACGACCCACCGTCTGCCTAATAAGAGTATCAGACTATTAATACCAACTGTAATAATTGCATTAAGATTCATCAGAATAGAAGCCGCTAGTACCTTCCACTCCACCCACATGCTAACTTACCCGCATCATCTGTCATCGTGACTTTGGCAGCAGAGGACGTTAAATTTCGCTTGCTAATAATGCATTACGTGCCCTCTCCTTCCCATGGGTTCGTTGTATACGCACAAACAATAATGAGGCGTAGAGATAGAGAAAGAGATAAAAAGCGAGAAATAAAGAGAGAGAGTGAGAGACAGACACGTAAAGAAAGGCAGATACAGAGGCAGGGAGATAGACAAAGGCCGACTGACAGAACGACCGACAGACATACAGACAAACAAAGGAGAATGAGAAAGAAAGAGAGAGAAAACCTGAAAGATACTTAGATTGATGAATAGTAAAGTAAAATGACCAAGGAACTACAAGTTACGCTTTAATATCCACTATCACCACCAGTTACTAAACAATCGGCTCATGCGATACAATTGCACAAAACTAACCGACAGTACTGAAGTTCTACGACTAACTGGCTACCACCTCTAGCACGCCGTGGGAGCGCACTCCAACAGCCTTCCAACTTTGAAGGTTCTAAGTTACACGTAAATGAAAACATAGGAGGGAAAGGTGTGGTGTTAGTGGAAATTACAGCGTAACGTTTAGTTCCTTGGTCTTTTTTCTTTATTATAAATTAATCATTGGCTCTCCATCGGAGTCTATACATAGATTGATTGATTAATAGATTGATAGATAAAGAGATCTAGAGAGAGGTAAAGAGAGAGACAGAGAGAGACATAGATAGATAGAAAGAGAGATAGATTGCGTAATCCAAACGCCGAGATCATTAGTCCAAACGGGAAATACCCCACAACGTTTACCTGAGAAACATGCCTGCCAACAGGATGTGCGTTCTTGACAGTGGGCTGCTTCTTGATCTCGTGACTGCTTGTGTTAGTTCACGTGTGCCTGTACAGCTTTACACATTTTCATCCTTCATGAGTTTGTGTTTGATGCTGGCTGTCAGCGCCAGTGGATTGGGGCATCGACAAAACGCGGCTGGTTTGAATCATCAACGGCTCCTGGACGGTGGCAGTGGTGACAGAGTCAGAGAACAAAATGCCACTTTCGTGCAGATACATCGCACAACAAAGTTCTGTGAAGACGAAGTAAAGCCTCGAGTCCTTTGCGCGCTTATATATCTACATGTGAGTCAGTACTTTTGCAAGCCTGTTCAGTGCCGCCATGGCTCTAAACCAGCTGGTGGCTAAAGGGTTCCTGGTTCTTCTGGCTCTGGGTATCTCGCAACCAGTGGCATGTCAGCAAGTCGCAGGTGAGGCCCAAGCCAATGTTCGTGTTGTTTCCAAGCGCCACAGGTACATGTAACCCTACATGTACAATGAGTCGAATCCGGGAACGTTCAGATTCGATATGCTGAGGGCGGGACTCGGGAGCATGTGGAAAGATACAGATCTGTGCCATTCCTGTTTGCTCAGGCTCTGCTATAATGGCGAATGTTTGAATGAATAATAATGATTAACTCTTCCTCTCCTCTCCTCCATGCGCTCTCACAGCCGACACACTGCTACCCTCAGTAGCCATTACACACACCAACCATTTGAAATAATAATAATAATGATTGTACGTTAAACTTGCGTTTACTACAAAATACGGACAATACGTTTGCTAACAGGAGCATACATGGACATTGTACATGTATCTGGTAGATGCGACATGAACCAACCTACATGCACCAACCTACATGCATCAACCTTCGTGCAGCTTCAAATGTCCAACACGATGACTTGTCCATTTCATTGTATGACAATGCTCCCAATATGTTGCCCTTAAGGCGATGAATCTGGCTACAGATACCCACACATACACTGCTGCTCAATGAAGTCCAGTCTCGTCATTCAATTATGCATGCGTTGCGCAACTTTGCTGCAGAAAAAGTCAACATCGTCTACGCCACATCGCTTGTCGCATCGCGAAAGTTGAGCCAAGCTCAACTTCTGCGATGGCCCAGATACGGCAGTTGCGTGGGCTGCAAAGTGCATACGAGTTGTGGATTTCCCGGCTTCGCGGCTGTCGCATCACGCATGGCATCGCAAACATGCTTTTGTGAATCCCGCTTTAGACCTGCGAACACTGAGATGCAAAATACTACAAGGCGAAAACTTTAGTGACCCGACTGGATTTCATTGAGCAGCACTGGCAATGCATTCAGCCAGCCAGCCAGCCTCGCTAACGCTTCTCTTGGTCGATATAATTTCACTCTTCGCGTGAGACTCGGCTAAAAGCCGAGGGTTCCGCCTCCGTAGGAACGCCACCACCCTTTAAGGATCACCTCGAACACGTGATAATTGATGTTTCCATGTCCGGAACGACTTCAAATACACCTCTTACAGCAAGAACAGAACATAAGGGGAAACTGTTCCAACAAATATGGGTCTAAACAATTACATTGAAGTGCTTAAATGCCCACCTTAGCAAGGCATTTAGAAGAATTCATTTTCGGTCACGGTCGTTCCTTGTTCCCGTTTCAATACAGCTCCGTCGTGTATGATGGAATGGCTAGTACTGGCATTGGGTGACTCTGAAGACCTTCAGAGATACGAGAATGTTATTAAGACTACCGACCCGCCGCTGGACGAATCGTCAGTGACACCTGATGACGCATTTCTCCTCGGAAACGTCTTTGGAGGTGATGCAGTGGCTGGAAGTGACCAGCTGGCCACACAGTTCGTCAATTGTATAGGTAAGTGCAATGTAGGTTATACTCGGTTGTATATATGCAAGTCAGTATTTACGAAACCTGCCTTTTAGCCTTGCTTACAGAAACCCTAGGTCGTTTACAATGACTCCTGTAACGCAGCAATATGAGCTGATTTGTTTAGCCTTTCCTAATCAATATTAGCACTCTTTACATAATAAAAGACAGCCATTCACTCAGGAAAAATCGTACGTACTGCGTCATCGTGATGTGAAAATCCACTCTGATTTTTTTATTTTTAGACTAGTGGCTGAGGGTGTGTAAACTTGCCCCTAGATTGCAAAAAGCCCACCATTATAATTATGGACTCGGAAGGAGAACCAAGGATAAATTTATACAGAAGAAAACTGAATCAAGGAACTACAAGTTACGCTATAATGTCCACTAACACCACCAATTATTAAGCTAAACAATCAGCTCATGCGAAACCTTTGCACGACACTGACTGACGGTACTGGCGTTCTACAACTATGTAACTGGCTAACAGCTCTAGCACATCTTGGATGCTAGAGCTGTTAGCCAGTTAGTTGTAGAACGTCAGCTCCGTCGGTCAGTGTCGTGCAATGTTATCGCATGAGCTGATTGTTAACAGTTTAGTAACTGGTGGTGTTAGTGGACAGTATAGCGTAACTTGTAGTTCCATGGGCCATTTTTCTTGGTTATAATTATGCTTTTTATTATGTGTTAGGATGCTAAGTTAACTACAGGGCCAGAGATAGCCAGAGATCGTACGTCCTAAGTGTTACCAAATGGAGGCCAAAAAGTAGTTTCGCCATTATGCAGGGTTTGTACAGTGCTGGCAACTGAAATCCGACCCCTTGAGCGGTGCGCTCACATCGCAAAGAATGTGAACCCACCGCTCAGGGGGTCGGATTTCAGTTGCCAGCACTGTACATAATTTAAAGTGCATGTACCAGTATTTTGCTAGGTGGACTGCTTCAGTGCATCATGATGCTGCCATACGCCTTGCTCTCTACTTTTCGTCGTTGGAACACTCCGGCTCTACAGCAAAGACCTATCTTCTAAAATGCCTGTGGTGCCACCTTTGCACCATGGCCAGTAGCTCTGTATCTGTATATGTACCTGTACTGATGAGGCCTAGATGGACGTAACAGCTTGCTGTCTACAGTATTGGGAATTCTAAATTTGTTCTTTTTCTCCAGTTATTATTGCTGGTTGATGATCACCTTGGTACATTGTACTTCAGTATAAAAGTCCAAGTCCCTGCAAGTATCCCATTGTCAGCTCCCTCAACACTATTAATATCCCAGCAATCCCGTAGCTAGGGTCCAGCGGATAATGCTCCAAAAATGTTCGTATAATGCTAATCATAATGCTCCAAAAAACTACCTTGTAATGCTGATTATAATGCTTCAACAAGGGCTATAATGCTCTTGGTTTGGAACAAAAAATGGAAGAAGTGCTGCACATTGTCATACTTCCAGGAAATGATGCATATGCTGTAGTCGATGCGCCTCTGACAATGCCGCAAAATCTCTCACGAGCTCCATCACTTCTTAGCACTATAAGACATGATCGCGTCTCCATTGGCTGCTCTGCACAGTTGCAACTTTGATGCAGGGCTGTGGCTGGCATAGTGGGATGGTCTAAGACCATGATTGAGAAACAGAGGGTACCAGGTTCAAGTCCTGCTTGGAAGCGGAAGGATTTTTTCCAGCCGTGCTGCGACCCTTAGTTAATTGGGAACTCGTGGCCTGGCACGAGGAAAACATGGATGCAGTGAATGGGATTTTCGGTCTTTGACCACTTTCTGGTGACCTGATCTACTCACCTCCCACCGCTTTAGGAGCTGCATCTGCGCCTTGATCCTTGAAGGGTGGTGGCGTTCCTACGGATGCGGAAAACCCGGCTTCCAGCCGAGTCTCACGCGAACCGTGAAATTTTTTTAATTTGTGGCTGAATAGTGGGTGTATCAAATCTTTTCCCTTACTTATCCATGTAGTGAGAGGTGAAGCCATTATTACAGGTGATCACTGAGATGAAGTTTATCTTAGCAAATAGTATTCCTGCCTGCAGACAAGCTGTCACTGCTTCCACTCTGCGAAAATTGTCTTCATCTGAAACAGCTCACTTGAGGCCAGTTTCTAAGAGACGATCTCAGATTGAGATCCCTCCCATTTGTGGAAATCCAGAAAACATAATGGTCAGACGTTATTTTGCCGCTCTACATCCTCTGCCTGCGCTGTCTTCTACTCCTGAGGTTGCGCCGAGACAAATGGTTGGCCACAACGCTCTTCTTTCTGATAGCATTTGACTTTAGGCCTTGCATAACAACCGTCAACGACAAACTGTACGTGCTTCACCAGGAAAGCAAGACACGCGCTGCTGAGCACTCAAATCGACTTGGTATTGCGTCCATGAGAAATTCTACAAGTAGTTCTTTTCGAGCCTGCTGAGCTGGACTGGGCAGAAGCAGCTATTTGGAACAAGCTCTTTCTGTTTGTAGCCGCTCCATCATCCAGGTCCAAATTTATCAATCGATCAGTGTTCAGTATCGCTAGAGATGTTATGGCCAAAGCCTATGGCATAACAGGAAACCTCCTCTTCGTCTGCGGTTTGACATTTTCTTCGCGTAGACCTACGTCAAGTCTCCTCCATAACTCTCCATGATTTCTAAAAAATTCTCCTTGTAAATCATCGTTACAGATTTTGTGTGACAGCCTCAGTGGCAACGTTGGGCATGCTACATCACCTGTACATTTACCTGACTACATTGCTACATAAAGACTTTATGTAGCAATGGCATTATGTGGCCAGGTAAATGACTGTAGCATTAGGGCTAAAGGTGTTACAAGTCTGTAAACAATCACAAAGTCATCTGGCGGTAAAATTCATGGCGTTGCACCTCGTGGCTATAGTCGATTGTTGCCAAAACCTGAGATTTCCCGACATTATTGACAATGAGTTTCTTCTTTTCTAAATTATGTCGCTCAAACCTCACATAATGCTCGTTTTGTACCTTTGTAATGCTCCATAATGCTCTGATGCTCGGATAGTCTCCTAATGCCGAATATAATGCCGGCATTATCCGTTGGACCCGGCCCGTAGCTACGCAAAAGACTTTACTTCAGTAACGTCTCGTGCTAGCCAGGGTCAACACAGCTTTAACTCAGTTCCCAATATACATGTATCGTTGCACAGGCTTATGCGTATTGTGACGAAGAGAATAACCGTGCTCAAGACTGCTGTCCACAATCTTTTCTACAGTCCGTCGTGAGCCAATGCGCTGTTCCTCGCGGCGTCCGTGTGGAGCGAATGGCCAATGCGTTGCCATAGCAATGGGACCTGGTGAGCAGTCGTACGCCTGCGAATGTTCCGATGGTTACCGAGGTGATCGATGCGCTGAAGGTGAGAATGGCAGAAAACATACTGGGACGATCTTGAAATACATGTGCATGTGGAAACAAGGATTGTCCTCAAGCATTAATAATGGCCAAACTATGCAAAAATATCTCCTGCCCAGTCAGCCTCGTGTTTGTTGGAATCAGACACATTGCACGATTTGTCGAGTTGTGATTAACGTTTCCATGCGAACTACTAGTATCCAAAAAACTGACAGAGTACTGGACCATTTGATACCATAATTGTACGTAGCACCAGTCTATCACTGTACCAAACGATTGCCTCGTAAACACATGACAATGATGACATACATATAGAACTTTTAGAAGATAGCGCTAGTGGCGCCAACTACACCGTACATAGTGAGACAATCAATATCACACAAGAGAGAGATTGGAAGCTTTGTCGCAACTCTGAGTTTCACGTATTACTACAATCATCAGGCAATTCATGACTCCAAAACGGGCCGCCTGAACATAAGGGGGGAGCAAGGTGGGTAATGTCTGAGGGGTATCATAGCGCAAGAGACAGAGACAATTAACATCGTCAAACTACAGTGCGGACCGGACCATGGTGCTACTACACTGTATGTCAAAACAGTAACAACTTTCGCACATACGAGTCGTACAATGATGTACGTCTTCTGCACACACAGTTCAGGTTTCGGCTTGGCAATGTACACCGCCTCCACTGCTCCAGCACTGCAAGGTGAGGTTTGGTGCGCTCTCGCGCTTGAATGGTGAAGTGAGAGCCGAGTCCTTCTCACTATCGTCCGTTCGTACGCTTGTATTATGCAGGGCAGTTGAGCCGCTGGCGACGTCTCTGCCGGACGAGGGGTCACACAATGTTCCACATGTCCATCCTGCATCGGCCACTTGTTGTTGAGCGTTGTTGTGAAGACAAAACACATTATCAAAACTGTCTTCTCTTCACCAGTACCATACACTCACCAACCCTGAGAGAATCATTCATAATTTTTACTAAAACTATGCCCATCTTCTGGTGTGCAGCTGTTGCTCCTCCAGCGCCTCCCATGCGAGCGCCATCACCGGGCAAGATTGAGGAAATCCTCCGCAAACTTGCATCGCTGGAGACGCAATCTTCAGCCATGTCGCTTACACTCCAGACACTCCAGGAGCGCATGGATGCATTGGAGACTCGTGTTGACAGTCATAGCAACGTGGCAGCTGATCTCAAGAAGCTACAGGACAGCGTGAAGGCAGCAGAGCAAGCATCGGCTGCCAAACAAATCGAACAAGACACACGGCTATCGGCAATGGAGGATGCATTGCGCAGCCTGTCGTCCAAGGCACCTGCTGAAATGGACACCGCAACTGATGAGGCACAGCCACATGCAACTACGGAGAGTCCAGCGGCCCCGGTGAGGTCATCGATGGTCCTGCTTTGCAGCCATGCTGTGCAGGAATGGGGAAGGCAAGGGGAGAGGGAGTGGTGTGTGTGGGGGGGGGGGAGGGGGGGGGGGGGAGGAGGGGAATGGTGACCGGAAAAAATGGACTACATTACATGTGCATGCTCGAATGCAGTCTCCTGAACAATTCATTTAACAATCAATCTGTAATTAAAGTATGCAGGCTTTGTGAGAAATATTTTGTTTGTGGTGGAATATCCCCACTCGGCCCGCTAGTCCGTCGTCGTAATAAGTGATATGACTGGATCACTATGATGGTGTGATTATGACTTACGTGCAGGGTAACAACATGCAAACGACACCAAGCCCGGCGAATCTTCCCGGATCCTGTCGTGAAGTGCAGCAGCGGGGTATCACAACATCTGGCCAACATAGAATACGGACAGCGGACGGACAAAGCATCCAGGTAACGGTATGATAACAGGAGCGAATGTGGCTAGAGAGGGACAAATTGTAGTGGTGACGGACAGTGAATTTGTCTTTGAAACATGTAGATAGTGTGTTCATGTATGAGAGGAGTACAGTAATTGCGTTTCCGGATATGAGTAACACGTGACAAGGTTCCTAAGGTTATGAGTAAAGTATGGTCTCCTATGGTTATGAATAAAATATTTTATGATGGTGAGACAATGACGACAGACGCATTGGTCATTGCTCTCTGCGAAAGAAAGACTACCGACTGACATGTGAAACGCGACGGAATGCCGCCATTTCACACAGGAAGGCTGTCCTAAATTTGTCTGGTATTCTTGCTGTTCTTTGCACATATCAAGGTGTATTGCGAGATGTCGAGACGAGGAGGTGGTTGGACAAGGATTGGCAACATCGATGTGGAGGATCATGGAAGTTGTCCAGGATCCTTGGTGCGGAGTAGGCATAGCAGAGCCATGTGCGGCAGACCCTCGGACAGCACTGGCGGCTGTTCGCTAGCTCGATTTTCAGCCAATTTCGGATCGTACACGGAGGTGATGGGCTTCGTGACTGGATACAGGGTAGGTAGTGAACGGTACGCACGCATAAACACACACGCACATACACGCACACACACAAACATACACATACACGCACACAAACACACACACACACACACAAACATGCACACTTACACACACACACAAACACACACACACACACACAAACACACACACTTACACACACACACACACACACACAAACTCACACACAGATACACGCAATGCATACATACATACTTCGTAGTACACGCAAAGCACTAGCCTGCACAATCACAAACTTCTCTGCACATAGAAACGCGTGTAAGAAGCTACACTCAAAACATCGCTCAATCCTCCAATCACCAATGTGCTCTTGGCTGACCCCCTCCATTTCCACAACGCATCCTTCGCCTTGAAAATGGCAGTAGTGGACAATTTGGTTTGGAATTATAATTATTCAGTCACCCAAAATCTTCATGAAATCCTTACGGTATGTTTATAAACAATTCGATAGAATATGCATGATGGTAGACAGGCCTCTCACTGTTCCCATTGTCTGTGATTCACATCGTCGTCGCATTCCGCAGTATCGTTGTTTCCTTCTGTTCATCAGCATCGTTGTTGTTTCTTGTGATGAGTAAATAGTGTGCACAAGTGTGTATCGATTACTTACATACTGTACTGAACTATGCACACCACCACCACATTGCGCTTTTGGCCGATCCAATTCCGGTATATAGATTGATATTGACAATGACCCTCCAGACAGCTGTTTTGCTCCTCCTGAGGCATAATACCGGTTATTATGATGTTTATTATAGTAGTGTATTACTTCGAAGTATGAGGTGCGATCCGTATTGTATTGTATTATTTTCATCTCTGCAGAAAGGAGCAGTTGACGCGTTTTCTGGAAGTCGGTATGACCCCATCACGGGGCCATATTTGGATGGTGTATCTATTACGTATGGCGTTCTAGGAGGCGATAGCCATCAGGAGCGTGTCCATCATCTTTGGTCCTACGCCGCCGGTTTCGCCCCTACCTACCGTAGTTATGCCCAATACATGTGCCCGTGTAGTCACGGGTCGACTGGCCCTCTTCCAGACTACGTGCAAGGTCATTGGTACTGCACTGACTACGGCGTTCACTGGCAGCCATGGCAATTCCGCCCGCGAAACCACCTCTGGTCCGCCAGTGGATCTTGCCATCGCCCGAGCCAGTGTTGTCCTGGTAACGACGAGAGACCCTGGTTCTATCGCAACCTCTCCTCGCCGGTGCAGAGCGAGATACAGCTGAGGCTCTGTCTGGATGAGCTGCCGGACAATGAAGATATTGTGATAGATCGTGCCGCCATTTTCGTACGCTAGGTCAGCCCGTGCGTGCTGCACACAAAAGGTTTCTTTCTTTACTAAATCTTTAGAATTATACAATGTTATCCTGCTGTTTTTGAGACTCGTATATCGGATCTCTTCTCTTTCTTGTGGCACGCTTCGTTTAATACTAGTAGTGCAATCATAACGAATGCCTGTGTGTGAACTGCTCTCAGCTGTGTGATCGGGGTTAGGGTACTGCCGAAGAGCAGCACCATGGATTGGCTCGACATTAGCCCATACATTGTACTTGTACTAAGTCTCGTGCTTGCTCACTGCCAAATTGGTCACGTGGATCTCCCCGGGAGACGGGAGAGAGGAACTCAAAAGGAGTCTTGGAAAGAGGATTAAATTGGCTATTGAACCACCCAACGGCCGACACCTTTCGACGCCTTCAAAACAGCAGGTTATGGGATTTATTGTCAGTTTGAGGGAAGATTATTTCCACCCCCAGGGGACTCATCCAGGGTTGGGCACCTTCGTTCGATTGGAGAGACAAAGGCGACGAGAGAAAGGAGATGAGCATCGCCCTCTACACTAGGTCAATTCAGGCGGTCTCTTAGTCAGGCTAACACAATCTGCCCCTACAGTCAGAATTTGGACTATGCGTGGCTAGCTACCTTTGCGTTTACCTAACGTGCACACGAGTATGCACAGGATGTGCATCATGTGCCTGCAGAGAATGTGCATTACACGAGTCACAGAGTACCACGCGTCTGTTTTGTTGTAACTAAAAGTTTCATGCCAGATGGCAATCTTCAGACAACTGATCTGAACAAGGTGCATTATTAATTTTGCCTGCACAGCATGGCCATGCACGGAGCGTGCATGTAAAGATTACCTTTCTGAAAGTCGTGAGAAGAGTGCTGCTACGTTCACGGGTCCACACCTTTCGTTTAGCCCAGTCCCCTATTACTTTCATTTCTCGGTGGGTGAATACACTGTACTTCGTCAGAGACTTTGTGCCAGGACCTAAGGCGAACATGTTCACAGTATTGTGTGCGATTATAGCAAAAACAAAACAAAAATTATAGAAAGTTTCACCGAGGCAGTGCGCCTTAACCTGCAATAGTGCTCAAATGAATGCGATTGGTTTTTGCCATGAACCTCAGAGTAACAACGAAACAGCCCTATTTTACTTCCTTTCGTGTACCTCTTGCATAGAAAGTTTCGCCCAATGGTACTACCCTCCCCTTGAGCAAATGTTGCCAATTCTCGCACATTGTGCGAATTTCCTGTCGGATTCTGTTACATGTAGCGGTAGATTTGTCTTGTGACCAGACGAGACCACACGACTCTTGTAGACACCAGGACGAGCATTTCACCAGCCACACTTCACGACAGCTAGAAGTTGCTCCTGACAAGCCTTATTTGTTTCCATTCTGATGACGGGAACATAGGAGGGGCAGATATTGATTGACGGACCTACTGAAGATGGCATCAAATTCTGTTACATGTGATGCTTTTCATTAACATTGGTGCTGAGACTTCCAGTTGTTCCCTTTTTACCTCTCCGCTCCCATGTCAACTTCTTTGATGTGATGATGGCCATGATGCCCATGACGTTGGAATAATTATTTGAAAATTTCCTGTATGTGAACTTTAGCCGTTGAATGTCAGGCTGTCAGCCATTGCTTTGGACGACAAAATGAAATTATTTCTCAAAGACGATTCACGCGGCTTCGTTGTAACCATGACGCGGGAAATATTTTCAATGAATTCAGAGCACCGTCACTCAACAGTCAGTTTGTCACTCAACAGTCAAGGAATAGCAACAAATCCAGACTGGTTGTGCCGCATTCCATAGCCTCGAATAAGTAGCCTGGACTGGAGAGAACGCAATGCCCAGCATTGCCCACAGAGTTATCAAGTTATGATAATGACGTGCATGAGTGAGTCACAGTTTGTCTGTATTTTTGCTGTCGTTGACAAGACTTTCCCCTGAGATACCTGGGTCACGTGAATTCGACCTGTCTCGGAGCAGTGTCACGATGACGTATGAGCAATCATTTGACCTAGGTACCTAGGGCTAGGCTGAGCTGAGGCACAAAAGTAAGCTACTTGACAAACTGAGTCGAACTGGCACCCAATGAGTGCGCTGCACTGCTTGTAGCAATCTATCTTCAATGCTGATTCTTTTCGGAAATTTTACTTTGTGGTTGGTGTCGCAGTAGAGAACAACCGTGGCCTTTCCCTCCGCGATCGTCATCTGTTGTCAGTAGTTTACGGCAGTGTTGCTGCGTGTGCCAGCAATGGCTCAGGGCACTTCAAGTTCCTTGGTGCTGCTACTCGCTCTGGTAGTCTTGCTGTGCCACTGCGCTACATTAGGGCTTGCGACGAGTCTTGTGGGCGATGAAGTGAACTGGAAATGGGAATTCGTCACGTATCCGGGCCCCACGCCAATGTTTGGCCAGGTAAGAACACATCATTTGCTAATTGTAACGCATTGCAAACTACATCTCGATTGACGAATTTGACAATGATTTCATTCATTGTCATGAATTTTTGTATTTTTTACTGAAAAGTGTTTGAAGGCAAAAACGAGCACAATCATGCATTTTCTTTGTTATTTTTGTCCCCGCTGGTCTCTCCCATATTGAACAAACCAGTCGTCACTCATGATGACCTTGCAAATCCTAAAAAGGTGTCATCTTTGTACGTGTAGTTTGGGCGTGACATTCTCCGAACAAACAATAATGATTGTGCCTGTGAGCACAGATAACCAAATTTTAATGTTTTGTTTTATTAACATATACGTACATATTGGGGCCCTCACATGTGAGAAATGCATTGGTTTGAGGGACACAATGGTGTTTTTTTGCAGAGAGCTTTGACTGCTGAGTGCTCTACTGCGATGAGAACTGCAGCACATCCACTCTGTGGATCTATTGAGAGTGAGTTTAAAATAAGTACAGATATCCCTATGTGAATGCGAATTGTGGCTGTCTGATGATGGCTGAAATGCGCGAAACTTGGAGTTATGGCTACACAGTTTTTGCCTCCGCTGTATGTGCATCCCTATATCCTGGATCCAGCGATCTCTATCGGGGGGGGGGGGGGGGGTCCAATATAGCCAAAACTGAATAGCTGTTACATGTACATAGACACGTATTATGGTTGCCAGTACAGTGAACCTGTGACTAACGACCACCACTCCTTGGGGCCAGAGAAAGTGGTCTTTAGTGGCAGGTGGTCCTTAGTTAGAGGTTTGCAACGCACAATAATAAAAGAATTATGTGAATGTGAGACCGTCCGTGCCTGGCGAAGTGGTCTTTAGTAACAGGCTGGTCGCTCGTCACGGTGGTCTTTAGCTACAGGTTTTACTGAAGTACGTTTATGAAATTTAGGGGGTTCCGCGGAATCCCTGGAACCCCTCCTGGATCAGCCCCTGTCATCCCTGCTGGACTCTGCGTGATTGTGCAGTATACGCACATTTTCACAGTTTTAGGGTGAAGCTATAATGGTTTTTTACCTTGCTGTTTGGCCGTAGAATTGTCTGATTTCCAAATCCTGCAGTGAGCAACTATAAGAATGTTTTGCTGACACTAGGACATCCGGAAGCAGTTTTTGATTGGTGCGGTAGTATCATCGGCTTTTATACGTTGTGTATGATATGGCGGGTATACATGCTCTCCACAGCAGGAAACATGACTTTCATGGCCAAAAGGTTGATCCGGTAATAACCTGACCAACAAACCGGACCGATTCCGGCTGGCCTTGATACTCATAATGTTCGGGTGAAAGAGGAAATTTATGTCTACATTTAAAATAGTTTGTGCCAGATTGCCATTTGACTTTCCAATTTCATGGCTTGTCTCGTCTTCTCCCCCACGTGACGATCCGTTCTCATTACGTGTTTTTTCTTCTTCTCTTGATGCGAGTATCTGTTTCCATTGGTTGTCGTGCTTCCTCTTAGATATGCCAGACATACACGAACGGCACGACACAGCACGATCAACTGCTTGTGTATGCCGGTTATCATGCATCACCGCAAGGACCCAGCAACAGTATGTATCGCTATGACTTTGTCACAGGACAGAAGTTTGGTATAACGCAGCATGCCCCGCCGGGTGGCAGCATACCATGGAAGCGGGACGGTGCAACTGCCATCATGAATCCTTCCAAGACAAAGATGATGATCTTCGGTGGCTCGCAGGTATGTTGATACGGACATGCCACAGATTTCCTCGAAACGTGCTCTCTCGTCGCTGTAGTCTTGTTTCTCGTCTTCTTTTCTTCCTCGCCTCTCTCTGTTCTTCCTCGCTCGTCTCTGTTCTTCCTTGCCTCTCTCTGTTCTTCCTATTCGTTTTTTTTTTGGGTTTTCTTACCAGTTTGAATCGTGAATCTAAATGAGCGTATCAGCAACAACACAACAACATGCAGTTCAATCAATGTACGTACACATCCTCCTCCCCCCCCCCCCCTCTCTCTCTCTCTCTCTCTCTCTCTCTCCTGACCCCCTCATTGTCATCATCATCATCGTGGTCGTTGTGGCATCGTTGTTAGTGTCACCATCTTTGTTGTCAAGTAAAATTTCAAAAATGGATGAACGCAGAAGACGCGTGCCCACTTGCATATTTCTCGTGCCTCTGTGAATGATCCAGGCTCCAGCCGAGGCTCTGGATGACACCTGGGAGCTGGACATTGCCACATTCACCTGGACTGAGTATACGGCTGGTGTACATGATGGGCCATCCCGCCGTTACGGATCATCCATTGTATACGTCCCGGAGATGAACTGTGCCTTGATGTTTGCAGGTAGGAACACGAGGGCTGTTTTCATTGCTGTCTACTTGTACATATAGGATGTGACAGAGCCGGGAGCTGCTTTAATTTGTGTGTAGTTCTGTCTAGAACTACAGGGATTTAAAAAACTCCTGGTTTACGTGAGACTTGCTAAGACGGAGGTTGTAGTCCAATTGCGATTGATCATGCTTTTAGCTCTACTATGCGCCATGGTGGGAACGCCAGTTATTGGTCATCTTCTACAGAGCAACTCTGACCTTGCTCTAAGAAAGTACTGAAAAAACGTATCTGTTGTGTGCTGTTGGCAATCTTCTACCTCTGCAGGATCATTCTGGCTGGAACGCCTCTACTACAATGATCTCTGGTGCTACCGATTTGACACGCATACATGGAGGCCAGTGCACCCGGGATTTGGTAGCTCTCCAGCACCAAGATTTGGCCATACAGCAGCGTACTTTGAAGGCCTCATGTACATCTACGGTGGTGGAGATGGCGTAAGTCTTCACCGATATAAAGCCGGCTGTATGTGTCACGCCTGCAGTGAAAAGAGACTTTGCACTTGCAACCAAAAATTGAAGGATGTCATTTTCGCCAAAGGAAGCTGCAAGGTTCTCTTTGCTGAATGAGGCACCTATCATACAGGCATATGCGTATGTGTGTGTGAAGCGGGGGGGGGGGGGGGAGTGCACGAGCGTGTCTGTTTGTATTGGGGTAGGTGGGCATGGGTAGATGTAGTAGGGTGTGACTTTTGTTGCTGTAGCTTCCACTGGTGGTGTTGTAGCCACTCATATTGAAGCTCTTTTTCACCACATACACTGCACAGGGTGACACCCTTTGAGTTTGTGCAGCCATTCTTTGATGCATGCGTATGCACGCTGTTGTGTGTACATGAGTTTCTCTTCATTTCTGTCTTTACCCCTATACGCTTGTAGAGTGGTGATTTCAATGAGGTCTGGGCTTTCAGCATAGAGAATCAACAGTGGGGAGTGGTGCTGAGCAAGCCTCCACCGGGACGTGCGTGGATGCAGAGTGCAGTTGTCAACAAGCACTGGGTTGTCGTTGGTGGAGCTAGGAACTCAACCGATAACATGTGAGTAAGGGCAACTGTGTGGTGATTGCGAGAAAGCGTGTTGTGCAACCGAGCTGCCTACAGTAAGTCTATAAATATTCGGCCCATTCAAATTTCGGCCTCCCCCGGGGCTAAAACCCATTTCGGCCACATGAAATTTTTGGCCTGCATTGCTGCCGCCTGCACTGAAACTCGCAAAACAAAATTTCGGCTGCCACAAGTTTTCGGCCAAACATGACGAGGACGAAAATAGCCGAAAATATATATGCGCCGAATATTTGCTGACTTACAGTACAGTATGTAATGATGTTTTTGAACTGTGTATCTTCCCATGTGTGTGCTTGTGTGGTTATCTGTATGTATCAATGTGTCTGCGTGTGTATTAGTGGGTGTTTGTGTGTGAGTGTGCGTGTGTTTGTGTGGGTGCGTGCGGGCGTGGGCTCGTGCGTGCGCGGGTGTGTGCGTGGGCGCACGTATGTGTGTGTGTGTATGTGTGTGAGTGTGTGTGTGTGTGAGAGAGTATGTGGGTCTGTGCGTGTGCGGTAGAGTGTATGTAAGCGCGATTGCTTTGTCGCGTGTATTTGTTTTAATGCCTGGACTTTATTTTACTTCTCTGCAGTGAGGTGTGGAGATGGCCGATCAACCCCGGGAATGCACTTGGCGAATGGGAAAAGGTAAGCTAACTATTAACTTCTGCTAGTGTAGTAATAGTATTTCGCTGTGTTCACAGTCAACAAAGAGGCGCTTGAACTTTGAACATCTTTGCTATGGATTTTGGGAAATAGAAGTACAGCTGGTCCCCAAAAAAACTCAAGTGCGTATTCCTGTGCTATAAAAAAATGTAATATATACCGTGCTGTCTGCAGATTGAGTACCATAATTTATCATGCATACCTCTGTGCATGCATACAGTGGATGTCCACTGACAACAGGAATGGAGAATGAACTAGCATACATTCTCTGGGTCAGGACTAGTGTCTGTGCATATTATAGTCCTTCCAACGCATAGTAGCCTGCATGGCTGGTGTGTGTGCGTGGTAATTCCAGTAGATTCACCACGCTCTGAATAATTGGTGTCTGAAGGTTTAGTTTTCGACAGATAGTGTCCTGTCATACTCGAGACTGCGCGTAGTGTTGTCTGGCCAACTGTGGTTCTAGCCTGATGTATGTGTACATGACTTGCTATTTAGAGAAAATGCTATTGCTCTGTTGCTTGCCTGTGTGTACATGTGTATGTGTGGGGGTTGGGGGGGGGGGGGGGGAGGGTGTGCGTGTGTGTGTTCGCGCGGCCTGCACACGCTGGGTTTGGCGTTCCCCGCCCGGTGGACAACACGTCTCCTGGTCTGCCCCGTATCGAGCCACATAGCCAGTCATGGCAGTGGAAGAAGGAAGGAAAGGAAGGAAGGTGTGTGTGTGTGTGTGTGTGTGTGTGTGTGTGTGTGTGTGTGTGTGTGTGTGTGTGTGTGTGTATGTGTTTCACCTGTCCTGTCCTATTGTCAACAGGACAGGTGTGTGTGTGTGGGTGTGGTTGTTTGTGAGGAGCCCAACTCCTAATATTATACTGAACTCTCTCCTTGTCCGGTGTTCTACCTCATTCCGTGTTGTAGGTAGAAATGGAGGGACCAGCCCTGATTGGCCGAATGGATCACTGCGTTTTCAACCATCTGAACGGAAGTGCTGTCTATATGCTAGGAGGATTTAGCTACGAGCGGCGTGGACCAATCAGCGACTTTCTGCGGTTCTTCTATAAGAACGAAGATTACAACTAATCCAACAGAACACGAGTGCGTTCTTCAATAGTCTCAATTTACCTATTCCCCGCCACAGTCCCCCTACTTCTTGACTGATGTGAATATTCTCTCCTAGAGATGTTACTTGATCTATTCCTTGCCCATCCACCATTGAACGAATTATTTGTGCAGATTGAGATATTGTTTACTCCAGTGCTAACCTCTGCAGACTGATGCAGCCGGCGCAGTCCTTTTTATTTTTGCAATATCTGCGTTTCGGGACATTATGATTCACTATACAGTACATGCATTTCTACTATTTCAGCAGCAGCAGACAGCTTCAAAATAGGTGCAGATAAATTATGAGACCCAAGAAATTATTGCTCTTTCCAATTCTACCTTCACCTCCTGTATTCATCATCACCATGCTCTTCAAAATCATTTTGCGTTGCATGAATAAACTTAGGCGGGGAGTGGGGGGGGGGGGGGGGGTCGGTTGGCATGGACGGTTGTGTGAGACTCAATGTCTGTGTTCTAAGCAGGTGGAATATTGGGTCATCACGGTCAATTTTCTTGACATGATGGTGAGCATCACAATCACTCGGCAATGTTCATGATTATTTCTGATATTAATGTTACTGATTGACAGAATGGAAAGGGGAAACGTCTGTGAAACAATGTACTGTCACCACCAGAACTCGAACCGGGGACCCTCGCTTGAGGCCAGCAACGCTCCAGCCACTGAGCTGTGGTGGAACTGTGATGCCAGCAGAGACCTTTCAACATTGTTTTCAGACTTCTCTGATGTTTATTTTTTAGACTAAAACTGTTGACCATTCAGTAGTGGATCGAAAAGCTTCTTCTGCTAAAAAGAGAGCGCTGCGACCAAGTGCAAATGCAATGCATGACTGAGTCAGTCCTGGTCGTTGAACCTTGTATCATTACAATCATGTAGTCTTTTTGTAGACCGGGCCTGAAGCTAGTAGATCTGGACACAAGCATTCACAATCTGGCCAGCATCAAAGTGTGTTCATGCTGGTGTCGTGCCTGCTGCAGTGCTGGTGACAGACTCTGTCACTGCGAGAGAGAGTCTCGTGATAATTATGATAGCTTTTCTGAGCTTGTTTTACGCGTGTTCAGTGGTGTTTACAAGCTCATGGCGGAGGATCAGCATAGATCTAGATGTAGATCTACCACGTCAATCACATGATTCCAGCAAGGGATGTGTTCCGCTTGTTTGCCTGGTGCGTGACTCTGGATTTTCGACACGAGCTACAAAGCGTCAAAGCCGGTTCTGCTGCACCTCTGAATGGTCATGTTGATTTCGACAGTCAGTACTGAGGTACATACTACTACTACTATCATACTAGTATGTCGATCCGGGAACTGCAATCTTATCAGATGTCAGGAGAGAAGAAGACACCTAGATTATCTAGCTGTCGTGCGAAGAAACATTTCATAGATGGAAAGGAGAAAGTAAGAAGTACGTGATCGAGTCCTGGCTCGCTGCGCCAAGCGCGAAGATGATTCGTGCGCTCGCTTTCCTCGTTATTTCAATTCTTTCTCCGAACGGCTTCGGAGGAGTGTTGTGCACTGCGACGAGCCGCAAAGATGTTGCTGTCAGCTGGAAATGGGAGTTTATGAATGCTTCGTTCCCGATCATGTTTGGTCAGGTAAGTGTGTCAGTCAAGATTTCATGTATAGGTAGTTCACTGGAGAGCCGATAAATGTCTTTTGCATGTGCCGTTTTCTTTGATTGTTCTAGACTAGTGCGAGATTGGCACAATGTGTGGTAGAAAGGCCTGGAACGATAAATTTGAGAGTCCATCAATTTTTCATTCATTTGCAACGTGTTATCGAAAGTAATCAAAAATACTTTCGCACTGGGAAATATCCGCTGTACAAGTGCAACACCGTGACTTTCATCACCGAACCTGCTTACTTGGCATACATGTACATCACAGGCATACATCACAAATGCGGTGGAATGAGATCTACAGTCAACTTCGCTTATAACTACACTCGGCGGGGCATCAAACAAATGTCCTTATTCGCGAAGTGTCGTTATACCCGAAGTCTCATTATAACGAGAGAGCTTGGAAGCTCAGGGCCTTAAGCGATGCTTTTTTGCCTTGAATACCTAGACAAAAAAAAGCATAGGGATGTTATAAATTCTTATAAATTTCTACTTTTGTTTTTAGACATAACCTGGGATTCGAACCCGCACTATCGCCCTGCATGCATCCCCTGATACACTTCGCATACATACTAACTCTTCCAAGTTGCTTAAAGGGGAAGTCCGGTGAAAAATTTAAATTTCACAGTCCGTAGAGTTCGGGGCGCTGAGTCGAATGGTCTTCGTCCGAGGAGGCTGCGGCTTATGGTTCGTCAGATACGCCCAATCGAACATGTGCGAATTTGAGCGCGCATCACCCAGATCCAGGTGATGACGTCACAGCGTGCAGCCAGGTAGCCACACCATCTAGTTGTGTACAAAATTGGCCATATTCGGAGCGCGTTTGATTGGGGAACCGTTTATCGCAGCTTCTTCGGACCAAGACCATTCGATTCAGTGTTACAAACACTACGTACCCTGTGATTTTCAGCTCGGTAAACCTGGAGGTTATACCGTATTTTAGCCGTTTCCGAGTTGTACTTTTCCGTTAGCCCGTCTACATGGTCTATGCGCTCTGCGCTGCGTGCATGCAGTGCATGCGTGCAGTGTGTTTATATCTAGCTGTAGTGCAGTCAACAAACTCATGTCACAACTGACACAAGACTCAGAAAACTAGTCAACACACGGACTTGTCATGTACTACACTCGTATCAGTCGTACAGTCATGTAGTCAGAGAACGTGCGTTTCTCCTTGCCGGTGCCGGTGGTTGTGCTTTGAGAAAGAAAATTTTAGTTTTCCGCACCCGCGGCGCCTCATTATTTTATGCTACAGCGATGAGTGCACAACCGTGACAAGTGACAAAACAGCGAACAGCTCTCGGACCTAGAACTTTCAGATTCCATAGCGTTGCGAGCGAAGAGTCGTGCCCGTGGTTCAAAGAGCCTGCACTGTTCTCCAATTGAGTAGTCCGAAATATTCCAAGTTCGCACCAAAACATCACCATGTGGCAGGCTACTGCAGTACTGGAGTCTAAGCGAATCTAATCGGTATGGAACAACATTTAGAGCACTCGCATCACTCTTCTCCATTTTGGCGACCCTGCTCTCCAGCGATCTGATAATTACATCAGCCTCGTCTGCAATAGCTGCTGCTTCTTCATCAGTCGGAAACTCAGTAGCGCTCACTCTTGACCGGCCCGCGCGGCCATTTCTTCAGCTGACTACCGAGGTTCTCAGCCCCAGACCGAACTCATGAAGGTCAGCCATGGCTGCATCCTCACTCTCACAAGGAGTTACATGTCTTCGGGGTCGCTTGCACCACCTAATATCAGTCGCCAAATCGTTTGAAATAGCACTGACACTATTGGCAGTATTGCTTTCACGCACTCCTTTTGACCTAGCTGCACGCTATGACGTTGCAGAGGGTGTGGCGCGGCCGCATGACGTCATGGCGCAGCCCCCGAAACTCAGTTTTTCAAACGGAAATATCTCCAGAATGCTTTGTCGGAGACACGTGGGACCAACACCATTCGACTCAGCGGCCGAAACTCTACCGACCCTGAAATTTAAATTTTTCACCGGACTTCCCCTTTAACGTTATGATCTTGTATTTGAAAGCCCTATTTGAATATGCATTGTGGCCAGCCGTCTTTGATTGTACGGTACGATCAATACGACACCATCTACCGCCTTGATGACGGCAAAAAAAGAATAGGGATGTTATAAACTTTTCAATTTTCCTATTTTTTAGGCATTACCTGGGATTCGAATCCGCATTATCGCCTTACATGCATACCCCCATACACTTCGCATTCATACTCATTCTTCCAAGTTGCTTCACGTTATGATCTTGCGTTTGAAAGCCCTATTTGAAAAGTGCGGCCAGCTGTATGTGGCCAGCTGTGTTTGGTACGGTACGGTACGGTACGGAACAGATACGGGATAGCGCCAGGCGTGACACAAACACACAAACAAACACCAAATTAAAGCTGTGTGGACCCTGGCTAGCGCCAGACGTTACTAAAGTAACGTCTTCTGCATAGCTACGGGAATAATATTATGTATTACAGTTGGAAGGGACTTTGCTCTGGGCATGGTAATGCTGTCGTTATTCGCGAATTGTCGTTATTAGCGCAGTTGACTGTAGTTGAGATTCCAGTTTATCATGCCTTGTTCTACCTTATGTTTAATGGAAGCTCTGCCTCTTTGCAGTAGTAAGCAATGTGTGGATCGAGTACAACCTTGAAGTATCTGTATCGTGTACTTCAATCTGCAGACAGAACTCTTTCGTCCTTTGTCCTGTGTACTTCCAAACACAAAGCCGACTTCAAAATAGCTTTAATGGATACATGCCTCAGATCTCGGATACCGTACCATGGTTATTACTCGATCCCGTTTATAAGTCGACACCCAAAACTTTGAGTCAACCCAGTCTAACCTTTACCAAAATAGATTACATAATTATTACTGTAACCAGGGTCTAAGTGTGTGTGTGTGTGTGTGTGTGTGTGCGTGCGTGCGTGCGTGCGTGCATGCGTGCGGGCGGGCGGGCGGGCGGGCGGGCGGGCGGGCGGGCGGGCGTGCGTGCGTGCGTGCGTGCATGTTGTTGTTGTGTGTGTGTGTGTGTGTGTGTGTGTGTGTGTGTGTGCAGGCGCGCGTACATGCGTGTTTGAATATGTGTATATATATATGTGTGTGCGTGTGTGTGTGTGTGTGTGTGTGTGTGTGTGTGTGTGTGTGTGTGTGCGCGCGCATGTGCGCGCATGTATGTGTGGTAACCACGCAGGAGAATGAAAGAAAAGTCAGGAAGCGTCCGGCGGTTACCAACAGCCAGTGTATGCCGGAGTATGTGGTGTGGTGTGTGCGTGTGTAGAAAAAAAGAAAACAAAGAAAAATGGAAAAATGAAAAAATAGGGATTCACTGGCCAGAAAAAGCCGCTTCAATCAGCTGTGTGGTGGATACCAGGCTGAAATAGTGGCGGTCAATTCATCAGCCTTGCAAGCTGTTGAATGGTGTTATCCCAGCACAAGCTGCTATGTCTAACATAGCTGTTCGCTATCATCGCTTCCGCGATGGGCAGGTCTGAGGTCTGAGGTGTGTGTGTGTGTGTGTGCGTGCCTGTGTGTGTTTGTTTGTTACTGATATTTTTATTGTTGACTACATTTTAGGTCTGCCACAGCTACACTAACGGCAGTACACAAGAGGATCAGCTACTGGTCTACGCTGGCTATCATCAAAGCGGGCCTAGCAATGACCTGTATCGGTACGACTTTCCCAAAGGACAGCTGTACGGAGTCATACAGCACGGCGTGCCCGGAGGAAGCATTCCGTTTGGACGCGGCGGTGCGGCTTCCATCCTGAACCCGAGCAAGAGGACGATGATGGTGTTCGGCGGGTCTCAGGTAACCACATTGTCTATTATACAGTATTCCAGTATTCCAGTATAACCAGTTGATAGGCAAACCCTGGTTTGCCTGCAGATACTTTCACACTTCAGTGATTAAAAAAAGAGGTGAAACCTGTAACATACAGTGGATAGTGATTATAGATGAGAATAAGAGCTGTTTAGAATTTCTTGGACAAAAATGAACGTATCTTATCTGCTTAATATGTTGTCTGCTGTTCCTAGGGAAGAAGAACAGTTTTCCAGACCGTCAGCTCTGATGATCAAATACAAGTACATTCACTGTGCATGTGATTTGGGGAGTGTGGAAAAAAGGTTCCCGTGGCAACATTTTAGGTGCCTTTTGCTCATTTTTACAGTCGCCCGCAGAAGCGCTTGATGACACGTGGGAGTTGGATATCGGCACGTTCACTTGGACGGAGTACACGGCGGGTGCTGGACAGGGTCCGTCACGGCGTTATGCTTCCAGCACTGTCTATGTACCCGAGATGGACTGTGCACTTCTGTTCGCAGGTAAGAAGTAACGTTTTATTCAGACTGACTCGATTTCCAGAACATGGGTGCTGTTAAACCTATTTTCGCTAATTCTTGGATGAACAGAAGGTGGCTGGTTGCAAACTGTCCCTGGTACTGCACCAGCTCCACCTCCATGACGATGCTATGTGAATAGGGAATTCCAACAGGCACTGTCCTCACCAGGTTTGATATCTGCTTTTGCATGCAAATGTCTTGTACGGCGGGTGGTTTCCTTCAGGTTCTTTCTGGAAGGAGCGACTCTACTACAACGACCTGTGGTGTTATTCCTTCTCTACACACAAATGGACGGCGCGTGTACCGTCCCTGGGCAGCTCACCGGCCCCACGCTTTGGTCACACGGCCGTCTACTATGACGGCTACATGTACATCTATGGCGGTGGCGGAAACTCAGTAAGGACTCTCATACAAATCTCCTCCATGACTTTTGTTTGAATGGACTCACGGCTCGTTTTTTTGTTTGTTTTTACGGGGATTTTGAATATTCTTACTTCCCATTGCATTTGTTTTGCCTCCAGAAGCATTTGTTTGAATCCATGCATTGTCCACTGAAACTTCACACATATCCCCGTGTGTGTATACTCCCCCCTGAGTCAGCATACAGGATCTCTGGTGCTGAAATTCCCATCACAAGATTCACATCGGCATTCTTTTCATCTGCGTTGTAGCGGAGTTTAGTGAACAAGGCAATCTTGATGCCCTCGGGTTCTGTCCATTTTCCACGATAGAGTGCTACTTTCACCACTGGAATAGAATTGCATGCATTGAGTTACGTGGACGCGGACACAAACAAACTCTATATATGGATGTGAGCTTCATGGTTGGTTGATTGAGCCCGAATCTACTTTATCCCCAGTACAACTGTAGTGTACTTCCAGGAAAATGAACTGTAGCGTTTACAAGCATGTGCGATGATGGTCAAATGCAACAACCTGCATTTCATTTTTCACAATGCAAGCCTTCAGTGGCATGTATCTCTGAACTTACCATCTGTAATCAACTAGTGCAGAGTAGCAGTGATTACACCTTGGTTTGCCTTCACCAAGACCTTACACCAAGTAGTAGCAGGCTCTGCTGGCTGCGGGAAGGTTGATGGCCGCTTCATCTCACTTACATGTACATTATGGCTTTACTTCTGGTGTGACATTATTTGCATGCAGGATGTTGACTTCACGGATGTGTGGGCATTCAGCATTGGCAAGCACGAGTGGGGTGAAGTGTTGAGTCAGCCGCCCCCAGGACGTGCATGGATGCGCAGTGTCCTCATCGACGCTCACTGGGTGGTTGTCGGCGGAGCCAGGAACTCCACTGATAACATGTGAGTTTATCACGGTATTGTGTGCTGGATCTCCTCATTTCAGCAGTCGAATATCTCGCCTTTAGGGAAGGAAAAACTGCGTACAAAGTTACAAATGCACATATTGAGGCCAGGCTTGATTAGTTTCATTCAGGCCTGGTTTTGTACAAATACTGTGCTCTGGGATTACCGCACAGTCCACCTTTTTAATTGTCAGATAAGCAGTGTTTCAGATCAGCAGTGTTTCACATCAGCAGTCACTAAGAGCAGATATCTCGGCACTGGCACACTTTATCCCTGCCAGGTGTTTAATTTCAAAACCCTGTGGTGTCGGGAGGTTGATTTATACGTACACCTGGCAGGGATAAAGTGTGCCAGTGCAACAATAGGGCTTGAAAGTGCTACGTCACAGCATAGCAACAATTTCAAAAATTCAAAAACTGGATCCACTTGGATCCAGTTTTTGTATGGATCCAAGCACATTTCAAGCGGTCTTACCCACAGCATGGTGATGTAGCCAGTGAAACTGACTGATTTGGCTACTGGGGCGGGGTTACAACTGGTGGCGAAATAAAAGTCACACCTGCATGCGACATGAGTGGGTTGCTATGCACCCACATACTTAGGCAATAGCAAAGTCACACCTTAGTGGATCCAAAAATAGAAATCTGATGTCAACTTACTACTCCCTGGCCGTTTTGACGTCATCACTTTCAAGCCCTATATCTGCCCTTAGTGACTGCCGTATTGTGGAAGTTTGCCATATCGTTGTCTAGAGCGTCACACCACTGAGCAATCCCCGGTGTACGATTCAGTGCACTAGAGTTGCATGGAGGTGCCAGAGCATTACATTTCCGGCTTGAGTCATGCATTCTAATGCAATGCATGTCCACGGGAACAGTGTGTTCTACACCGAGATGCTTGTGTACCACTGCCTAGTGGTGCAGTAGGCCGCTTGATGTCCACTCATCCAACTTACAAGCGTTGGCAGGCGCGTGCCCGTATGGGTTCCTGGGTGCCCGGAACCCCCCTTTTCTTCACTCAAATTGCAGGATTTTTCTTCATTTTTGAATTTTTTTCCGGGGGAGCTCCCCCGAAACCCCCCTTGAAGGGCACCGGCTCACGTGCCTGGTTGGTGCATGTAACATTAAAATGATACTCTTGCGCGATCCATTTCTTGCTTTTGTTAGCAGCCGTCGTGAGTTCCACCGGGAATGGACACGATATTCTGCTTCTTTATACAGTTCTCCTGTTTTTGTGTTGTTCTCTGGGTCTGTCGCCTTGCACGAATCGTTGGACCAATGTAGAGAGGTGTGGCGTTGGCCAATCAGTCCGTCAGCCGCGCTTGGAAGCTGGCAACAGGTGCGCGGATACTTTATTTACTCTGTGATCTGATGTCCCTTACGTCTGCACTGCTGTGTCAATATGGCTTCCCGAGGACGTATCATGCTAGAAACGATTGGGACCGAACATACTCAAACTGCACTAACTGAATGCCATCTTGAACATGTTGGGTTAATATGAATATTGTGATGAAGAGAGATTTGTAAGAAAGGGTTTGCCCCCCCCCCCCACACTGAAGCACGCGCTATTCCGCCGACTTGACTTGACACTTGACTGAGGCACAACTGCCATCCAGAGCACACGAGATTTCTCTTTCAAATTCAAGTTACTTTCCACTACTACCTGGTTGGTTGAAAGGTTGTGAGATGTGACTTTCCACTTTACAGTAGAGCATGTACTTGATCATTTTTAAAGAGACCTACAACAATGGTGCAGGCATCCTGTTCTGCAGCAAAACATCCGTGTCACGAGCTAATTGTCTACTTTGAAGCAGACTGTGGCTCCTTTGTGTATTGTCCAATTTCTCCTTTGCATGCAGGTTGACATGGCCGGTGTGGAGTTAGTGGGACGTGAGTCTCATTGTCTGCTGAACCACCGCAATGGCAGTGCCGTGTACATGCTGGGTGGATATAGCTATGAACGCAAAGGTTCTCTGGCCGAGTTTGTCAGATTCTTCTACTAGAAGCCGATGAAGTCTGAGTTTACATTTCGTCATGCGAAGATTTTCTGCTGTATCCACCTGGAACTCTTGTACTTTGAAGCACTTTTGCATTTGGTCAAGAGCATTTCGTGCTGTTTGATTCTACTCATTACATTTCCATCGCTTTTTCTCCTTACATGTACATGTATTTCTCCTTACAACTCAAGCTTCATTTTGAAAATGAAATCCTAAAAGCGCACGAGATGATTTTAATGATACTCGGTGGCAGAGCCAGCCAGACTGGTACAAGCTGATGTTCGGGCTTTGGGCAAAGTGCGGGAATTACGTGAAGGACGAATGGGAAGAAACCAGTAAAAATAACTTATATTTACGCAAGTGAGGCGGGACTTCTTTCGTATGCTACTTACAGGATAACTGCAGCTTTTTTTCTTTTCTTTTTTTTACTACAAAGCACTGGCCAGCAGCATAACAGGGGAGGTAGACAAAATTGGACAAGCGAACATTGACAACACAGAGGAGCCTGGTATGCGTGCCGATGAGGTAGGTCAACCTCCCCTGACCTAGTGGTCTCGGGTTCATCAGTTGGTCTACGCATAAGGAAGGGGAAATGGACAGAGAAAGGGAGAATGAGCATGAGGAAGCTCCGGGTGCGACTTGACTTTACGTCTCTGCACACAAGCTGACAGCCGGCCCGGCGACCAGAGCTCTGCTATGCGTTCAGCTAGCTGCCACCAGTTCAGTGACTGTTTTGTTCATCACAGTGCGCATACCCAAGTGCGGAAAAACATTAAAAAAATTAACGTTCGCGTCAGATTCGGCGCATCCGTAGGAACGCCGCCATCCTTCAAGGATCAAGGCGGTGCGGACGCGGAAAGAGGGGAAACAAAGCGGAAACAGAACAACAGTACAAACGTGGACGGGCGGTTGTGATCCACGCATGGTGACGGGGTAGAGCATGGAGCACATCTGAGGTCCCGCGGTCCCCAGGCCGCAACGAAAGCCGAACTCACGGGTGGGGTGTCAGGAGCTTGTAACGCTCAAGGTGATTCATGATTTTGTACAGTGCATACCGACTATGTATGTGATTTCATACAAGTGTTCATTTTCTGACAGCGCTAGCGGCGTTCTGCAATTAATAGGATACGGAGAGGCTCTCCCGACTCCCAACCTGACCCCCTATCCTAGCATGACGGCAGACGCAGAAGAATGACATCTAAAGACCAGGAGTGACAGCACTGACAGGTGTACTGTAGTCATGTTAGCATTCTCCGACAAGCGTCTTTGCACCAACATGCAATGTCTACACTCTACTGTCCTCAACATTGTAACCCATTGAGAAAACGGGTGCTCGCGCCCCTTACTGCTTTCAGCGCGTACATGCTCTCTCTGTAATTCACTTGTAGTCGTACACACTGTTAAAATGGATAAGCATTGCACGCGGCTGCAAGCTCAGCGTGCTTGACTTCACAACGGATTTCAATGTCGCGACAGTACATGTATATGTGTGTTGACATCACTTCGGATTTCTTCACTTCGAACTACTTCCTCGAAGAAGTAAAACCAAAAAACCTTGGAGAAGAATAGTTTGCTTATACTGAAGTGCTCCTGCTAATCAACCCCTCGCCATGGACTGGCTTGCAACCGTTTTCATTTTGTGGACAGGTGCTTTGACCCTGATATCAGGAGCGAAGGTCAACGCTCCGTCTGTGTCACCACCGCTATCTGGTAGGGCCATTCACATTATTCATTTTCTCACTCTCAACCAAAATAGTTCTTAAGGCAGTTGACTCGAACATTGTACAGCACACCCACCCCCCACCCCACGCCCCCCCCCCCTCTAAGTTGTAACACTGGCACTAAAATAATGATCTGTGGGCTGAGAACATTATTTCTGTCTTCAAAAAATGTTGCAGTGTGTTTCTAGTATTTTTTAAATTGCTTCACCCTGAGAACAGGCCAGGCCATGGTCGAAGAGGGGTCGACTTGAAAACGGCACAAGCCTGGAAGTGTGTGGAAGAACGATATATTTGTTGATGCACAGTGGCCATTTCGTTTCACTTTTGCGCCTGAGTTCCTGGCTGCGTTGGGGGGGTTCCTTTGAGAATGGCCGAACATCTACCAAATTTTGTTGCAAAGTGCAATTTTGAAGGCAATATGCCAACAATCCTTTTAGCCGATTTTCCAATACATATTCCAATTTTGCAGCCGATCTTCGAACAATCAGCTGATTTTGCAGCCGAATCTGATGTATTTTTGAGCCTAGCGAAAAGCCGAGCAGGCGAAAAACGGGCCGATTTAGGAAAGCCTAAGAGTGGGGCACGGCGTGTAGCTTTGATCCACTTGCTGCTACTTGGGAAATATTTATCTTGTATTCACAGTGAAAACGTCGGAGCTCGAGCATCCTGCTCGCAGGCTTGCACAGTGGAAAGTAGGTCGACATGCTTCTCGTGTGGTCCGAACACAGTCGGGAGCCAGTCAAGTGTCAAGTCCGTCGTGGGGAAACGTGAGTTCTGACGTTTGAAAGAGAGAGAGAGAGATGCTGAGTAGCCATTGAATTTGGCAACGTGGATCCATCATTCGCAGTGACTGGTGTATCGTTTGTGACCTGTTTCCTGTTGTGTGATGGCATACAGCACTGTCGGCAGCCTGTTCAGGAAGAAATCCGTGCCAGAATGGCGGAACGTGTCAGACTATTGGACGTACAGGTTATCGCTGCAGGTGCGCTTATCTATTTCGCGGCAGACAATGTCAGACTTGTAAGTGATTTCTGACTGCTATGTTTTCCCACATCCAACACAACTGCACATACATTCAATTCCAGTGGAACTCCGATAAAACGTACCTACACGGGTACCAGGAAAGCGTACTTAGTATCCGAGGTTTCATTTCTGTGCGATTTTGATTTTAGCTTAGTTCATTGCCTGAATAGTACAAATCACAACTTCACAGAGGAGCGCACAGAGGTACTTCTCATCTAGACATACTCCAGTATGGATCAACACACTTGTAATCCAGCAAATGTCCACACTACACAAAAACACCATGGTTCGCGTGAGACTTGGCTGCAGGTCAAGTTTTCGCAATCCACAGGAACGCCACCACCCTCTAGAATCAATCCGCAGATGGAGCTCCTAAGCAGTGGGAAGTGAGTAGATCAGACCCACCATAAAGTGGTCAAAAACCGAAAATCCCATTTGCTGCACCCATTCTTCCTTCGTGCCAGGCCACGAGTTCCCAATTGTGTGGGTCGCAGCCCATCTGAAACAACTCCTTCCGCACACTAGGCAAGCGTATGACTGATTAGAATCCGTGCTAAATGAGTTCCACAGCACTCCCGAAAGCAGTACTAAGCCACACATATAGCTAAAATCAGGTTTCTTCTGTTGATTCCCTATACGTATCCTTCACCAGATCACGGAACCTTTCCCGACATTTCTTTTATCTCAATATTATCTTGGGTACTTGGTGGGATTCATTTTACAAGTCATGGCAAACATCACGTGATGTCCGCTATGCTTGGTCGATTCCTAGCGTCATTGTGGGCAAGTAAAGCTCTGGAGGGTGGCTGATTGCAACGGGGATATTATACACTTTAATAACGGTTTCCTTCATTCAGCTGTGTTTCAAGCACTCACCTAGGGTACCATGTAAAAAGACTTCCAGTCTGTGGGGGTTGCCCTAGTAAAAGAATAAAATCAATACTGTGGGCGAATCGTTTTTATTTCAATCCAAAGGAGCAACAGAAACCATAAAAAAAGAAGGCATACAGCAACAGCAAATGAAAGTAGGCGAGAAACACCCAATTTCCTAAAAAGAAGAAGAAAAGGAAGAGAAAAAGAGTGAATGAAGTCTCACACATTGAAAAGCAAGAGATAGAAACCACTAAAAAGCCGTGATTAAATAGACCCCGCCCTAACCTGGATAAAACATAGTCCGCACGTTTCCACAGAAAAACAATGCAAAACATTCAACAAACAACAAAACAAAAGCAAAAGAATACATACTACTAGGTACTTCACGAATCTCAAGACAAAGACTGGACTGGCTGACTAATCGTGTGGGGTACCAACGGACGTGGACAGCCCAGTCTAGCTGAGTCTCAGAAAACGCTTGAACTTTCATTTTTCCTACCTTCTTTATTATATAAATTATCCATGTGGAGACAGTCACTTTTAAATTATAGCTATAAAGAGTGTAAGGGATGCAGACATTACTAATCGTCAGAACACCGGATGCAAGTTTAATTATTAAGTACCGCGTACAATTGTATTCCAGAATTGCAATTTTCGTTCCCCGCTCCTCTGACCTCATCATCTATATAATTCACGTGTTATCCGTTCAGATTGGCTACAAGACGAGGTGCTGCGGATATCATCCGAAATGAGAGGGCTTAGGAAACGTCTGGCCACTGTGGAGGATGCGAACATGCAGTGTGGTGCTCAACATGCCCTAACACTCTCCACCTTCATGGCGTCACTGCAGTCTAAAGTCGACAAGAGCCTATCAAGTCAGCAAGCATCACTGGATACGAGACTAGACGAAATGGACAAACTGGTGAGCATCTATACCGCTTTGCTGTACAAATCGGGCGCTGACTGTTGACGCTTGGTCTGTGCATGTACAAACGTGATTACGTAACCGAGTCTCTTTGCCACGATTACCGATGTGCGAGTACATGTATGAGTGGTTTTAGCTCGCAATGCCCAGCGTGCTGGTATCGTTACCTCAAAGTGTTAGTTTTAACAATTGTGTCAGCAGATAGAGTTGCTACCTTTGTGCTCAGAGTGTCTGCTTTGGAGCACACGTTGTCTGATGATAGGGTTTGTACTTGACTCTCGGAATTTGCGTAGACTTTACAATCTCTCAAATTTCCGCTGAGGCTGTTGTGTGCTATAGTAGGTCAGTTGCCTACTGCTCGTGTATATACTACCGATAGTGCATGCCTCGCAGAGTTGGCACCTACTTTCGCCCGACCCCAAGTGTGTGCTTGCACGTCCAGAATCGTAGATCACCATTTTTATCCGTGGCCTTTTTACGTTCCGTTCACGTTCTCTGGCACATTTGTTCCTAGGTCTACTTCGAAGTACATCAGGCGCGTGCTCGGCGATGGGCACGGGGGGGGCACGTGCACCCCCAAAAATTTTCAATCTCGGTTATTGCAATTGTAATGATGCAAATATGCTCTAAAATTCAAGAAAGGTTGCAAAATAATTGCAGAAAATTGCCGGGGGGGGGGGCTCCTGTGCACCCCCCTAGTTGGGGGGCCGAGCACGCCCCTGTACATTGTATATTCCTGTCTGGCTCAGTAGTTATACATTCGAAGTAGATTCCACAGTACACTGTGAGGACAGACATGACATTAGTTCCCCATTTGTTTCTTGTGCTCTGCCTGTTGCCTATATCGCCGCGAACGCACTTTACGGTTGCTGGTGCATTTCAACAGTAAGTGGAAATCTTCAAAGATACACTACCAATTCTTGTACTTCGAGGTATAATTGAATGAAATAAGAGAGCCGTGCAGTACTTAAAAAAGACTGCTTTATTTCAATATCCGGTGGAGAAGTCCACTACGTCGACACTAATAATTATTCATAAGGCTGAACAGTTAGTTATGATATTTAGCACCTGTCAACTTTGAAGGTTGAAGGTGGCAAGTTGTTTCCTCCTTCTTACGATATTTGATAACTTAACTTCCCAGTTGGAACACTGATGGGTCGCGCATCAGAGTCGTCATGGAGTTAAGCGTCAGATCAATGGTTGTCAGTACTTCATCAGTCAGCAATGTCCTAACTGCTGCACTTTTAGATTGACTCGTATCTTGTTTATAGCTACGAGTAACATGTACCCTTGTGGTCATTTTTAATCCTTGACTCTCCATAGAAACATAGCACTTTTGTTGGTTTCACACTGACTGCCACACAGAGCACACCAGAAGAACGTCGAACCCTCCACCAGGTCCACGCTCCGGGACCGGTGGGAGCTGGCCGTTTCTTTCCGGGGTTGCACAGGCGCTAACCCAAGAGCAATCCTTGATTGATACTGCATGTAGGCGCATGTGCACTTTCATAATAAAAACAACAACAAAACGCAACCATGGCAGGGTACACACGAATACACACCAGTACTTGTAAATCGGATCTGTTAAACACAGGAGAAAAATATGAAACTGCCATGCCTCTGGTATGATGGTGCTTTCCATGTTTGTAGGTCCCTTCGTCTGGGTCAAGATGTTCTGAGTTCTCTGCCGACGTCATGTAAAGATTTGCAGAACGCCAGACGTAATGTTTCCCTCCCATCCGGTGAGTACTCATAATAATTGATGTATTGGTTGAGAGACTCAATGCTTGACACTATTTTTGCGCACTCTGCTTGCCTACTTGCCATCTCTTAGGGCTCTACAAGATTGTGTCCTCTGAAGGAAGAATAATTGAGGTAAGAGAGATCCGAAATGACCTCTTGAATTTATCGTGATATGCCAGGTCCCTGTATCCACCATTAAAGTGCCTCTCTCCCGTCCTTTCCCATCACCTATCGTCTTGTCTATTTCCAATATCCCTTGTATACACGATACTTCTCTCTAACTCTCCCTGCGTCTCTTCTAGAGTTTCATACAGTAATACGAGAGCAAGATCTCAGATAGCACTCGTGGCACAAGTATATCGTTCTTTTAAGCTCTTTTGGAATAGACAACGAGACCCAACCCACATAATTGTGCACTTGATTAGGAAAATATGAAAGGTTATTGTGTATAATTATAGCAAGTCACTTTTCCGGGAAGAGTCGAGACAGCAAAAAGAAATAGCCAGGAACAGTTTCTAGTGAGTGGGAGTGAGCAGGATGACATCATAATGGTACTGCACTACTTTCCAACACATATCACAGGTATGGTGCATGAATCCAATTCAAGATAGTGGAAGCATTAGTATAATGGTTACTCTAGTGCCTTTCAAAAATCCAGACCTGTGGTTTCTAAAAACTGTTAGGCCAGCATCTATACCACATCATATCTGTCATCACTTTGTGCATAAAATTTCGAAATTGGACGTATGTTATCCAATCGCTTAGACTGTATGATACAAATTGTGGGAGCTACCTGAGCAATATCCTGAAGAAATTTCTCAAAACGTTCAAACCAAATTTGAATCATTCGAAAAAGTCTAGAGATCTATACATTTGAAACGCACTAAAGTATACACAAACAACAGTATTGGCTGAAATTGAAGTCGACAGCATAGTTAAAACACTGTTTTATGAGGAGAAATCCCACGATCGGTAGTAGAACCGGTATACTGTGGAGAAGACCGAAGACAATATTGACCGATTTAGCTCCTGTTTCTTGCTTACTGCAGAAAAGCTAGATCTCGATCTGTTGTTGCTTCGGCACCGATAGACGTACAGCACAGAGTTCGGTAGCGGCATGGCCATGTAGTTCTAGATGTTTGCCGTCAAAGGTATACATGTACATGTGTATATAAGGGTGTGAAATTAGCACTAGAAGTGCAGTGCCGAAGTGATTAACTGACAACTGAGCCCATGGACTGATCACGTTAATACTAACTATGCTGAAGGCACGTTGATGAAGATTACAAAACGTCAGCCACATTCAAAGTGTGAATATGAAGGCGCGCACTCCGAAAAGGGTTTGGGATTACAATTTGGACTAACAACCTGTCCATGGGAATGTATTAGAGGGCTCAAACCAAAAGAAATAGTGGAAGGGGGATGAAACACGATTAATCCAGGACCTTGTTTCCTCTCCAGTTTTTTTATTACATTTTAATCCATTGTGTTTGTTTGTGTCCATAAAAGAGGATTTTGACTGATCAGCCTAGGAAGATAGGACCTCCAAAGTCAGGGTTCCACTCTTTGACTCGTGTCTTGTTTTCCGATGAAGATACCATACTCGCTCGATTAGTGCCCTTGGGGCACTATTTTTTTCAATGTCCAATGCACATGGGGCACTATTCAAGAGAGGGCAGTATTTTTCAATGCTGATAAACTCACGCCATCCAGCATAAAACAAAACAAATATTTTTAGAGACTGGGGCACTATTCGAGATAAGTACTATTCAAGATAGGTACTATTCAAGATAGGTACTATTCGAGAGAGGGCACTATTCAAGATAGGGCATTATTCAAGAGAGGGCTTTAACCGCGTGAGTACGGTATACATTAAACTCATACACATTCAAATGCATGTATTGTATCTATTGTAGTATGACTCCCTTCTGTCTCCACTCAGGATCGCTCTTCGGATGCGTTTGGCAAGCGTGCCAATCTACCGCTCAGCAGCTACTACGTAGATGGAGTATCAGTCACACGTGGATCGCCAATGCATCACCTCTGGTCCTACGCTGCCGGGTTCGACGATTTCCACGATCACTCGTGGCACTGTCCGTGCAGTTCTAGTCCTGGTCATCAGCCACAGAAGTTCGTAGGTCATCACTACTACTGCGCCTATCTGGGAAGTGTTTACAGACGATGGACATTCAGCCCAGCCAACCATGCATGGAGCAACACCAGTCAATGCACTGCTGGCGGTACATGTTGCGACAACAGGGATATGCCATGGTTTCATCGACAACTGGGTGCTACAACATCTGACAAAGTGCAGATAAGAATCTGTTCGGATCAAGACACAGGGAACGAAGACGTTGGAATAGACGAGGCGGCAATATTTGTCAAATAATCTAAGTGGATAATGTTCGTCTTCCCGTGTGCTCTAGTGCTGTTACTATCATTATAATTATTATGTTGTGTTTTTACAGCTGTTCCTTTGTCCTTCCTTTTAGAAGTGAGAGTTGGCTGTTGTGGCGGGGCATATTTGAGGTGTTGGTTGTCTTAGTTCTTATGATTTTAATTATATTTTAATCTGTAAAAGGTGCTGAAGTTTTGGAGTGCTGAAGTTTTTTCTGTAGTTTTGGAGTGGCGCTACCAGTTCATCACATACATAGTGTTAATCACACACTGTTTTTCTGTTGGGGTACATTTTTTCCCTTTTCTGGTTTTCTGGGTTTGCATTATTTATTGCATTTTCACCCGCCTTTTCATCCGATTGCGTTACTTTTGCCCGTGGAAGAGGCGTCTTGTGGTTTATTTGTAATTATTCGGTTTTGATAGAGTTAAAAACATAATGAAATATCCTTTTTTGTTGGATCGAGTTCTGTTTCCCTCTTATTTAGAAGCCTGTGGTTGCCCCTAACATTGGAGCTTGCACTCACTGCTAGCCCTTTCCCAAAGGTGCTCTTTTAATTCGCACTTAGTGCTTTTCGCGTCCCTTAAAATATGCTGAAAAAGTGCTCTTTTTCAGTGAAGCATAGCCATGATACATGTTCAGATATGAACCCAAGCTGAGATTTAGTGAGAAATGAATACGCACTCTTCGGTTTTGGATTTATGGGCCCACGAAAGGCAAAACAGGAAGTAAAGTTCAAAAACCCACTTTTCACAGTATTGACTATAGTGTACACCAGGTACAAGCTTCACCAACTTGTTGCCCACCAAAAAAGCGGCGTGTCAAGGCCCATCGAGCACTCGGAAACTGTTATCGCACTTTTTCAGCTAAAAAAGCTCAAAAAGGGCGATATTCACCAAAAAACGCAATAAGGGGCGAAAGAAGCGGGCTTTTCCAAAAAGGGCGAAAAGGGCGAAAAAAGGGCGAGCACCTTGGGAAATGGCTACTCACTGCCGAATGATTGGCACTTGACTACTCACGACTGTCGTGTAAAACGCACAAGACGAATGCTGCACTGTCCACTTGGGCAAACCTGCAAGAACACCCTGCCCGGTGTGTGTAGTCAGGGTAGGAGATTTCTAGAGCAGAAATAGAGCTATGGATCATACTGCATGTTCTGCGTGATGACTTAGAATGGGCAATGTTGCGGCTATCTTCAGCTTCCTAACAATAAATTTCTAAATCGTGTGTGTTGTGACTACACGTAGACTTGCCTACACGTTGAAGCTTATTGGAGCATTGCTGCACGAGCTAAAAACCCTCAAGCCCTCTCCCCCCGCCCCATTCATACCACCAAGAGTACATAAACCAGAGTGTGCAACTGTGCATATCAGATCTGAAACAGCGCAGTTCGTGCACTACGTCACCCTGATGAGATCAGCCAAGCCGCGACTTGCGTAGAGCTCAAATTTTCATGATTCATAGCCCGGAAATCAGCCAAGTTTGCTTGATTTTTGACCTCCTGTTTCAAGATTTCGGTGTTTTGTGTGACTGTGTACGCTGCGTACATCCACCGACAAGTAAAGTCACCAGGCTATCCGTCTCAAAAAACCGAAATCAGGACAAACTCAGTGAACTGCACCACCGCGACTGGTTACGCAACTTTTCACCGTACCTGTGGCTTACCATGCCGTCAGAAATGACGTAGTGCACGAATTACGCTCCCACAGGAACCATCCCGAGTTGCACACTCTGGTTTATGTACTCTTGATACCACCCACCACGCTAGCAACCTAACCATAGGCAAATCTGCATTGGTGCTGGCACTGCCCAACGCGTGAGCTCAGAGCATGCGCTATACGGCTACAGCAACCATACAATACAACTTACAAGGAAGTTCCATTGTGATAGTACTCAGTCAGGGCTCAACACGGCTACGTAGACCACACTATTCACACACAAAAATCACCATGGAAGTTTACTAGAAGAGTTCGTCGTAACTCCGAGTGTCTTGCTAAATGTAAATCTTCAAGATTCGACGATAGTTTTTGGAAAAGGGCTGCTTTGGACTGGGCATTTCCCAAATCGGGCGACCGAATACAGTGGTTTAGGATAAATCACCGATCGTTTCGCCGAATATTCACTTTTCGAGGTAAATTCGCGGAAAATCGATGTTTTGGTGCCTCAACATCATGCAAATACAGTTTCTGAAACCAGTATAGTACTGCGAATAAACTAATGGTGACTGCGACGTCAGGCATTTCCAACATCGGTCACCAGGAAAAGACGCCGAAATCAATGGCTGTCAAGAAATCGCCGAAAATTGCGTCGGATTTGTAAATTTCGGACTGAATTCGGCAAAAATCGATGTTTCATTGCCTCTATGGCGTTGTTGCTGATTTTTCTTTTGTATCGCAGACCAAAACGTACATGTCAATGTATATGTACAATGTATACTGCGAGCGGTGACTTCAAGTACTGCTTTGAGCCGAATTCTGACTTTGTGGTTCATAATAATTATGGCCGAACTTGGACATTCTCTCAGCCGATCACGCGAAAAATCGGGCCGATTTGGGAAATGCCTAGGTATTACCCACCGAAAAGATGAAAATCGTCCTTGGTAGCCGTTCTAATCAGCTATGTCTCATCGAGATGTGATATTCCGCTCCAGAGTTATGGCTGTTTGTACAGTGAACTATCCTGTGTGTACGGATGTCTTCTTTGTTAGCAGCTGTCCGGCTGCCAGAAGCGCTGACCCCACGTGACATGTATGTGAGCGATCACCACTGCAAGTGAGAATCCATACAGTATGAAAGATGCAGATGTGTGTTCGCTGGAAACCTAGAACTACAGTGCAACTCCATGGCAAGGCAGTCACCCGGTGTGTGAGGAACATCATGTAAAGTACAGTCATTACATTGCAGTTTGACAGGGAGATCCTGCGCTTCAGACTTGTTCAGTGCATGTGGGCATCCAACTTCCCAGCCAAATTACAGCCGTCAACATTTGAAAGGAGCGGTGGTGTTTGAGCTCAGTTGACGTTGGCTGCGCAGTGGCCTCCAACGTGCTATGATCAAGACTAGTAAGATTTGGTGTGTAGATGTCAGCTGTCCGCTGACTGTGTGGTGTGTTGAATAGTCAAAGAAAAGGCATTGAAAAAGCAAAACATCATCTGGATAGTCCGTCGCGTAGCCCTCTTAGTCGGTAAATCCGATTGACAACAGGATCTGAGTGTCCACGTATTGCAGAAAGGTTTCCTCCGGAATACTAGAACTTCTAGTATACTCTATTACCGGTTCTAGTCGCTGGAGGTGAGATGGAGAAAATGACACGCACAGAACACCGGCTGGTGGTGCTCCTAGTTTTCTTGAGCACTGTGGTGACGCTGAGTGCCGGACAGAGAGTAGTCGGAGCTGACGGATCAACGCACTCGCCCATTCAAACTGGAAACTCTGGTAAGGGTATCATGAACTGCAGTTTCGAGAAATGAATGAAATTGGTTCGCAGTAGCCAATGAGTCCCGCCTACGCCCGGATTGCTTTCTGCCTGCTCATCGGGTTGATCGAAAAAAAATTATATTAAAATATTCATACGCTTGTATTCTTGAGGATTGGTCAGAGGGCTGTTCCTGGTCCTGGTCCTGGTCCTGGTTAACAATAATATTATGATGGTCACGTGGTTTGAGATCCTGTCCACAACGTCCACAACGTCCACAACGCAGGGGAAGAAACTTGAAAAAGCATTCCCATACATGTATGTTGCGATTGTATTGAAGCTCTGCATGTCATGGTACGCCATGCACAGATTACTGCGGTGTGGAGCGTCGATGACCGACTGGCATGGCCCCTGCAATGATGGATATTAAATCTTGCAGTGTGTAAATTAGCGGCGAGGGGACAATAATTTCAAAAGCGGGATTGAAGGCCCGTTGGAAAATATTCCGCACAAACATAGAAAAGCTATACATGTATGTTGATCAAGCTGGTCCTATTCAATGCAAATTTGCAGTTTTGTTATCGTCTTTTAGGCTGCTCTTCTAGTATTAATTTTATTCTCAAGAATCTAATAATCGAACTTAAAATTCCCGTGGACCCATAAAAAAACCGTAAGGCCGCATTCACACACGGTACAAAACCGCATACAAGCATCATGTTCTTTGAAGTGGGCATGGAAACATGCGCGAAAAGTGAAAAATCACATGAACGTTCAAAGCCATCCCGGAGCGGCTTTGAAGGCGGCTTTGAAAGCGGATTTCGACTTTTAGTTTTCAGGCAAGTCGAAACGAGTGGTTTGGTGTGTTGAGTGCGCAGAGTTTTTGTTAGTTTTTTGGTGAGTCCGTACCATGCCTCGAGTTGTCTTTTCTGCCGAGGTGGAGCTACGACTGATAGAACTATAGTCCATGGAGAAAATACCAGCAAAGTGGAACTATGATGAAAAGAGCTGTTGCCGAGAAGAGGATTGTAGATGAGCTGAACCTGTGCGCAAAGCAGCTATCCGGAGGTGATCAGGAAATGATATACACGGCCGCGATCGTTTACAACTCCAGCACACTCAGAGGAATACACCAGTTGTGGAGGCATTCCACCGAGATCATACTACATGTACTATACGTACTAGCGGACCAAGAACTTTGAAATGTTGAGCCAAGTGCCGCACTAGCACTGTACCGGTGCGCTCAGCTCATGCAGAAATCGAAATTCCCGCTCTTCACCATGGGTCACGCGGGTCACTTTACGTGTTTGGCATGCACTGCATTTGACTGTGTGAATGCACAGGCGTTGCAAGTGGCTTGTACGGTCATGTAAACGAGAATTTTTGTACCGTGTGTGAATGCAGCCTTAACCGGGATATTTGTTGAGTGAAACGTGTAAAATTGGATGCTCCATGTACCCTGGACCTGCTTGGTGTCATTGTAGTACATACATGTACATGGTATTATACATTATATAACCCAATACAGTACTAGTTCAATACTAGTTCAATAGATAAACCTTGTTATAATTCACACATGTTGCTAGTTTGACAGCATGAAACAAGGTGGAGGACACTATGTTCGGAAACAGAGACCTTACTACAACCATCCACGGTTGGCAAAGCCCCAGTCCCAAGAAAAACAAATCAGGTTAAAGTAGCTACATGCCTATCAGAACGACATCCAGGAGCGATCAAAGAATACACGGCTGACGTAAGGAGTAGTCTCCAACCCCCTAGCATAAGGAGGGTCAAAACCGTGTTCAACACCCATATGGTTCAGATGGTCCCAACGGACCGGGGCTCTGCCAACCGTGGATGGTTGTAGTAAGGTCACTGTTTCCGAACACAGTGTCCTCCACCTTGATTCATGCTAGCAAACTAACAATACATGTACATGTAGCTCAGCTTGTACATGACCCGTACTTTCATTTCACTGTCACCGCAGGAACATGTATGACGCAATGGTTACGTCATTCATTCCCAGCTGAACAGGACGTGGTGCTGATGAAGTATGAACGATTGCTGCAAGCATTTGAAACACCAGTCGACGAAATCTCTGTTCCCGTAACTAATGACTTGTTACTGTCTCTAGTGTTCGGTAGCGAGGAAAGAAGTGCCAATTTCTCCCAATGTCAAAGTAAGTCACTGCGATACATCAATATTCTTAGCCACAATATAATTATTTTGTTTGGTATTCCTGTTTCATGACGTCTGCCCCATACCTTATAGAGATGGAACCTTAGAACCGTAGAACCTTCCAAGTTGGAAGGCTGTTGGAGTGCGCATCCAAGATGTGCTAGAGCTGTTAGCCAGTTAGTTGTAGAACGTCAGTTCTGTCGGTCAGTGTCCTGCAATGATATCGCATGACCTCATTGTTTAGTAACTGGAGGTGCTAGTGGACATTATAGCGTAACTTGTAGTTCCTTGGTCTTTTTCTTTTGTATACTTTTAAAGTAAATTAATATTTGGGAATCCTGCATGTATCTTTCTCTCTCTCTAATTTGTCCTGTCATGCAGATGGTCAGTGTGAACATCCGTCTCCATGCCAACACGGTGGCAAATGTGTGTACGCTAGTGTTGATGGTAACACTCCTCAGCTGAAGCAGTACAAGTGTCAATGTAGACCTGGGTATGCCGGACGGCAGTGTGAACTCGGTGAGTAAAAACACCCGTACTCATTCTTTGGGAATCCTGACCTGTCATCAGACACATGTTTGACGGTGTATGTTTATATCCTGTACAGCTGTGTCGGCTTGCAGAACCCATCGTCCATGTCAAAATGGTGGACATTGTCACAGTCGCGGCCCACATGCCTACGAGTGTCGGTGTAAACCATTGTTTGGTGGCAAGAACTGCGAAATAAGTAAGTTGTGTCCAACCTGAATTTAGAACATCGTTACTGGTGGCTAAATGCACTCAGGTAACCTGTTGTAGACGTAACAAGATCTCTCTCATTTTCATCATAGCACATACAGGTAGGCTGAGGCCTGGCTCAATGCAATGGTGTTAATACCTACACTCACACATGGCCACAACGCGTATGTACAGCAAGGTGTTCAGTTTAACTCGGAGTGCCGTGCCAAACGTCACTAGCAATCATGCCCGCTTTTCACCTTTAACGGGACCTTCCTGTTTATACATCTTCGTTGGTGAACAGACGCGCTGTGCTCTGTTAACAAGGTTATGAACTACATGTAAGTTTAACTTAAACATGGGACAAACGGAACGAATCAGACATCATAACTGTATTGTTCGGTAATCAACACCGCAGCCTTGGTCTTTGCGGCTAGTCTCCGCGTGAGGGACAACAATTCGAACTTAGAAGTTGCGACTTCGTCCATATTCGTGATGAAGTTGGTTGTTCCTACAAGGAACATGCGCTTCCTTCCCAGCTTGACACTTGACTAACTCACGACTGCCATCCGGGAGGTGCGACATGCTCCTCATGTACTCCGGATAGCAGTCGTGAGTCAGTCAAGTGTCAAGTTGGGAAGGAAGCGTGTGTTCCTTGTTGGAACAACCAACTTCATCATATTACTATTTCTTTAGTGCTGTTAATAGGTGTTACATTATTTTCATACTTTTGAACAAAGAAGTTACGACTTCGGCGGTAATAGTCATGAAGTTGGAGCAACCAACTTCATTTCATGCTTTTGTACCCTATATGGGTTCGGTTGTCATGGTTTGTCCATTAGTACAGCGAAGATTGCTGACGAGGGTAACTGGTTATTTCCCTCTTCTCTCGAAAATACATGTATACGTCCTAGTAACACATGGCTCAATACACACTCGAATGAATCCGTTCTTTTCTCCTAGGTGACTTGGCTAACATCACGTCGTCACTTGCTGACCTTACTCTCCGTCTGAATTCAATAGAGACTAAGTCTGCTCAGTCAGCTAGTAGAACCGCAGACACTGTGTCCCGTGTACTCAAACAAATACAGCACACGTTGGATCGGCGACTCGATGAACAAGCATCCGTCGTACAAAGCGAGATACAGGATATCAGAGATGAGGTACATGTATGTACAATAATGCCTGGGACATTTTTTTTACTCTCTTTCTGACTCCTGTGTGCAGCCACATCATGCATGCTCTCACCCCTAACACACCTCACTCCCATGCACACCCACACCCACATACACACACACACACACAACACCACACATACCCACCCTTACATCCACACACACGCACACACACTCAGACACGCACACGCAGACATGCTCATCGCGGAAGCGATCATAGAGAACAGCTATGTTAGACATCGCAACTTGTGCTGGGATTGCAGTCATTACACCATTCAACAGCTTGCAGGGCTGATAAATGGACCGCCACTAATTTTAGCCTGGTATCCACAACACAACTTTTTCTGGCCAGTGAATCGCTAGTAAATTTTCATTCATCATTTTTTTCATAGTTTCAATCATTTTGAACACACACACCACACCACATACTCCGGCATACACCGTCTGTTGTTAACCACCCAGGAGAATGAAACAAGAGCTAGGAGAACGAGAAAGAGAAGAAAGACGGGTGCGATCATAATCGTCGGGAATTGAACCCGCAACCTCTCGATTGGAAATCGACTGCACATACCACTCCACCATATGGGACACACACGCGCACACACACACACACTCACACACACACACTCACACACACACACACACACACACACACACACAACAAGAACAATCGACCTCTGCAGGGACACCAGCAACAGCAAGAAGAAAACGAACTACATTTCTTGTCCCTTTTCTACATCAGCCAACGAGAAATGAGACATATCTAGTGTTGAATAGAAATGGCATGCATTCAAATTTTCTTTCCACCTGCCTTTTTTCGTCCTGGATCTTCTTCGTTTGCAAATCCAGATACTTCACGTATCTGTCCAGTCTAAATCTGCTTGCATGTGGTATCACCCCCCCCCCCACACACACACACACACATGCACACACCTCAATTCTTGGTCAGTTCTCCTGGCTTGACTTAGATCAACGAGCTCAGAATACTTGATCCAGTGCTTACAATGACACTTCAATAAATTTCCACCAGTGTGTGTATCTTAATAAAACTCTGAATGGTTCCATTCGGCTGTTTATTGGTAGAGATAACGGGGTGAATGCAATGATGTGCCGTGTTTTGGATTAAAATGACTGATTCATTTCTTACATGTGTGACAAAGCTTCCAATCTCTCTCTTGTGTTTCATTTACATTAATTTTTATCACAAATTATCGGCATCTATCCGTATCATCGACAAATATTGCGGCAAAATTGTTTGCAAAATTATTTTGTATACTGGATGAAGAAAAGGGAAGTGTGTGTTGCTCCCTACGTGGGATCTTGCGCTATTCTGCCGACTTGAATTCCCACTTGAATGAGTCACGACCGCCACCCAGAGCACACGAAAAGTCCATCGAACCATCCCATCCACTTGACAAACCTGCCAGAAAGCACAACTCCCTGCTCAATACACAGTGTTTTGGGGAATTCACCCCTCATCAGTTGAGCTTGAGTATGCCAGTGGAGATTGTGTCGGACCACTTTTACAGGCACAAACATCATGAGGGATACAAACTTACAAAGACCCTCCGTTTCCAGCGCGACAAACACCTCGTGAACACCAGATTATAGCGTGAGTCAGTGTCGCTCATGAAGGTGATGAACACACGCTGAGGTCCGTAGGCCATTCACAGCCTTGTTGCCTCCAAACCATCTAATTCGCAAGCCCGCGCCCGGGACAACATTATGAAGACGAGGTTGGTGCGACTTCAGCGATACTTGGGGAATTATGTGTTGCAGCAGCTTCCTATGTGGGAGCTTGCGCTATTCCTGCCGACTTCGCACTAACCTCTTCTTCATATTGTTTTCCCCGGGGCGGGCTTGCAAATTAGATGGTTTGGAGGCAGCAACGCTGTGAATGGCCAACGGTCCTCAGTGTTTGTTCATCACCTCCATGAGCGACACTGACTCACGCTATAATCTGGTGTTCACGAGATGTGTGTTGCGCTGGAAACGGAGTGCCTCTGTAATTTGTATCCCTGGTGATGTTTGTGCCTGGAGAGCACTATATAAGTGGTGCTCTTCAGACAAAATCTTCCTCGGCTTACTCAAGGTCAACTGATGAGGGGTGAATTCCCCGATACACTGTGTATTGAGCAGAGAGTGGTGCTTTCTTGCAGGTTTGCCGAGTGGAAGATTCGATGGACTTCTCCCATGCTCTGGATGGCAGTCGTGAGTGAGTCAAGTGAGAATTCAAGTCGGCAGGAATAGCGCAAGCTCCCACATAGGAAGCTGCTGCAACACACAATTCCCCAAGTATCGCCGAAGTAGCACAAGCCTCTTCTTCATAAGGATGAAGAAAAATTGCAATAAATGAAACATGCACATGGTGTGACTGGAGGCTCAAGACTAATCTCCATTGTTTATTTCCCGCAGGTTAAGATGAATTCCCTGCAACTCGTTGGGTCCTGTAGAGAAATCCAGCATCAATCCAATTACTCAGCACCTTCAGGTCAGCCACCTTGTCCGAAAGTCTCGAAACTTCTCACGGGTTTAAAAGTGAAACCCATCTTTGTGAGATGGTGTTCAGTCAGACAGGTTTTATAAGAATTATTCAATTTTTTCTAGTGTTATTCGTTCTCGTTGTGCATCAGCTGCGATCATATTTGTTGTTCAGCACGAAAAGATTCAGAGTGGTATTGTTTCAGTCCATTTACTAACCCTGTCACTAGGTGAAATGAAAATCAACAAATATTTGTTTCATTGCTTGAATCGGGAGTACCTGGTATTGCTCAAGACTGAGAATTAAGTACAGGCAACAAGTGTATAACATGACCCCCCCCCCAGCCCTCCCCTCTTTTGAATTTCCCTCAAGTAGAGTAAGTGATGACTTTGGATAGCCCCTTTGAATTTCCTTTCCAACTGTACATCCATGTACAGTTCCCTGCGATTCCAGAATGGGATCGCATAATCATGATTGTTTCCAGTAGTGCAGAGGAATGCTCATAACGGAAATACCTTGATATTGTCTTGTAGATGACAATTCTATTTTTATTCAACCAGACCTGGAATTGTACTCTAACATTGTGTCTCTCCTGACTGGAACAGGTTTCTACAACATCATCTCTGGGCTGACGGGAGGAAAAAAGCTCATCCATGAGGTAACGCACTACTACAGCGAGTTGTCTAAAGAGCTTGAAACGGTGTCCCTGTACAACTCTGCAAATGTTTCAGGATGTTCAAGGGTGTAATTGCATTAGCCTAAGAATGTTTCATCCGCAGAATCTACTAGAATTATTATTATTATTATTATTATACGCATTCCCGCGTTGAAGTGTAGCAGCAGTATGCTGCGTCCACAGCTTCGCTTATGCAGAATGGCTTGGGTGAGAGGAGAGGGGAGAGAAAGCAACAAGGCAACCAACATCTATGAAATTGGTCACAATAACATGAAGAGAACCAACCTACATTTGCATGATTGCACAAGAATGGAGACGACCAAATATAATGGCTATAATCATTGTGCACAAAACCGGTACACAGGAGATCGGACCACAATGTAACAAAACATAAAACTCAGTTACTCAATACAGGTTCCACTAAATTACAAGAGAACAACGCTACAACGTAAGAATTGCCGCTAAATTATCGCAAGTGTAGAGAACGGGTCTAATACAAATGAAAACCATGAACAGACTGTCCCGAAGTTATTGTGGGAACAAATTGTACTACATTCTACTACATTCTACTAGAATACGGAGCTTAATGGAATTACCTTTTCAACTTGCGTTTTGTTCGCTCTCTAGGTCTACTGTGATATGGATCACTATGGTGGTGGTTGGACAAGAATTGCCTACATCAATCCCACGCAGCAGGGTGGTTGCCCTGGTAACATGAGATTTCAAAACCTTCAAGTTAAGCTGTGCACTAGACGAGCCAGCGGTGTTGGTGGATGTGATGGTGCAACGTTCCAGTCACCTATTGCCGAGTACAGTGAAGTGATGGGATTTGTCACTGGGTACAGGGTGAGTGAAAGAGCATATCAAGTTTCAGTCGTTGTACAGATTTTGGAAGTTACTGTGTCTTGGTGGGAACATCTGGCACGCCCTCAAGAAGAAACCCATGATGATATGAGAAAGAAGATCAGAACGATAAGGTGTTTTTGGAAAGAGGTTTTTTGTTGTTGTGGAAGTTTATTAACGTCGCACCACAAACCGGCGGTTTCGCCTCCTTTGATAAATGTGGACGACAGAGGGATTGAGAGAGATAAGGGGGGGGGGGGGGGTGTAAATTGAATGCTCCATTTTCACGATGGCACCATCGTCAATAAGGGATACGTTTATGAGAAGGTGAGATGCTGTAGGTGGGGCTGCGAGTAATAGAGTTGTAAAATTCAAATTGAAATAAATTCATTTTACAAGTATAGGAGAGGGTCAGCGCTGCATTAATCAGCAGAGAGTAGATATCTTTTTTGAAAGCAGGTCAGGAGGGAACGTCACGAATCCTAGCAGGGAGGGCATTTTAGTATTCTAGGAACTTATACAGTGGGGAGTCTTTACAGCGGCCGGTTCTGGTGGGTGGGAGGTGCCAAGTGCGTGTGTGTCGAAGGCTATACTGGGGCGTAACTTGAGCGGGGGTATTGAGCACGCCTATGTGTTATGGAGCATAATGGTATTTTATGGAGTGTGCAAGAAGGGTGACCTTTACTTTACGGCGAGAGAACATTGTCGGCCATTTGAGCCGATGGAGCAGTACTGAATGGTTCAGAGAAGAGAAGAGAAGAAAACGGAGGCAAATTCTGGCCGCCTTGCACTGGATTCGTTCAAGGTGGTCAAGGTCTGTGATTGAGAGCGGAATGACAGCAATGCATGCATATTCAATTATCCGCATGATAATTACGTGTTTTGTAAATGAGAGAGAGAGAGTGATTGAGTGTGTAGAGTTGATTTAAGCCTAAAGAGAATATTTACAAATGATTTTACAGCTTTCTTCAGCACAAAGTCAAGCCGGGCTGTCCAACTTAGGTCATGCTGAAAGATGATGCCGATGTGGCGATGTTGCAGGAAATTTCTGAGATGTGCATTGTTTAGCTCTATGCGTGGGAGATAGTGAGGGGGTACTTTCCGTTGTAGAAGGTGAGGACTACCGTTTTTGCAGTGTTGATTTGGAGGTGCCAGCGCTCCAACCATCCAGCGGCGGCTGACACACTGCTCTGCAGTTGCAGTTGCAGTTGCAGTTCGCAGTGTGCGGCAGAGCGGCTTGAACAAACAAGGGCTGTGTTGTCGGCAAACTGGCTGCACCTGGTGTTGGCGTTCTCGCAAGCGGCATGCAGGTCGATGGTATATATCCGAAACAGCAGTGGTTCCAGGACTAAGCCCTGAGGCAACCCTGCGGAACGGGGAGGAAGGCTGATGTAGTGCCCTCAACTCGCACTTGCTGCTTGCACCCAATCAAGTTTGCCGAGAACTATCGCAGTGCTGCTTCCTCGACACCATAGTGCTTGAGTTTGGCCATCAGGTTCTGATGCTATACTCGGTCAAAGGCTTTGCTCAGGTCAAAAAGCAAACGGTAAAGTGCTTTCCCGAGTCACGAGCCTCCGATATTTCACGGACCCGTCGAGCAGGTTGCAGCTCCGTGTCCTTCTCCCTGAATCCGGACTGGTTAGATATTGGTTAGATATTTGTTTTGTAATTGAAGAACTTTTTGTACAATTCAGAACCTGCCCGGACGTTTCCTGCAGTGTTATTCTTGAAGCATCTGTTGTTGCAAATTATACAAGTCAGAAATGTTGAAGAATAAAGTGAAATGAAAATTTAATGACAATGCGATTTTGAACTTTGGTGGCTGTACGAAAACAAATCAACGACTGCCAATCATTTACTTTGGGTGGTAAAGACACACTGGCCGGGCCACAATTCAGGAGAATAATATACTTGCCTAGACATGCTCTCTGCCCTGGAGATCTCTATGTGACAAAGTGCTCTACCTTTCTCACGGCCTTCATGGGTTCGCGCCTTGCACATGTCTATTCATGACTAGTTATATCCAGAATAGCATGATGATACACAATGCTGCCCTTCACATAATAGACAATGAAACAACTATAGACTCGATTGGAAGGTGCGTTGGGTCAAGGCAGGAATTATTACAAAGCAATCACTTTCCTTTCCAGCTGAGCTTATCAGTAACTTTGCCTCAGTACTTCATTTCCATTGTTCTGTTCTTAATTCAATAATGCCTTCGTGACACTTACGGAATCTAATCCTGAACACTAGCAAAAGCCATGTCCTGCGAATTTCCGGCCAAGACATTACTGTCAAATGCCGTGGAAACCCGCTACCAGCAGTTCCCCATGCGAAGTACCTGGGCATCACGATAGACGAGCACGTTCGATTTGACGAACACGTTAACAATGCTGTGAAGAAGGCCTCGCAGAAGGTGGGAGCACTCTGGAGAGCCTGCCGTTGCCTTACAAGAAAGTCCAGAGAGCAGTACGTGAAATCCGTTGTGATGCCAGATTTGCTCTACGGGTCCGTGGCGTTCTCTGGGTGCCTTCGACAAGACCAGCGGTCCCGCCTTCAGGTCCAGCAAAACCGTGCGGCAAGCGCCGTATTCGGCCTGCCACCTCGCACAAGCGCTCAACCTCTCCTTGCTCGTCTGCAGCTGTATGGCGTCGAAGAGCTCCACAAGCAAAAGACCCTTATTATGATCTGGCGTTGCTCGAATGGTCGTGCAAGCAATGCACTGGAAGCCCTTCTGGAGCATCCCAGTACTCGAACAACGCGCGCGCAACGCAGCTTGGGCCTTCGAGTGCCCAAATCTGCCTCCAAAGCCGGCCACGACCGTCCAACCGCTCGCGGGTCCATTTTATGGAACACCCTGCCATCCGACGTGCATGGTATTACCCAGTACCACCAGTTCAAATCAAACAAGCCTGCCTCCCGTTCTGTCTTGCTAGCAGTAGCACCCACTACTGAACACTACAGGAATCTTTGAACGTTTGCGGTACTCCACAGAACCAGTCATGTGCTGTTTACCCCCTGCCCGTTGTTGTATTCTAACGTTAACGTTATTCATTGACTGAGCGTTCTTTGCTTTGTACTACACCCTGCTATCATGTTAGGCTATTTCCTACAATATTTTACTGTTTCCATTCGCTTCCATGTAATTGGGCGACACCGCCCGTTTGGTTCTGCGAATTCAAATAAAAATGTACCTACCTACCTACACTTAGTAATGTTCATCCAGTTTGTGCTGTTGGTTGACTTTCTAAAATAATTATTTTCGCCTCGCCGCATCTTTAATTTAGAAAAGCGATCCTGTCAGCTTTTCTATTATTGTGTTCACATGGCAGAAAAAACGACATCGCTATGCTACGTAAGTTTCTACGTAAGGTGCTCGGTATTTCACTTAGGCTACGTAAGTCTCTACGTAAGGTGCTCGGTATTAGATCTACCAACGAGTGGTAGCCGTGTGCTGTGCACGTGCACGGCAGACATTGTGTTCAGTGCATGCAGTCCGCGGATCCGTGTTCGGATGTGAATGCGCGAGGAACTTCCTTGTTTGGAACTGCTTCTTGCATGAGCTGTTTCGGATATTTCGTCTCATGGCCTGGCTTATTTCGTTTCGGCGCTGCTGAGACCTCCTTTCGCGGAATATTACTCAATGACAGGTGAGTTGACCAGTTGCCTTTGATTCATTTGCTTGTGTTGACTCTTTCATTCAGGAAAAGTGTGCTGATTTTGGGACGGAATGCAATAAATGGAAAAGTTGACAGGATCTCTTTTCTAAATTTTGCTTTTCTGCTGCCGAGCTGCGAGGCCTCCTTTTACGGAATACTCGATGACAGGTGATCTTAGTTGACCAGTTTCCTTCGTTTCATTTGCTTATGCTCACCCTTTCATTTACGGAAACGTGTGCTGATTTTATTCGGATTTAGATCCATTTTTATCTCTTTGCCCTTGTCTACAGTGTGCGAAGAACGCGAGTTCACCTTCTTGACGGTAAGGCTTATGTTAGATGTGTTGTCGAAATACTCATATTCATTGTACATTGGTACGTTACAAGTAAGGCACTGGTCAGTGGCATACTATCGTTGGCAGTTCCCAATCTGGAGGGAAAGGTTCAAGTACCAATTGACCGAGTTTGCAAAATAAATTCGCATATCAGGGGAAATCTCTATTGTGGAGAGGTTCAGTAACTTGTTTGTTTCATACGAAACAAGCCAATGGGTGCAGTCTCGTCTCGTGAAAATCTCGTACTTGTATGATTGGATTTATTTACTCAAGTCTGGGCTGTTTGATTTGTGAGTACCGCCGAGATTGCACTGCCCCGAATAAAGTTTCGTGCCGCCAAAGCAAGAATTACGATCTGCAATCTGTTTGTAGTACCTGTAAGAATGTGGAGTACACGTCTTGGGCTGGGTTATCCTCTTCCGCTGCTGCAAAGCTTGAAATACATCACAAGAAAATCCTTAAAATTCTCCTCCGTCAACCCCGCATGCTCTCATCATCCGCCCTTTATAAAATCGCTCACACAACCCCGTTATCACATGGACGCAGTGCACACCTGGCTTCTCTTGTCCATTCTATTAAGCTTGAGTTGTGCCCACCTCATCTCATGTGTTTTAATTGGTTCTCTTCTCTAAGAACTAGAAACTCACTCTTACTCCCTAAGTGTAACTCATCCACTCTTTTGCGCTCCCCTCTCTTTATTGCTTATTCTGTTTGGCTCACTCTACCCAGAGAAGTTAAGGACCTGACCTCACTCCGCCTGTTTAAGATCCGTGCCGCCCCTTATTTACTACGACATGCATAGCTCATTATCCACATGTCCTTTGCGTCTCTGTGTTTTTCACTGTTTTTATTTGACATTATCTTTCTCTTTCTTTACGGAGTTGTTGCTGTTCATTTTGCTACTCTTTCTTTTTCCCTCCCCTTACTTTTATTTATCGCCGTGGTTGGCAATCACCCACTCTCTTTAACATTGGCCGGTGTTTCCACCGAGTCTTGAGATGTTGTAATAAATATATAAAATATAAATATATGTATCGTACTTTCTCTGTTGCTGTTTCAGTTGCCGTCATGTTGCTAAAGAAAGGTTCAGCAGAGAGGTTCTGCAAAGCGAAAATTCGAACGAAGTTTCGCGACAGTCCTTGCGAAAGTGTGCGAATTTTTGCACGAACTTTGCGTTCTGCACATTTTCGTAGTTTGCGCGGGCCAAGTACACGTACGCCATGACCCGATCTCACGAAATTTCCTACGACAGTTCATTTCGCGTTCCCTGCAAGTTTCGCGTCCAAAGGTGCGAAGTTTCGCACTTCATGATGTAGAGCGAAAGTTTGTACGCATTTTCGTTTTGCAGAATCTCTCTAGTGACTCAATTGTTTCATACGAGACGAGTCAATGAGTCGGTGTGGCTTAGAATCTTTCGCTGTAAAAGAAATCTATTCGTATGTCTATTGGAGATATAATTGTATTCTCTGGTTATAAAATAGGTTAAGCTCACAGAATAAGTACCATCGGTCCCTTGGTGTTCGTCCTAAAGAGGTTCGACTGGATATCATTCATACTCACCAAAAGATGTGTAAGATTTTATTATTGTGGAATGCCTTGTTTATCTTTCAGTACCTCCAACCATAGCCTTGCCCCTTTTCTCCTCACGGGATCAGTGTAGTTGTTGGAACGAGGTTTTGGACTCAGCAATGTATTCGTTTACATTTTAATACATGTTTATTGTTCCTCCTTTGCTGTGTTGTTTTAGACAATCGTGGTCCGTTCGTGGACTAACAGTTTGAAGTCATTGAACTACTTCCAAAAGTTGTATCGACATCAACAGGATTACGATTTCAGTTTCAATATGATGCTGGATGACCTTATCACGATAACCCATGACTATAAACCATTATAAACACAGAATCAACAAAAACATCTGCGACACGCACCTGGCGCATGGCTACATTTCTCAAATAAATCTGATTGAGGGTGGAGAAATCTGAAATATCTGAAAGGCAAGACAATTTTATGACAGAGTCATGAAATTCTGCAACAGCAACATGCACAGAATGACCTCCGAATAAAAAAAGTATCACCACCACTGCTCACATGTTTCCCCGCAGAAGAACATGCATTATGCTAGTGCCATTTCCTGCAAGAAAAGGCTTGCACATCAATGCGTATAATATGGTATTGATATTATTATTATTATTATTAACTGGTTTGAGGGAAAGAGACAAACGGGAAAAGTCTGAAGAAAGAATTGACTGCCACCACCAGGACTCGAACCAGGGACCCTCGCTTGTAGTCAGCGATGCTCTAACCACTGAGCTATGGTGTAGTCGTCATCCCAGCAGAGGCCGTTCAACATTTTCTTCAGACTTCGTAACTCACACTTCCTGTGTTATTATTATTATTATTATTATTCTCAATTCATGGATGACATGGTGTCAACCAATATTATGAACGAGGGCTACCAGCCATGGAATAAAAGAACAAGAAGGCAAAAATGCACACGCAAAATATGGCAAGTTAAATGAAAATGAAAATGAAATAAAAGTAAATCAATCCAAAACCAAAATCAATTATAAAAATCAATCATATGATGTGAAGGCCATCATTTACATATTGATATAGGGCATTCCATTGATTGGTGACAGAAAAAACAAAAGAAATTATAGCAATAAAAACTGCTTTATGGCAGTTTTCTAAAAAAAGTTATTGTGTTCTAGTCCATGGACCCCGTCTAAAAAGTAAGAAATTAACGAAATGTGATAGCTGAAAATTAAAATTTAACACAAAACCTCACAATAATCACACACACTCGGAATGAAAAGCTACATGCAGAAGACCTTTTCCCCTCGTGATCCTCTTTCCTATGCATGCATGTTGCCAATTGTTGGTGCAGTACAAGTTTAGTGTGGAAAGCAGCATTTCAAGTGTTGTGATTATTGTGAGGTTTTGTGTGAAATTTTAATTTTCAGCTATCACATTTCGTTAATTTCTTACTTTTTAGACGGGGTCCATGGACTAGAACACAATAACTTTTTTTAGAAAACTGCCATAAAGCAGTTTTTATTGCTATAATTAATTTGCAGTAGGATTGTTTATATTTGAAAAAGGAACGTGCATGTAGCTACCTATGCAAATAAATCATGCTGTGCACCATAATATCTGCTTATTTTGATTTAAGGGTAATTCTTCGGGTGCATTCCATTACGGACATTATTACAATACACCGTTGAATAGCTGGTGCATGGACGGTATCTCTATCACACATGGTTCTATGTACCTACACAGCTAGTTTTGATGACCATGCCGCGTATGCTCACTGCCCATGTAATCCCCTAGCTGGTCCACCACCTCCATCCTTTGTTGGTAGCCACTACTATTGCGCTGACCATGGCCATGCTTGGAGACGCTGGACATTCAGCCCAGCCACACATGCATGGAGCAACACCAGTCAATGTACTGCTGGTGGTGATGGTACTTGTTGTGACAACACAGATATGCCATGGTTTCATCGTCAACTGGACACTAGTACCTCTGACCAAGTACAAATACGCATATGTACAGATCAGGGCAATTTCGATGAAAATGTAGGCATTGATCAAGCTGCGGTCTTTGTGAGAAAGAATCTTTTTTTTTACCTTTATCAAAAGCGTATGGGCTCTACACTTTTAAAACTGTATAGTACAAAGAGTCAAATACATTATGTTATGCACCATGTACTCTCTGTATATGTCGATCTCAGGATAATACTTTGGATGCATTCCATTCCGCACTTTCTGCCAGTACGCAGTTGAATAGCTGGTACATGGATGGTGTCTCTATCACACATGATTCTCCTGTGCAACATATTTGGTCATACACAGCTAGTTTTGATGAGGCCGCTCACTGCCCATGTAGTACCAGAGCCAGTTCACAACCTCCAGCATTTGTTGGTAATCATTACTATTGCATGGACCATGGATCTGCTTGGAGACCTTGGACAATCACTCCAGCTGCACATGCATGGAGCAACACCAGCCAATGTACTGCTGGTAGTACATGTTGTAACAACACAGATATGCCATGGTTTCATCGTCAACTGGACAATAGTGCCTCTGACCAAGTACAAATACGCATATGTACAGATCAGGGCAATTCGGATGAAAATGTTGGCGTGGACGAAGCTGCGGTCTTTGTGAGATAAAACATGTTCTTGCCCTCCCTCTTTATCTACCCTATCCCCCTTCTTATACCTGTCAACGTACAGCATTCTATTGTTTACAATTGTCCATCCTTAGATTTCCTGGCATTCTCTAGATTGATCCAAAGGACACAGAGACAATTCTTATTTTTGTGAATATTGTTGCCAATTTACCCGACAAACTGACTTCTCAAATACCTCAACTTCTCTACTTCTATTTCATACATCTGCTTCGTTCAATCTTTACTCTTTTCTTTCATTCTTTTTCTTTTTCCTTTCTCATGTAATCACTGTCACTCACATACAAATACCGTCATAAAATAAAAATCATACCGTCATAAAAATCAGTGTATAAGCATCTTGTATCTCGTCCTGATTGCTGCAAGGTGTATTCTGATTCTTCTTTTTTCTGTTTTGTGCCGTGCTCGTCATGGTTATAAGTTGCAGTTGAGTGTGTTAGAAGCTGTTTGTCAACGTATTCATAAGCCTAATCTGTGTGTCCAGAAGGACAGCATTATTCGTTTGAAATTGTTCTAGTAGCAGCTTGTTCTGTCTGTTTGGCCCTGGTTGGCCATGGTGTAATATTTTGTGTCACAGTATACTAGTAATCTTTACAAGTTCGTTAAGTGCTTTCGCAGTTTTTCCTGTTATTACCTTAGTGCTAGGATTATCATTTTCATAGGTGTTGTTTCTTCTCACTCCATTTCTCTTTATTAGTATCTTTCTGGATTGTTTTTCATTAGTACAACGTAGCTTCGTGAGGAGTGTTGTGCGAAAACTAGTTCGAAGTACGATTTTTTGTTCATCATTTTCTCCATATCACATTTTTTCTTTCTTCCATGTTCTTCACTGCCTTCGTATCCACTCGTTTTTTGAATACAATAAAAGCCTTTGTGAAATATCGGTTCAGCTCGTTCTGTTGATCGCAATTCTATAAAAATAAAACACAAGTTTTTCTCATCTTTTTCTAATTCTTGTTTTTCATTAGCTTCAGCACGTTCATTCATATTCTTCATCATTTGTTAGAACTAAACCTGGTCTAGTGAGAAGGCATTCTACTGCCTGTAATTCTGGTGAAGTAAAATAAAGTAACAACAACAACCCTCATTCCATGTTGACTTTTTTCCTACGTTCCCAGTATATTGGAGTCCTTTGGACCCCAGGAACGTTTTGGGTGGTATTCTTGCAAACTGTCCATTTTATGTAATTTTTTATGCTGTGTTACCTTCTCATAGACCAATGCTTTGAGTCTCCAAACTGCATTTGGTGACAGCTCTGAAGTTTGTCGGGATTATTTGCAAGTTTGCAAGAATACCACCCAAAACGTTCTGGGGTCCAAAATGACCCCAATATACTGGGAACGTAGGAAGAAAGTCAACATGGAATGAGAGGTTATGGCTTTAGAAGAAAATTTTCTTGTAGGGCCTCTTACTTCAGTGAATGTCATCCATGTAGTCGGTGACCATGGAGATAAATACCAAAACTATCGCAATTGTTGCACTTCCCTGTGTTCAGTGTTACTGGGGTCCATTCGGACACGCCCGCATTTTCTGTAATAAACGTAAAATCCATCATGAGCCTCTAACCCAGACTATTTATTTATCTCGGTTATTATGTTGATGAGGAATAAATGAAGTTTTAGGGAAATGTGATGCAGCAATGTAAAATTATTTCCAAAATCAAACCCCTGGGGTCCGTTAGGACCCCACAACCCCGAATGAGGATTAATTTGACAAAATGTACATCTGAACATTTTGAGCGCTTGTTCTACAGACTACATGCTATCTTCATCCTTTTCTCCAATTAACCTTGACACAATTATTTCCTGAGTGTCTATTAATTAACCTTGCAAACAATTTATGTTAGCATTCAATCTATGCATAAATTGTCTGCAAGGTCTTTGAATTGTCTTGGGTGGAATGAACTGGAAATACCGTTTGTGGGTGCCGGCGTTCCAAATTTATCTCACCCTTGTCTCATGCTTCTATTCTTCTTCTATGGCGGGTAGTGTCTTTGGTTGGTAAATTGCCAGCCCCCCTCCTCTCCTCATCCCCCCCCCCCCCCTTCTCACCTCCTTGCAATACTGAAGGATGCGGCCGAGTTCCGCGAAGGCGAAAAGCATAGTAGGCGACTTTTAGTAGAGAATGGGGACACAGTACGAGATAATCTCGTGGAAAGGGGTGAGCTCCGGTGTGGGAGCAAACATATTTCCTATGAAATCACCGAAGTCACTCGCACTATCTGCTTCGGTTGTGCCCAGCTCCGGCTTGCGACTAGCTGGTTTGAAGGTGACAGCATTAAGAATGATGAAGTGTCCTCAACGTCTGTTGTTATCAGGGAGTCGTAAAGAAGGGTTGGCAGGACTCTGCGGTTCTCACCGTCCAGGAGCGACACTGTCCCAAGCAGTTATCTGGTGTTCACGAGGTGGTTATCGCACTGGAAATGGAGCGTCTCTTTACGTTTATACTCCTGCTAATGGGTTTGCACTGGAGAGCATTATAATAATTAGTGGTGCTATTGAAACACAATCATCCTCCGCCTACTCGAGGTCAACTGATGACGGGTGAATTCCCCGTGTTTCAATTGATGTCGGTGTCGGGTTCTATGGGGGGGGGGGCTAAGGGTAAGCGGGTGGCAGAATGACTACCAACTGGGCCGGACCGGACATGTAATGAAGCTTAATAAAAAGGGTAGCACAGTCCACACGTATCAAAGGAGGCGAAATCGCCTGTTTGTGGTGCGACGTTAAATAAACTTCTACAACAACAACAACAACAACACAGTAACCAGACTTGCTGACGCACTGATAAACTTCGAGGCATGGTCCCAGGGGCAATGCTGAGTATGCACCGTTGCTGTATGCGGTCAAGCTTCATGACTCTTGGACCGAGCGGCGCCTTGCCAGACCAGGGGAACAGACCACATAGTGGAGCGAATGAAGCCTTCCTATTCACTGAGGCGGTCACTGTGGTTAAGTACTGGGCACCCCTTTCTGCAAGGCGCTGGCTGGCTCTGGCTACAACCTTTGAAATCTTGTATTCTCACGATGGCCTGTGGCCAATAAGAGAGCCTTGTGGAGATGGTTGCGGAACAAACGTTCGCGGTCGACGGCAACACAGTGAAGGTAGACATCCGTTTCCTCTCTGATCGCGGTACCATCAAAGTCGAGAGAAGAGGGTGTCTGTTCATTGACATCCCTGGCACTTTGTCGGCTCAAACTGAACTTGACATCTCGATCTACATGCTTGAAGCTCATCGCGGACGCGGAAGGCTTTCAGTGTTTTGAGCGTGATAGGGGACACGTCATCGGCACGTTCTGTCGTCTGCGTATGATGCTAGCTAGCATTCATGGGAGAAACAATCGTCGTTTACATAAAGAAGGCAAATATCCGTGGTTGGCCTGTTCAGAAGGTCTTTCGATAAAGCACACTGCATGAATGTGACGCAGTGATGCAACTAACCACGACTGTACCAAGATAATAAGGACTTTCTGATTGCTTATTATCTTGTTACAGTCGTGGATAGTTGCTTCATAACTCGTTTCCATGTGAATTCTTCAACTTTTTAAATATTTTTAGGTCTTAAGTCGTTGAATTTCTCAGTAGCCTGTCAGTTTTGTGCCCTGTTATCGCACGTTCTGACTTCTGACTGCTTATTGCCTTGTTGCAGTCCTGGATACCGTACACGCCCGATCAATGCCCCTGGGGCACTATGTTTGCAATGTCCATCACAGACGGAGCACTATTCAAGATAGGGCATTAATTTTTCAATGGTGGTATATTTATTTTTATTTTTTTTTCATCCAGCTTGAGAACAGAGAAGGCAATGAAAAACAGAGCCTAAAGTTTATTGTAACCTATCATTCCTCGAATTCTGCTCCATTTCTTTATCCACATACCAAACATGCATGAAAACTAACAGAAAAAGTACCGAATTCTGCCAATTTTTCTGCCCGCATTATCCGCAAAGGCCTACTGTGGGTAGCAGCACGGCAGGAAAAAACTGCTCCCAGGCAGGACTTAAACCACGTACCTCTCGTATCTCACTCATGGTCCTTGACCAATCCACGGTGCCTGCCTATATCCCTTCAGGAACGGACACGATAATTTACTTTTTACTTACTCAACAGAAACGGCAGCAAGAAATGCGATTTTGATCCTGGACCAACTAGTGCAATGAAAATGACAAGAACATTAGCAAATGAACACCAAACTTACACATGCGCTTCGCTCCAAGCCCGGGGGTGGGGGGAGGGGGCACTATTCAAGAGACGGCTGTATTTTTTCACTGGCTCTAAGAGAGTAGGGCACTATTCAAAAGAGGACTCTAATCGCTCGAGTACGGTATGTTGTGCGCCATGTACTCTCTGTTTATGTTGATCTCAGGATAATACTTTGGATGCATTCTATTCCGCACATTATCACAATACACAGCTGAATAGCTGGTACATGGACGGCGTCTCTATCACACATGGTTCTCCAATGCAACATCTCTGGACATTCACAGGTAGTTTTAACGAAGTCGACGTTGCTCACTGTCCGTGCAGTCCCAGAGCTGGTGCGCAACCTCCACCATTTGTTGGTAGTCATTACTATTGCGCCGACCATGGACATGCTTGGAGACGTTGGACATTTACCCCAGCTGCACATGCATGGAGCAACACCAGTCAATGTGCTGCTGGTGGGACATGTTGTGACAACACAGACATGCCATGGTTTCATCGTCAACTCGACACTAGTACCTCTGCTCCAGTGCAAATTCGCACTTGTGCAAATGAGGGTAATTCGAATGAAAATTTTGGCATTGATGAATCCGCTATCTTTGTAAAGTAAATTATCCAGTGCTCTTCCATCTCAATAGGCTGAGGTTTAATACATGATTGTATCTTTGCCAAATGCCAACCATATGATAGGGAACAAAAAAAGGTTTAAAACCAATACGTATGGTGAGTTGCACATTCAACACACACACCATTGGCTAGGATTCAGTATCCTTTTACGTTTTCGCAATTAATTTTCAAGTATAGAATTTACACGTCAACTAAATATTTTCTCTGCTTTGCACTTAGACGCTACTAAAAAAAAGCTGGACCTTTTTTTCCTTTTTGTCGCACTTGCATCTTTTGCCACGTGCAATACAGGTAGTTGTCTTGATGTGTATGTTCAGGTAATCGCGTAACTGCCCAGCAGCGTGTTGACGTTCTCTGTGGTATTATCTATACTGTACGCACCTTAGCACACTGCTTTCACTACCACCGGCATGCAGCTTAAGATTATTTATATTTTTTGCATGGTGCTAAACAGTACGCCAACTGGGAATACGTTGATTCTATTATCCTCTCTGATTGGATTGGGAGTTCGTGGAGAAAGGCCGACAGCGCATGGGAAGGAGCAGTGAATAAATGAAATAACTGGGCACCGCTGCCTTATCATGAGGGTGACGGATACATGTATGTTCTTTCCAAAGTAGCTGCATGTACAAAAGCATGATGCTACGTTTCAGTCACCTATTGCAGATTACAGTGAAGGGATGGGGGTTGTCACTGGGTAGGTCAACGGGGTGATTGAAAGATTTTGTCACGTTCTAGTACAGATTTCGGAAGTAGCTGTGCCTGAGTAGTTAGGAGTCTATCCTCTGACACACTATCAACAAGAGAACCAAAATGATACGCCAAATTTGACAAGAATACTTGAAGAGCCAACTGTAGCACACATGATAGGCTTGAACGCTTCCTTTATACTTGAAGCATCATTTACTGGTGACGGTCCAAGTCCAAGTCCGAACCGTCGGAGAATAAATCTTGAAGTGAAATGAAATAACAGCTCGAGTTTGAGTGGTTGTTGCCTGACCAAACCAAAATCACTGCCGAATATGCATGATGTAATTGATGGAGAGATACACGAGCCAATATTTCGTGAAAAACCCTTTGCCAAAGTGCTCTACCTCTTTCGCTGTCATCATGGATTTGTGCCTTGCAACTTGCGCTTTACGAGACGGCACCACAACAACTAGACTTGACTGCTAAGTACGTTTCTTCAAGGTTGGATTCAACATAAAATGTAGTCATCTTATTGGATGATTGTACAAGAACAATTTGAATTTGAATTTGAATACTGCAGCTATATCTATTAGTTCAGCATAATTTTGATTCTGCCACAGTCGCCAGTAATTACATACCTGGCCGCATATACTCACGAATCACTGGCAGCCCTGAATCTTTTATTCAAAATGCAATGTGCCTAAGCATACCTACATGCATCATGAATGTCTGGAGTGGCGGGGCGGAATGCTACAGCGCGTAGGTAGACGTGAACACTACGTAGGGGTAACTGGAAATACTATGTCCAAGCCATTTCGGTATTAAAGAGGTGCTAGGTTGCCTAGTAACCGTATACGAGTTTGTTTCATAAGGAATATCTGAAGTACCGGACTCGCGGGATTAGAGCTCCTCTTGAATAGTGCCCCTTCTCCCCCCCCCCCCCCACAAACTTGTAAGGAAGCACATGCCCACGTTTGGTGATGGGCTTGTCTATGTCATTGAACTGGTGGTTTTCAGGATGGAAATCGCCGTTCTGGTTGCTCTTTCTGTCGAGTCGTGATAGTTAACATTAAACTTTAGGCTATGCTTTTCTTTGTCTTCTTTGTTTTGTGCGGAATAACGTAAATGTACCCCAACTAATTATCTCTCTTGAATCATACCCTCTCTTGAATAATGCCCTCTCTTGAATAGTGCCCCATCTGTGATGGACGTTTAAAACTTGGTGTCCCGGGGGCACCAATCGCGCGAGTACGGTACCTCTAGCTGCACATAACGTAGCATGCTCTCTCTCTTTTTGTATTTCTGGATTTAACTTTGGATTAGTTCGGTGGGACCGGAAGTTGGCCGAGTCTCACGCGAACCGTGAATTTTTTTTTTTTTTGGTATGTGGATAATGAAATTGAGCAGAATTCGAGGAATTGCCCTCCATAAGGTTTGTAAGGTTCTGCCAATTTCACTGCTTTTCGAGCAGAATCTGCCACCTTTTCGAGCAGAATCTGCCACCTTTTCGAGCAGAATCTGCCACCTTTTCGAGCAGAATCTGCCACCTTTTCGAGCAGAATCTGCCACCTGTTCGCGCGTTATCCGCCAATGCCTATTCAGGGCACTTGTCTGTGAGGAAATGAGGCATGCCATATTTGAATATGAATAGTGATCATGTCGAGATTGCCAGATTGCCCACAGCGCTAAAACCTATGCGAGTCAAACTGACAGGTCACCACTGCAAATGTGTTTCAGTGTGCGACTCCGTGGCAAAGCAGCTACAATCATGTAGAATCATTCTACTACATGTAGTACCCAGTGTTTCAGTGTGTCAGTGTGTCAGTGTGTCAGTGTGTCAGGAACATCATGGACCACAGCCATGGCATTGCAGTTTGACAGTGCATGTTGGATCCGAGACACATACGGCCACCACCGTTACTGGAGCGCGCAAGCATTCGAGCTCAGTCGCACAGTTGCGCGAAGACTAGAATTGTAGAAGTAGAGAGTGCAGACGTCAGTCACCTCATCTGAATAGTCTCATTACGTTCCGCTCGGCTGAACCCGTTTCACAACAGAATCTGAGTGTTGACGTAGGGCAGAAAGATTTCTAGAACTACCGGTCTACTCTATTCCCGGTTTTGGTCGCTGGAGAACTGGACGTGAGATGGGGCGAATGACATGGAAGGGTCACCAGCTGGTGGTGCTCCTGGTTTTCTTGTGCACTGTCGTGACGCTGAGTTCAGGGCAGAGAGTAGTAGGAGCTGACGGAGCGACGCGCTCGCCCATTCAAACTGGAACCTCTGGTAAGAGTATCATGATCTGCAGTCTCGAGAAATGAATGAATGAATGTCAGATCATAGCTAAAACATGTATATCTGGTGAAGCACGTATAATTGATCTACCCGCAGATCGTATTGGTGTGCATGGCTAATTGGTCAAAGCAGGATGCGGGATAGTACGCACTGCGTTCATGTCTAAATTGGCAGTACCTGGATTTGCCTATAAAGCTCAAAGGGACTAACCACGGAAAACGCTCGTGGAATCCTTTGCACTCTTTATAGTGCATATCAAGTTTTTACAGGAAACGAAAATATCACAAAGCTAGACAATGAGATTTGGGGGGGGGGGGGGCGGGAGGGACGCTTTAGTGTCGTTGACTTGCAGTTCCGCCTGCAGTCTCTGGACACCACTGCATGCCGGAGTTGCACACTCTGGAGGGCTATGTACTCCTGATTCTAATCATGGCTACAATAATGTTTGTCGACACTCCGCATTTCAAGGGTTACATCTTTGAATAGGAACACACTTTTGGGCCTCTTCTATAATGGACAGGACGAAACATTTCTCACCGCAGTTGATGGTTACCAACCTGATAGTAAACGCGCCAGTTGTGAACACAGCTTTAAAGCTGTGTTCACAGCTGGCGCATGTACGCGGTACGCTTGCGGTTCATGCGTGCCTATACGCGCGCGCGATCAAGCTTTCACAAAAAACAGCTATCCGAGTCGTATTTAGCGCGTGCAACACCTTCGAGTACTTATTTTTTGACCCCGCCAGCCAAAGTGACTGGCATGTATGCTGGTACGCGCTGAAAATTCCAACATGTTGGAGTTTCCATTTCGGCGCGTTTCCGTACGCACGGCGCCCCAAAAGCCAGCAAAATACGCACAAACGCGTGGTTTCACGCTCACAAGCGGCAGTTGTGAACACAGCTTAACTCATTATACGCGTTGGACACAGGGACATGATACTCCTAAAACACACAAAATTTCTGTTACTAGTTAAAACAGCAGTTCCATTTTGGTAAATGCAACTGTCGAGTGTACGCGTGCAACGACGTGTTTGTGCGTATTTTTGTTGGCTTTTGGGGCGCCATGCGTACGGAAACGCGCCGAAATGGAATTTCCAGCATGTTGGAATTTTCGGCGCGTACCAGCGTACATGCCAGTCACTTTGACTGGCGGGGTCAACAAATTGTACTCGAAGGTGTCGCGCGCGCGCGCTAAATACGACTCGCATTGCTGTTTTTTTGTGAAATCTTGAGCGCGCGTTTGGGCACGCATGAACCGCAAGCGTACCGCATCTACCCGCCAGTTGGGAACACAGCCTTATTCTTTAAGGACGTCTCTGCTGTGCGTTCCAATCAAAAGCCCAGCCCTCTAGGCTTTTCGAATAATGAAAATTGGCTTGATCAATTTGAGATTATGACTTCGGGACTTGGCGCAGGCAGATCCCCACCCCCATTTTCTCATAACATGGATTTCTAAGCGATTGGATAACAGAGAGTAGTTGGGTGGACACATCCATTCCCACAGCACTGCAAACCGAACCGATTCCTTTTACGTACAACGTTTCGGCACAATTTCCGTCGTCGTACGCAGTGCTGTGGGAATGGGTCTGGCCACACAACTACTCTCTACTTATGAAGCTGCAAGATGCCTCGAAATTACTTCTCGATTGAATATCAATAACAAAATTTCGAATATTTTTGCACGAAGTGGTTATAGATTTAATGAGGTATAGATGCTTGCCTATCGGCGTACGTTTTTAACCAGAGGCTTATTCTATTGTTATGCAGTGTAGTGGGAGCAATGCTGTTTGTTCTGGTGTGTGACAGAAAAATACAATAACATACAATCCTTATTGGTATTACCACTAACTATTTCTGCACCAACACTCTTATCTATTCAGTCATTGTGTCCACACATGCATTCAGTTACACGAACTGCAGAGTAAAATAGTTCTTTATCCACTGACGATGTTGTTTAGAACAACGAAACGTCTGGAGAAGTATCGTAACAATTTCTATCGTTATTAAATGTTATCAAATATACCACTCTTTGGTCTAGAAAGAATACTTTTTGATATTACAATGAGAGTGAATAATCAACGGCTTGTCCACCAACTCTTTAAAATAGTTAGGGTCATGCTGTGCCCCATTGATATTTTTTATTCCTGTAGATACATGCATGACGTCATGGTTACGTCATTCGTTCCCTAATGACAATGATCAGTCCACGAGGAGGTACGAACAACTGATGGGTGAATTCTTGCCACCCGTTGATCAGCGGACGCTTTCGACAACGAGCAAGTTGCTACTGTCTGCTATCCTTGGCGGGGATGAGAGAGTGTCAAGATTTGCTACATGTGCTGGTACGTACCCCTGTACATGTAGTAAGTGGAATTGTGATATTTAAACGAATCACACAGATTAAGAATCATATTCATCTTTTGTGATGACTAGAAAAGCCTTTATCAGAAACCGTGAAATGGTTCTATTCTAAAACGCTTTGTGCTAGATTGAGTGTACCGAATTGAGAATGATCTGCTCTGATGTCCACAAATAGGGGAACAGTGATGCTTCACAATTTCCTTATTTTCTCATCGCCTCATACGTCAATGTAACGACATGAACCAAACACTGGTAAAAAATAGTGTTGTGAACTGATTGAAAAGACCGCGAAAGATGCTTACCCGCGCCCATTACATCAGGATTCGACCATTGAGCCTTGTTTGTCGTAAGCAATGCTCTAACCATGAGCGATCGGACCAGGTGGATCCCAGAAGGCGCTTTCATCCCAAAGGAAGCTCATGACACGTGCCACCCATACTACTTCCAGTGGGATGTTTTCCCTCCACGGGGGCTAACCATGGAACATGCTAACAAAGGTGAATGAAAAGGATCGCAATCTTTTGAACAAATTGAACGGAAACCGCAGGACATGAAGTAAAGAGGGAACATTGCCTACCCCAACAGGAATCGAGCCAGGGATGTTGTTTGTCAGGACAATGCTCGAACCATCTGAGCTTTGGGACCACCCATAGAAAACGTTGAACGCACTGAAAAGGTTTTCAATACAAAGGCAGTTCTAACACGTGCCACGCACAGCATTAGCCCTTGGGTCCTTTTCCGGGGCCCGGGGACCAACCGTGGGCAGTTTCTGGAACGTACTACCAGAGGCGAAAGAAGGTGACAAATTTTGCAGAATTGAGGAGAAACTTCAAATTCCACGTTACTAAGTATCTGTCAGAGAAGTGAACATCCATGCTCTACCTGAGCCCGTGCTTCATTCAGATGGTAATATCCTTGCTCATGACAAGCGAGCAAGGTTCGAATCCCAACATGATTGGCATTTTTCGCTTCTCGCTCCACATATACTGGCACACACAGAGACATAGACAGCAATAGCGACAACACACCAGGTGAAGGGTAGTTGGCCGCAGCCAGATGTGAACCGGATAACGAGTGAGGTATGGAAGCAAGGACTGAGAACAGAGTATCTCAGATAGAATAGGCGTGCCAGTGGATAGCAGAAATAGGCCATGATGCACAACCACTTGGTATCGTCAGATAAATTATCCTGGACCGAACCAGCCGGGAAAAAACCCTCGCGCCGACGGACGCAGTTGTGAGGGAAAAAGCGGGTGTATATCCCCAATGGCAATTAGGCAGCATGTAGGCATGGCAAGCACGTCACGACAAAAGTGATAAAAAAGCAATGATAATATGCACAAAAATGAAGGGTGGGAGGGCAGGGACACTGATGAGACTCAAAACTGACTGAAGAAGTCAGGAAAAGAAACGATAATAAAGAACACACCAGATGCCATATTTGCAACTGAAAATATTTCGCGAGAAATCATTAAATTTTCTCTTTTCTGGCAGTTCACCTCCCAGACTGATTACATTGAATTCAAACTTTCTCACAATGTTAGAATACTTTAATCCTTGCTGTGGCTGGTGTGTTTTTAGATGGTCAGTGTGAACATCCGTCTCCATGCCAACACGGTGGTAAATGTGTGTACGCTAGTGTTGATGGTAACACTCCTCAGCTGAAGCAGTACAAGTGTCAATGTAGACCTGGATACGCTGGACGACAATGTGAACTCGGTAAGGTGCAGTGTGAACGAGCCAGAATATTTACCAACGTATAGTATTTCCTCTGGATGAAGTTCAGTTGTGAATGCAAAAATGCATGCATAATTCCTTCCACAGACCGGACAAACTAGCCATCAATCTACTTGTACTTCGAAGTATCTACTTCTGTACACGTTTTTTTCTATCCATCAAAGCTTGCTGTGTTTACCCTACGGTTTGGGGCGTATGAAGTCGATGCTTTGCGTTGGTTCAAAAAATGCGATCAGTTCGGCCATGAACTCGGACCTTTGTTGAGAAGACCTAATAAGGTCAAAACAAGTAGCTGTCCTGAGACTATTTATACGTCAAATACAAAGGTAGCTTGCACGCCGCTCTGTGCTGCTGTCACTTAGGCATATAGGAAGCCGACGATTTAAATTTCCGTCTCTGGGAGATTGTCAGCCAGGCGATCTCTCTCCATGCCTTCCCCACCACGAGCACCATGAAATTAATCCAGAAATATTGGGACGCCATCATCTTTAACAGCCGGAGTTCCTACAGCCTCGCGGAAATGTACTAGACGTGTTCCACTCTGCAATTGAATATTTGAAATTCGCTTGCAGTTGAAGCTGGGAAGACGAATTCATCAGTCTATCTCCCGTCCTTGGAATGAAGGGCTCCTATATTCTCTGCTGATAAGTCACCTGAAGGTGGCAGTTACTCAACGCGCAAGAGCACGGGCGCCTTAGGACGTTAAGGGCGAGAACAACTTCTACTCAGGGTGCGCCACATCCCGAATGTTGTAGATATCTTTCTAATGGTTGATGCAAAGTTGATTTCTTCCTGATGATTATCCCAAAATGAGAGCTTCCATGACTATTGTCAACAGTGTCTCAATTCTGAACCTCTACTTGTAGTGTATTCCGTATTCTCAACAGTGTCTCAATTCTGAACCTCTACCTGTAGTGTATTGGCATCTCTGTATTTATTTTCCTTTGCTGTGTGTCCTTTCAGTTGTATCAGCCTGCATCACACGGAGGTCATGCATGCACGGAGGACGTTGTGAGCGATCTGGATCACACCATTACGTATGTCACTGCCCACCATTCTACTATGGACAACAATGCCAGCACAGTAAGACTCTGACTGCACGGGCTCTTTCGGAATCCAAAGATTAATATCGAATATTTAATTCAATATTTACAGGGCGATTTGGGACCACTACTGGCTGTAGCTTGATAAAGAAGCTCACTGCCACCCTTAGTGTCACGTCAAGTGATATTCAGATACCAATACGAACATTGAAAGTGAACGCAAAAATCAGCTATTGTGATGTATTGCGTAAATACTTCACGGTGGTATGGTCTGCACGGAAAGACAACTTACACGCGTGTTTGTGTTGGATGGTCACGTGATGCCAGGTTACAGCGTGGGTAAGAATGTATGAAAAGGTAGCCACAGACACACGCGTTAGCATACAATGTATGTGCACTCACGTACCCATTCACAAAATGAACACTTACACGAAAATTGTATTTTCTTCGTTTTATTGCCTGCAGGATTTGGTATCGAGGAGTTCGAAAACATGACATCGTCGCTGACCAAGTTTAACCATCGGCTCAACACCGTTGAGACGAAATCAGCACGAGCATCTCAGAGAAATGCCAACACCATAACGACCTTCCTGCGTCGTCTTGAAGCGCGCCTCAGCACCAGACTTGACACACAAGATGCAAAAATCAGTCAACTGCTCTCCCAACAACAAGCTACACAAGAGGATCTGAACAACACACGTGCTATGCAAGTACAAGTGGTTTCCGATCTCAGAGCCAAAGACCGCACCCTGGAGGCAATGTTCACGACCAAACTCGCAGAACAAGGAACAAAGATATCCCATCTAACAACAGGACAGCAAACGATGCAACGCCAGCTAAACCAGAGAATGGACAATGGCCTTGCCTCTGTGCGACAGCAACAAACTGCACTGATGAACAGCCGCATTTCCCAATCGGAAAGTCGAAGTAACCAGAATATGGATTCTCGTCTTGGGCAGCTTGAAACTGAACTAAATCAAAGAATGGATGACCGAGATTCACATCTACAGATGCAGGTACATTGTGCATGTATTATCTACTTCTTTTTAAGTACAGTATTTTAATATGCTGCTACTTGGAGTTATTAATATACCACTCCACGGAGTAGGTATTTCCCGAATTGGCACAATTTTGTCGCCTAGTCAGCTTTTTATGATATGGCTGAACTTGAACATTCTCTCAGATCGGTTGAGAGAAGATCGGTTGAGAGAAACTCAGAGAATGGCCAAATTGGGCTCCAAACAGTAATTGAAGCCACCGCTCGCAGTATACATTATAGTTCTACATAGTGCAATTGCATGCACGCTATAGGGGCGCTGAAACATCGATTTTCGCCGAATTCAGTGCGAGGTTTATAAATTCGGCGACATTTTCGGTGATTTCTTGACAGCCACTGATTTCCGTGTCTCTCTTTTCCTGGTGACCGATTTCAGAAATGCATAACGTGGCCGTCACCTTTTTTTTATTTGCAGTATAATGGTTACAGAAACTGTATTTGCATGCTGTAGAGGCACCAAACAAACTGTGATTTTCGGAGAATTCAGTGTGAAAATTCAAAATAATTATTGAATATTGGAGAAACGATGGCTAGTTTCTTCACAATCACTGTTTTCGGCTCTCGATTTGGGAAATGCCTACCATGGAGCCATGTTAGACCTGCTCTGCATATGCTTTGAGATTGAGGTATAAATCGTACTACAAGAGAGTGCGATTGCTGACCAATAGTAAACACTGTATTAGCAGGGTGGGGATTTTAATGTGTACAGGTACATGCTACATAATTATACATATCTGCTCAGTTACAGAACAAGGACAATCAAGGCTGTTTTTGCTATCTGCTCAGTTATTATTAAAATTTTGAAGAGTGTGATTGCTACAACATTTTCTTTCTGCTTGCATAGCACAGGGTCACGTGTACGAATATGAACAGCTTCCAACACCTGCAACTGCTTACAGAAACGTGATATCGTAGAACTGACACTCTTCAAAAATTATACGCACTCTAGTTTTGTCCACACACGCACACAGCTGCCACAGTCATCTACATGTATTGCTACCATGATCAGATGCACAGCATAAATTCACACTACACGCGTTAAGCATAACCGCGAGCTGCTGCATTCTCACGCTCCTTATCATACTATTCTATTATAGCTGGTTAAAATGAAACGAGTTGTAAATTTGCAGTGTCCAAGAAATCAGCATGTGTGCTCAGTGCTCGCCAATTCGTTTTGGTCCGTTTTAAGTTGATACTGTATAACAATATCAACAGTTGATCAGAGCTCTCGTGAGATTGTGCAAATATTAGGGAACGGTACTGTCGGGTTTCACAGAACTGGGGTCAGCCTCGTAGCCTAGAACGTTCATATTTTGCATGTACCGGTACTATGCACAGTTGAGTATCGTGTATACATTGGCATGCTGTCCTTGGTGAAACTCTAGCCTGTTCGTTCTTTGGCACTGCATTCTTCGGCAACCGACAGAACTGTATTGGGATACGAAAAGAGGACTTATGTGAAAACGTTGAATTTGTACCTGGATTATCTGCTTTGCGATAGGTGAAGAAGAACTCTCTCAAACTCGCTAGTTCATGTAAGGAAATTCAGCAACTCTCAGACTTCACAGCCTCCTCAGGTAAGATCCCACATCTCAGCGGGACAATCCATTAAATTTAGCTTTTGCGTGTGAGTGCGGGGGGGGGGTGCGTGCATCCTTGTGTGTGTGTGGGGGGGGGGGGGGGACTGGGTGCGTGCATCCTTGAGTGCAAAGTGGTGTATGGATAGGGTGTTAATATTACGGCCAGATTGTGTAGTAGTTTATAACAATTTTAACAGGTGTACTACCACAAAATGAATAGAGACTCAAGTGCCAAACCAGGAATTGTCAAAGTGCGTTTTGTACCTCAATCCGGCGAAAATCGGGATTAAAAAACCAGTAGAACTACAAACGTAATTAGAAGAAAGTGCTTTTAAGCCATTCGTTCAAGAATCAAGATGTTGGACGTTAGTCGCTAGACATTCAATCATGCAGCAATGCTGTCTATGTGTTCTCCCCGTACCATCTTCAGGCCTGTACAAGATTTTTCTGCTCCAGCGAGGGAGGACATCAACCAAGGAGGTAAACTTCTTGCCTTTATCCAAGCAATCTAAAACTATGATTTTACTGGACATTGTCTCGATCACTTTGTTTATACATAACAGAGTCAGGTATGGAAACAGCGGTCCAAAATGGGCTTGAGTTGATAATGGAATATCTACATACATTTATATGCACACACCACCCACATGGTATAGGACTACCATGGCACCTCACAGTACCCATTGTGTTATACCCGTGTTTTGTTCGCTCTATAGGTCTACTGTGATATGAATCACTACGGTGGTGGTTGGACAAGAATTGCCTACATCAACCCCACGCAGCAGGGCGGTTGTCCCGGCAACATGACATTTCAAAACCTTCAAGTCAAGCTGTGCACTAAACAACTCAGCAATGGAGGTTCATGTGATGGTGCCACCTTCCAGTCACCTATTGGACAATACAGTGAAGTAATGGGTTTCGTCACTGGTTATCGGGTGAGTGAAGCAATGGGCCGCTTTCTGGAACATTATTTCTTTTTCGGAAGTGCATGTCGCGTTTTTGTGCTCCACCCGAAGAACACCACACGCGACACCAGGGTTGAATAGCCAGTAGCTGGCAATGGCAAAGTAGTTTCCTCTCAAGGAAGTAGGCCACTGCGACATGAGGACCACGTTGGCTAAGCTTGGGTTTGCTCAGACTCGCAGTTGACCACCATGATTGTTGTGGTTTCGCACGTGTGGATGATTATCATCGTCTTCCATTATCCATTTTTGGTGTTGTTTTCTAATCCTTCACCATCGCACCGCGTACCGTGTTACTTAAAAAATCGTTTTCATTATTATTAATTTTTCAAGCTGAGTATGCAAATACGGTAATAGAAAAAGTAGCGCCCGTAAGCGTATCGACTGACTGACCCTCCAGGGCAAACTTTGCTTAACTTCTTTATCGTCAGACTGCAGTCCTTTCATCATTTGTTCACATCAGGCAGCAATACAATACCACGATATTGTACTACTCCCTGATGCAAACATATTCGCAGTTTGGCAGGGGCGGTGATGTATATGCGTACTTGACGTCAAAGAAACCTCTTTCCCCTGGTTCAGGAAGATCCTAATTGAACTTCTTTTACATGTACATCTTTATCTGAGCTGGACGGGCGTATCCAGACAACAATTATCATGAATCCACACGTTCTGTAAGAAAGAAAAAAACTACTTCAACTACAAAGTACATGATTAAGGTGGCAGACTACCCAAAAATTCGCTGAAAATTGAATTCGTAAATTCATATTGAGTGCTACGTCAGTTGAAAGGGCTTGAATAACTGCAAATTCTCCGGAAGTTGTGTCCCGATCTGACCGGCCGTTCAAGAGTTATGGCCGAAAATGTGCCCTTGCAAGGAAAGGTCTTTTTGTTGCACGCTGTCATTTGTTGGCAGCACTGTATTTGAAAGTGAGCAGACCGTGCGCAACTTGTCGTATCATGGAAAGATGCGAACGTGTGCAGAATTTTGCTCCAAGTCCAAAAACATCACGTTAAAAAACCACGTATTGGGCTGCATGGCGTCGGGCGAAACCCGCCGCCGTGCAGCAGGACTTTTGCCAGCACCCTCGTGACGTTGCAGATATGTGGCTTGGTTATTGTAGTTGACGTTGATTTAGTGACTTTGGCAAGTTTGAGTCGTGTCAAGAAGTCAGGTAGGATTCAGTACTAGGCAGTAGTGGAACGTGAGTGGTAGTCTTTGCCGGTTTCTGAAGGTATCCTGGATTTGGTGTGCAGCGCTGTGGAAATGGCTTGCTGTGGAGGTCCCAGCACTGGATGTTGTATCAAAGGTACGACTTCGTAGCACGTGCTAAACCTAAAAAATTCAAAATTTGACTTGGGTCTGTGGGAGTCTGTGAGAGAACGCCCACTCGCTCCGTTGTGACAGATTGCAGGGCCACGTTGAGGGGCCCTACCCCACCACCCATGGCTGCTTCTGGACTTGTTTTAGGTTTGAGTCCCGCGCACGGACAGAATGGGCACGAAAATGTGAAAAAATTGAAATGCATTAATTTTGTTTGGCTCCTGGGTGGCTCGCACACCGTGGCACTATGCCGGAAATTTGAAGTTTTCCGGCCTGGAAAGCCTGTCAGTGAGGCCCAAGAACTTGTAAATCATGTCCTGAGGGCCAGCATAGTGGCAGGAGTGTGTGGTCAAAATTTCACTCAAATCCATTGAGAAACACCAAAGTTACAGTCAATTGAATGCCATATGAAATTTATGGGTAGGCTGCCCCCTTAAGATGCACATGTGCAAATACAGTTATGCAGCAGTTGACATTGATCCTACATTCTCTGCTTTTTGTTAAATCGAAGGACAACACTGTTGATGCATTTCACGATGGACATTATTACAATGTCTCGTTGAACGGCTGGTATATGGATGGAGTCTCTATCACACATGGTTCTCCTATGCAACATATATGGACATACACCGCTGGTCGTGATGACTCTCACCGTAACAGTCACTGTCCGTGTAGTCCCCTGGCCGGTCCACAACCTCCATCATATGTCGGTAGTCACTACTATTGCGCAGACCATGGACCTGCATACATGCCCTGGACATTCACTCCAGCCGCACATGCATGGAGCAACACCAGTCAATGTACTGCTGGTGGTACATGTTGTGACAACACAGATATGCCATGGTTTCATCGTCAACTCGACACTAGTACCTCTGATCAAGTACAAATGCGCATTTGTGTAAGTGAGGCCAGTTGGAATGAAAATGTTGGCATTGATGAAGCTGCCCTCTTTGTAAAATGATTTTCTTCCACTACTTTTCCAATGCTCTTGCCTGAGAATTACAATCCTTGCCAACCAAGCCACGAAATTTATTGTACTTGCTCGGCAGCACTATTTCTATAATTTTCTAGCAGTAGTCATGTCAAGCAATAGAACCATAATTATCATTGGCTCTCAGCTGCCTATCTAGCTTATATACGTGGTAATTTCCTTCTTTACTACTTCGAAATAGTTATGTACTTTGCAGCTGATTTGATAATCCACATCTTATTTTTATTTCATCGCACTTGTATCTTCATTACGTGAATGTTACATAATCATTATGAAAGTCATAGTAATTCTATGCATTTTCTGGTTTTTCTCAATCACAAAGTGTCCGTTTAATGTAATGCCAATCGATCTTCAAAGGCTCTACTTCGGGGGGGGGGGGGGGGTCGTTTTGGAACAACAAGTTTGGGTAGAAACTACTACTTCGAAGTACCGTAAAGTACCGTTGATCCGCCCCTCTCTAATTCCTGCCTACTTCTGTACACAATATTTGCAAATCCAGGATGAAAATGTGCACAATCCAGCACATCGAGTCTGAACTTCTACGTTGTTGTACATCGCACTGCACTTGACAGCCTTGATCTAATTCCCGCCCCCTGCCGAAAACCCAGCTGGGAAGCGACATGGCGTGGGAGGGGGGTGGGGGGGGGGGCGGATCAACGGTACTTTACGGTAGTACTTATTTCGGTAGATCCGTTGGTAGAGGTACGGGATTTCCAGCAAGATCAAGAAGTTGCACACAACTCCACACAGAAGAGAAACGTTTCACGTACATGTAAATATCGTGAAAAACCACTAAATCCGGTAGGACAGCGTTCGTGCACTTACCTCTACCTTCCACCTCTATCGGTTGAATGCCTCTGCACTGCTCATTAGTTGTCAGTTTGTCCAAGTCTCTGTACCATTGTCTTTCCCTATTCTTTTCGAGGTGGTTATGTGAACATAGTAAAAAAATAAATAAAATAAAAAAACTGCTCTACCAGGTAGCTACACACGACAGCACCCTTCGTTATACATCTAGTGCTACAACTGTAGCAGTAGCCATTAGCACAATTGACATATTCGTTGCGAGCTGGCAGCATCTCAGATAGCTCTGAAGTTGTGTGCGAATGTGTGTTTACGATCTAATGCAGCTTGACTGATATGCCTGTAACTGACTGAGAACTGACTGTAGTGCGGATGCAAGTTTTTGAGCTCCGCCTTTCCGGTGCTTTCCAAGATCATCTTCAGTCGTTTTGCATACCATGAGTGAGACCATGAGTGAGAATGAAGAAGTAGACCTTGCTACAATGTCATATGACAATATCCGTGACCTTGCAAGATCCAAGAAGGTGCTCCAAGAAGGTCAATCGAAGCTGAGCCGACAAGAACTTGTGGCGATCCTGCGGACTAATGGAATCGGGACCAACGCAAGCTCTGCCCCAGTAAGTTGTGCTAGCTGTATTTCACTGCATGACTCCCTAGCAAACTTTACAAAGGCCCTTGAAGGCATGGTTATGAAGATGGCTGGTTTCATGGAGATGAAGTCCACCATCGAGCACATACAGCAGGAAATTGCAACGATGAAAAACGAAGGGCAGCAGGAGGGCGCGAAGACGCAAAGCACAGCTAACGTTAGGAACCGTCAGTACGCTACCGTAGCGCAGTCTGCTCCAGCCCCAGCCTGTGAACCCAAACCGTACTCCCACAAACATGTACAGCATCAGTCTATGCAAACTGCCACCGACACCCAGCAGACCAAGCAAACCGACAAACCCGCTCGTATGAGTACTGGCAGCACTGAAGATTCGAACTCGTCCTGGCAAACCCAAGGTCCACGACGCCCAAACCGCCCACGTGCATCAGGTGGGTCATCTTCACATCCCGGCACGAGTGCTACTGGCAGTACTGAACTACATGTACGTTCATCTGTCACATCGAAGTATGTGAAGAAGGTGACTGTAACAGCAGCCCCAGGTGTTCTAAGTGGAGTAGAACGCAAACGCCTTGCAGTGCTGCATGTAGGAAATATTGAAGTTGGCTGTGAGGCGCAATCTATTGTCAGGTACTGTGCAGATCGTAACATTGACATCATCCGCTGTTCAATTGCCACAAATCGTTATTTCGGCACAGCATACGCAAAAGTTACCATTCCGGCTGATGTCATCAACACCGTACTCACGCCTGCGTTTTGGCCTGCCACCATCGGCCACACAGTCAGAAAGTGGCGCTTCCATGACGAGGCGTCCATGCCGACGAAGGAACAAAGTACTGAAGATTAACCATGGCTAGTAGTAGTAAAATGAACCCAGGCGCAACCCCGTTCTACCCTGGATGTATACGGACACTGTCCCTGAATATTTGCAGTCTACGTAATAAACTTACTGACTTGTCCCAATTGATATCGGACACAAAAACTGACATTGCTGCTGTTTGTGAAACGTGGCTTAACAACTCCGTTCCGTCGATGGAGATGTCAATCGCAAACTATACTTTATTTCGGCTTGACAGGCGCGACAAACCCGGAGGTGGTGTATGTTTGTATGTTAATAACTCACTGTTTAGTCACCTACGTCCCGACTTAACAGCCGATGGCGTTGAATGCATTTGGGTAGAGATCAAAGCTCACCCACAACCTCTTCTTGTCGGGTGTATTTACCGCCCACCGAGTCAGTCACTAGCTTACTGGCAGACTTTCGAGGCCATGTTACACAAGGCATCGGGAGAAGCCAAGAATATTCTGCTTTGTGGTGACTTTAATGTTGATCTGGTCAGTCAATCTCCCACATCCCAGCATGCTTCCTTGCATGACATCACAACCAGCTTAGGCCTGCATCAACTTGTAAAATCTCCAACACGCATAACGCTGCAAGGGAGCTGCACTCTATTAGATCATGTCTATAGTACAGCTCAAATCATATCCCCGCCTGATGTGTGTCCAGTTCCGTTCAGCGACCACTGTGCTATTGCAACCAAGATTTGTGTTAAACCAGTGCCGACAGCATTGCCTTCTCAGCGACTTTATCGAAACTTCAAGAGAATGGACTTGGCATCACTTCGTATGGATATATCTTGCGCCAACCTCTGTGAACTTCGTGGGTCCTGCGATGACATGTGGCAACAGTGGCTGACTAAGGTTGTGCCCATTCTTGATGCACATGCTCCATTGCGCCACGCGTCTTCCCGACCAAGACAGCATTCACCATGGGTCAATGAACATTTGTTCCTGTTGATACGACGACGTAACCACGCTCATCGGAAATGGCTGCAATCTAAGTGCCAGACTGATTACGATGCGTTTAAAGAAGCCAGGCGTATCGTGACTCGTATGAACCGTGAATTGAAGACGAATTTTTTTCAGTCTAAGTTCACCAGTGTTCAAGGTAATCCCAGGAAAACGTGGAAGGTTTTGAACGAGTTATCCGGAAGACAACGTGTTCAATCCGTTCCACAATGCTCTGCAAGCAACATTGGGTGTGTATTTGCTGATGTTGTCAGTGATCAACAACGAGCACCTGAACTGTGTCTTCCACAGGGCCCAGTGGGACCTAAAGGTTTTACATCCTTCAGTTCGGTGTCAATAGGTTGTGTGCGTAAACTGTTGGGTTCCTTGGACACCAGCAAAGCGACAGGCAGTGATGGAATACCCGCATTTCTTCTGAAGTCCTGCGCTGATTTGCTAGCTCCCTCCTTAACATTGATATTTAATGCATCTCTTGCTGTTGGTTCTGTGCCGGACGGCATGAAGTTAGCACATGTCACGCCGGTATTCAAGGCTGGAAATCCTCAAGATCCGGGAAATTATCGCCCTGTGTCTCTCCTGCCAATTGTGTCGAAGCTGTTAGAACGAATTGTCCATAGACAACTATCCTCATTTCTGGACAAGGAGAATTTGTACCCTCCCTGTCAGTTTGGCTTTAGACGTCAACATTCAACGGAAGACGCTCTAGTTTTCGTCACGGACACGTTTGTTCGCGCTCGCGATGCCGGACAAATTACTGGTGCTGTGCTCGTGGATATGTCCAAAGCATTTGACAAGGTCAGGCACCAAGTGCTCATTAATGATTTGTTTGAGCTTGGCATATCTGGTTCAGCATTAGTTTGGTTTGCCGACTATTTGTCCAATCGTCGCCAAATAGTGCACATTGCTGAGAACTATAGCCCTCCTTTCCCCTGCATGTGTGGCGTTCCCCAGGGCTCTGTTCTTGGTTCGCTGCTTTTGTACTCTATGTTCGTTCGATCCAGTCCATTGTCTCCGAGTTTTGTGTGAAAGTTATTCAATTTGCTGACGATATTCTATTGTATGTTTGCGGTACGCAGAAGAATGCGCTTAGCAACTCCCTGTCTGCAGCTGTCTCAGCCATTAGTACCTGGCTGTCAAACCGCAATTTAATTCTAAATGCTCGGAAGACACAAGTGCTCTTCCTGTCTACGCCACATATTACTGACCACCAATTTGCAGTCTACTGCCATGGAGTGCAGCTCAAGCAAGTGACATGTGCAAAGTACCTTGGAATACATTTGGACCAGGATCTTTCTTGGAGCACTCAAGTTGATTCTATGGTCTCCAAACTAGCCAGTAAAATTGGTATTCTGTTCCGAAATCGACACAATATTCCGCTGACTTGCCGAGAAACCTTCGTAAAGTGCCTAGTGTTGCCAGATTTTCTATATGCATCAAATTGTTTTTCTGCTGGCCTTTCCTTAACCCAGTTAGGTAGGCTTGAACGAATGCTAAAGCGAGCTTTGCGTTCAGTGTACGATACTGGTTTTTGTAGCCCATCAAGCCCTTTATTTGCGAGACTTGGTCTAGATCGTTTGGCAACCATGTATTGCAAGAAATTACTGTATCTGACGTGGCGCTGTTTGGAAGGCCGCTGTAGTGTCACATTAAGTCAAATGTTCGAGCGTTTAAATAATGGTCTTGCAACGCGCAGCCTTGTATCACGCACTCTTAAGTTGCCCATGCTCAGAACTGCCTTTGCCCGTCATGGCGCTTCCTTCCAATGTGCTAAGCTGTGGAATGATTTGCACCCTCTAGCTCGCTGTGTGGATAACTCCGCCCGTTTTAAGAAACTGTTACCCCAATGCCTTGCTTTTTCACGCTAGTAATTATGACTTTCAGCTATGCAAAATGCGAACATGATCACCTATCCAATACCGGTAGTCTATTATTATATTAATTATTCATATCTTTTTGCATCTTTCCCTCGAGTGGGTCTATTGTTATTAGGCAATTGTCTGTTATAGTCACCACTATAAATAAAAATCCAATCCAATCCAATCCAAACTGGTTACGTATACAACGTACAATGTATACTGGTACCGCTTGTTCATTGTTACTACAGTGAAGCCTTTAAAATTCGGCACCTTTTGTGCTACGGAGATTCTTCTGGATTAGAAAATCTGAATTACTGCTGCAGTGTGCATGAAAAAGGATATTTTGGTTCTGGAAAATTGTGCTGGTTTAAAGAGGGTGCTGCTTCATAACGTGCTTGGTTTAGGCATGGGCAGGTAACATTATGGCTGGCATTATAGTCCCTTTTTCCATGTGGCATAATGCTGGCATTATAACACCATTTCGCATGCCAAATTGGCATTACAAGCATAATTGCCGGTCGACAACGGTGTCATGGGTCCAGTTCCGAAAATCGTGCATTTGAACTCGTTCGGCTTCGTCCGGAGACTTGACGTTGCAAACCAACCTTCTCAGTGGATTGTCAGTGGAAGCTTCTTTACTGCTGTTAAAAGTTTTTTTCTTCTACGCTTTGGGCTTGATCCAAGATGGCCTTCTTAAATCAACTTTTCCAACTTTCAAACTGGCATTATGGAGTGGTGTGAGCATTATTTATAAGTGGCATTAGATCCTCATATTATGAGCGTTGCCTTTAGCATTATCGCAGGAAATAACTAGCATTACCCGCCGATGCCTAGCTTGGTTAGAGATGGACAACTGTAAGTTCTTTGGAAAGAAAGAGCCAAAGCAGTTTGCCTTTGCCAGGTTGGTTGCGCATTCCTGCCCATATGCATCAATCAGGGTGGGTATATCAGAGGAGCGCTTAACACCAGTGACTGATTTCATCACCGACCACCACTGTTTGTCACGCAGATTACCTGCACAGAGCTTAGCTTGGACACGCCGTTCCCAAGCTAGGCGGGCCCTGTCCATCACAGTTGAGGCATGGTTGACTGATTGTACAAATGTCTGCTTCAGAGGCTCAGATGATGGAAATCTCCTCCAGCGCCGCCAGGCCTGTTCCTTGAGAACTACTGCGTCCAGACACTCTGGGGTCCACCATGGAGAGTCAGAGGGTGTTGTAGTGTACTGCTTGCACGGGATAAATCGGTGCATCCCCACTAGAATTGTCTCTGAGATGACATCCCAGACCTTGTTGCAGTCGGTATGGGGAACAGTGACTGGCAGCCAATCTACAAATCTGAAGTGTGCCCTCAGCTTCGACCAATCGGCTTTGTTGTAGCGCCATACTGTTCTAGTAGAGCTCTCCTCCTCTGAGGGAGAAACTGTCAAGAAGTCTGCGACGATGACCGCATGGTCAGAACGTCCAAGGGGCTTACAGATAGAAGTGCTCACATGTCCAGGCAAGTCCGAAAGGACAAGGTCTAGAATGGCCTCACCTCTGGTGGGATACGTGATATGCTGCGTGATCTGCATTGGTGCTGGTACTGCCCGACACGTGAGCTCAGAGCATGCGCTATACGGCTACAGCAACCATACAATACAACTTACAAGGAGGTTCCATTGTGACAGCACTCAGTCAGGGCTCAACACGGCTACGTAGACCACTATGAATTTAACATGTACACGCAAAAAGCATCATTAAAGTTTAAAAATGTTTGTCGTAACTCCGAGTGTTTTGCTAAAGGTAAAAATCATCATGATTCGACGATTGTTTTTGAAAAAGGGCTGCTTTGGACTGGGCATTTCCCAAATCGGCCGACCGAATACAGTGGTTTTTGGATAAATCACCGATCGATTCGCCGAATATTCACTTTTCGCACTAAATTCGCCGAAAATCGATGTTTTGGTGCCTCTACAGTAGGCCTTGGCGGATAATGCCGGCAGAAAAATTGGCAGAATTCGGTACTTTTTCTGGTAAGTTTCATGCATGTTTGGGATGTGGATAAAGAAATGGAGCAGAATTCGAGGAATTGCCCGGCATTAAGGTATTGTATGGTTCTGCCAATTTCGGTGCAAAAAAAGCAGAATCTGCCACCTTTTCGAGCATTATCCGCCAAGGCCTACAGCATGCAAATACATGACTGTACATGTACAGTTTCTGAAACCAGTATAGTACTGCGACTAAAATGATGGTGACTGCGACGTTAGGCATTTCCGAAATCGGTCACCGGGAAAAGACGCCGAAATCAATGGCTGTCAAGAAATCGCCGATAATTGCGACGGATTTATAAATTTTGGACTGAATTCGGCGAAAATCGATGTTTCAGTGCCTCTATGGTTTACATGTAAATGTATATGTACAATGTATACTGCGAGCGGTGACTTCAAGTACTGCTTTGAGCCGAATTCTGACTTTGGGATTCATAATATGGCCGAACGTGGACATTTTCTCAGCCGATCACGCGAAATACCTGGCCGATTTGGGAAATGCTTAGCTATTACCCACCGAAAAGGTGAAATCGTCCTTGGAAACCGTTCTAATGAGCTCTCTATCATGGAGATGCGATTTTCCGTTCCAAAGTCATGGCTAGTGTGTGTACAGTGAACTATCCTGTGTGTACGGATGTCTTCTTTGTTAGCAGCTGCCTGGTTGCCAGAAGCGCTCACCCTACATGTACATGTATGTGACAGATCACACCGGCAACTGCGAGTGAGAACCCATACAGTATGAAGATGCAGATCATGTGTGTTCGCTGAAAACATAGAACTAGTGTTTTACAGTGCAACTCCGTGGCAAGGCAGTCACCCGGTGTGTGAAGAACATCATGTACAGTACAGTCATGACATTGCAGTTTGACAGGGCCAGGAGATCCTGCGTTTCAGACTAGTTCAGGGCATGTTGGCATCCAAGCCAAAATACAGCCGTCAACATTTGAAAGGAGCGGTGGTGTTTGAGCTCAGTTGACGTTGGCTGCGCAGTGACCCCCACCGTCCTATGATCAAGACTAGTAAGATTTGGTGTGTAGATGTCAGCTGTCCGCTGACTGTGTGGTGCGCTGAATATTCAAAGAAAAAAGTATTGAAAAGCAAAACATCATCTGGATATCGATAGTCAGTCGCGTAGCCCTCTTAGTCTTAGTCGGTAAATCCGTTTGACAGCAGGATCTATGTGTCCACGTATTGCAGAAAGGTTTCCTCTGGAATACTAGAACTACTAGTATACTCTATTATCGGTTCTGGTCGCTGGAGGTGAGATGGAGAAAATGACACGCACAGAACACCGGCTGGTGGTGCTCCTAGTTTTCTTGAGCACTGTGGTGACGCTGAGTTCAGGACAGAGAGTAGTCGGAGCTGACGGATCAACGCACTCGCCCATTCAAACTGGAAACTCTGGTAAGGATATCATGAACTGTGGTCTCGAGAAATGAATGAAATTGGTTCGCTGTAGCCAATGAGTCCCGTCTACGCCCGGATTGCTCTCTGCCTGCTCATCGGGTTGATCGAAATAAAATTATATTAAAATATTCATGCGCTTGTATTCTTGAGGATTGCTCAAAGGGCTGGTCCTGGTCCTGGTCCTGGTCCTGGTCCTGGTCCTGGTCCTGGTCCTGGTCCTGGTCCTGGTCCTGGTTAACAATAATAATTATTATGATGGTCACGTGGTTTAAGATCCTGTCCACAACGTCCACAACGTCCACAACGTCTACAACGTCCACAACGTCCACAACGTCCACAACGCCCACAACGTCCACAACGTCCACAACGTCCACAACGCCCACAACGTCCACAACGTCTACAACGTCCACAACGTCCACAACGTCCACAGCGCCCACAACGTCCACAACGTTCACCACGCCCACAACGTCCACAACGTCCACAATATCCACAACGTCCACAACGCAGGGAAAGAAACCTGAAAAAGCATTCCCATACATGTATGTTGCGATTGTATTGAAGCTCTGCATGTCATGGTACGCCATGCACAGATTACTGCGGTGTGGAGCGTCGATGACCGACTGGCATGGCCCCTGCAATGATGGATATTAAATCTTGCAGTGTGTAAATTAGCGGCGAGGGGACAATAATTTCAAAAGCGGGATTGAAGGCCCGTTGGAAAATATTCCGCACAAACATAGAAAAGCTATACATGTATGTTGATCAAGCTGGTCCTATTCAATGCAAATTTGCAGTTTTGTCATCGTCTTTTAGGCTGCTCTTCTAGTATTAATTTTATTCTCAAGAATCTAATAATCGAACTTAAAATTCCAGTGGACCCATAAAAAACCGTAAACCGGGATATTTGTTGAGTGAAACGTATAAAATTGGATGCGCCTTGTACCCTGGACCCGCTTGGTGTCATTGTAGTACATACATGTACATGGTATTATACCTTGTATAACCCAATACAGTACTAGTTCAATACTAGTTCAATAGATAAACCTTGTTATAATTCACACATGTTGCTAGTTTGACAGCATGAAACAAGGTGGAGGACACTGTGTTCGGAAACAGTGACCTTACTACAACCATCCACGGTTGGCAAAGCCCCGGTCCCAAGAAAAACAAAATCAGGTTAAAATAGCTACATGCCTATCAGGACGAAATCCAGGAGCGACCAAAGAATACACGGCTGACGTAAGGATAAGTCTAAAAACTCCCCTAGCATAAGGAGGGTTAGAACCGTGTTCAACACCCATATGGTTCAGATTGTCCCAACGGACCGGGGCTCTGCCAACCATGGACGGTTGTGGTAAGGTCACTGTTTCCGAACAGTGTCCTCCACCTTGTTTCATGCTGTCAATCTAACAATACATGTACATGTAGCTCAGCTTGTACATGACCTGTACTCTCATTTCACTCTCACCGCAGGAACATGCATGACGCAATGGTTACGTCATTCATTCCCAGCTGAACAGGACGTGGTGCTGATGAAGTATGAACGATTGCTGCAAGCATTTGAAACACCAGTTGACGAAATCTCTGTTCCCGTCACCAATGAGTTGTTATTGTCTCTAGTGTTCGGTAGCGAGGAAAGAAGTTCCAATTTCTCCCAGTGTCAAAGTAAGTCACTGCGGTACATCAATGGTCTTAGACACATTGTCTTTTGTTTGGCATTCCTGTTTCATGACGTCTGCCCCATACATTATAGAGATGGAACCTTAGAACCTTAGAACTTTCCAAGTTGGAAGGCTGGTGGAGTGCGCATCCAAGATGTGCTAGAGGTGTTAGCCAGTTAGTTGTCGAACGTCAGTACCGTCGGTCGGTGTCGTGCAGTGTTATCGCATGAGCTCATTGTTTAGTAACTGGTGGCGTTAGTGGACATTATAGCGTAACTTGTAGTTCCTTGGTCCTTTTTCTTTTGTATAAATTAATCCTTGGGAATCCTGCATGTATCTTTCTCTCTCTCTAATTTGTCCTGTCATGCAGATGGTCAGTGTCAGCATCCGTCTCCCTGCCAACATGGTGGTACATGTGTGTACGCTAGTGTTGATGGTAACACTCCTCAGCTGAAACAGTACAAGTGTCAATGTAGACCTAGATATGCCGGACGGCAGTGTGAACTCGGTGAGCAATAACACCCGTACTCATACTTTGGGAATCCTGACCTGTCATCAGACACATGTTTGACGGTGTATGTTTATATCCTGTACAGCTGTGTCGGCTTGCAGAACCCATCGTCCATGTCAAAATGGTGGACATTGTCACAGTCGCGGCCCACATGCCTACGAGTGTCAGTGTAAACCATTGTTTCATGGCAAGAACTGCGAAATAAGTAAGTTGTGTCCAACCTGAATTTAGAACTTTGATTACATGAAGAAAGCCTCCCTTCCCTAGAGACCGTCTGGGAAAGCCCACCGTTACTGGTGGCTAAATGCACTCAGGTAGCCTGTTGTAGACGTAACAAGATCTCTCTCATTTTCATCATAGCACATAGAGGTAGGCTGAGGCCTGGCTCAATGCAATGATGTTAATACCTACACTCACACATGGCCACAACGCGTATGTACAGAAAGGTATTCAGTTTAACTCGGAATGCCATCCCAAACGTCACCAACAAACGTCACCAACAACCATGCCCGCTTTCACCTTTGACGGGAACTTCCTGTTTATAATAAAAATCTATATTCAGTGGGTATCCCAGATGTGATGGCCTGTGGAGGGATCTCCTGATGCAAATCATGCAATTGAAATGAACAGTGAGGAAAACAACATGTATTACAGTATATGCTACATAATAAATGAGCAATACACACAGTGCTAGGTTGTTCAAAATGTTCAAAATAAAACAATTATATGTCCAGGGATATATCACTACAGTCAAATTTACAACTTTTCAAGTGCAAAACGATATTGCTGCTGAAATTTAGAAAGTGAATCTTGGGATGTGGAACAAGGAACACCCACACCCTGCCTCCCATCCGGGGGCTGCGACATGCTCCCCGTGTAGTTGGATTGTTTTACATCTCCACTCAAACATACATGTCCGAGTAACACTTGGTTCCATACACACTTGAATGGATCTGTTCTTTTCGCCTAGGTGACTTGGCTAACATCACGTCATCACTTGCTGACCTCACTCTACGTCTGAATTCAATAGAGACTAAGTCTGCTCAGTCAGCTAGTAGAACCGCAGACACTGTGTCACGTGTACTCAAACAAATACAGCTCACGTTGGATCGGCGACTCGATGAACAAGCATCCGTCGTACAAAGCGAGATACAGGCTATCAGACATGAGGTATGTACAATAATCTAAAATTTCATTTTTACCCTCTTTCTCACTCCTGTGTGCAGCCACATCATAAATGCTCCCACCCCTAACACACACACACACACACACACACACACACACACATACATAGTGATACACACACACACACCACACACACTCAGACACTCACACGCAGACATGCTCATCGCGGAAGCGACCATAGCGAACAGCTATGTTAGACATCGCAACTTGCGCTGGGATTACACCATTCAACAGCTCGCAAGGCTGATGAATTGACCGCCACTAATTTTAGCCTGGTAGCCACCACACAGCTGTTGGAAGTGGCTTTTTCTGGCAAGTGAATCCCTATTAAATGTTCATTTATCAATTTGTTTTCATTTTTTCATTCATTTTCGAACACACTCACCAAACCACATACTCCGGCATACACTGGCTGTTTGTAACCACCCAGGAGAACGAAAGAAGAGCTAGCAGAACGAGAAAGAGAAGAAAGACGTGTGCGACTATAATCGTCGGGAATTGAACACACAACCTCTCGATTGGAAATCGACTGCACATACTACTGCACCACATGGGACACACACACACACACACACACACACACATTCACACACAAACACACACAGCGACAACAATCAACTTATGCAAGGACAGCAGCAACAGCAAGAAGAAACACAACTACATTTCTTGTTGCCTTTCTACATCAGAAATGAGGCATACATAGTGTTGAATAGAAATGACATGTATTCAAATTTTCTTTTCACCTGCCTGCATTCGTCCTGGATCTTCTTCGTTTGCAAATCCAGATACTTCACGTACCTATTCGGTCTAAGTCTGCTTGCATGTGGTATCACCCCCCCCCCCCCCCACACACACACACATACACACACCTCAATCCTTGGTCAGTTCTCCTGGCTTGACTTAGATAAACGAGCTCAGAATACTTGATCCACTGCTTACAATGACACTTCAATAAATTTCCACCAGTGTGTGTATCTTAATAAAACTCTGAATGGTTCCATTCGGCTGTTTCTCGGTAGGGATAACGGGGTGAATGAAATGATGTGCAATGTTTTGGATTAAAAAGACTGTTCCATTTACATTCATTTTTATCACAAATTATCGGCATCAATCCGCATCATCGACAAATATTGCGGCAAAATTGTTTGCAAAATTATTTTGTAAACTGGATGAAGAAAAGGGAAGTGTGTGTTGTTCCCTACGTGGGCGCTTGCGCTATTCCTGCCGACTTGAATTCTCACTTGACTGACTCACGACTGCCACCCAGAGCATACGAAAGGTCCACCGAACCTTCCACTCGGCAAACTTGCCAGAAAGCACCACTCCCTGCTCAATACACAGTGTTTCGGGGAATTCACCCCTCATCAGTTGAGCGTGAGTAGACCGAGGAAGATTGTGTCGGAAGAGCACCACTTGTATAGTGCTCTCCAGCCACAAACATCACCAGGGACACAAACTTACAAAGACACTCCGTTTCCAGCGCGACAAACACCTCGTGAATACCAGACTGCAGCGTGAGTCAGTGTTGCTCATGGAGGTGCTGAACAAACGCTGAGGACCGTTGGCCATGCACAGCGTTGTTGCCTCCAAACCATCTAATTCGAGAGCCAGGGCCGGGGACAACAATTATGAAGAAGAGGTTCGTGCGACTTCGGCGATACTTGGGGAATTGTGTTTTGCTCCCTACGTGGGAGCTTGCACTATTCCTGCCGACTTCGCACCAACCTCTTCTTCATATTGGTTTCCTCGGCGCGGGCTTGCGAATTAGATGGTTTGGAGGCAGCAACGCTGTGAATGGCCAACGGTCCTCAGCGTTTGTTCAGCACCTCCATGAGCGACACTGACTCACGCTGTAATCTGGTGTTCACGAGGTGTCTGTTGCGCAGGAAACGGAGTGTCTCTATAGGTTTGTATCCCTGGTGATGTTTGTGCTTGGAGAGCACTATAAATGGTGCTCTTCAGACACGGTCTTCCTCAGCCTACTCAAGCTCAACTGGTGAGGGGGGAATTCCCCGAAACACTGTGTATTGAACAGGGAGTGGTGCTTTCTTGCAGGTTTGCAGAGTGGAAGGTTCGATGGACTTCTCGTGTGCTCTGAATGGCAGTCGTGAGTCAATCAAGTGAGAATTCAAGTCGGCAGGAATAGCGCAAGCTCCCACGTAGGGAGCAACACACAATTCCGCAAGTATCGCCGAAGTCGCACCAACCTCTTCTTGATATGGATGAAGAGAAATTGCAGTAAATGCACATGGTGTGACTGGAGGCTCCAGAATAACCTCCATTGTTTCTTTCTCACAGGTTATGATGAATTCCCTGCAACACACTGGTTCCTGTAAAGAAATTCAGCATCGATCCAATTACACAGCACCTTCAGGTCAGCCACCTTGTCCGAAATCCTCGAAATTTATCTCTGGTTTAAAAGTGAAACCCATCTTGGTGAGACGGTGGTCAGTCAGACAGGCTTTATGAGAATTACTCAATCTTCTTTCTATGGTAACTCGTTCTCGGGGTGCATCAGCTGTGATCACAGTTGTTGTCCAACGCGAAAATATTCAGAATGAAGTACATTGCTACTAGTTCACAACATAACCTCTTTCCCCCCCTCTTTTGAATTCCCCTCAGGCAGAGTGAGTGGTGGCTTTGGATAGCCCGTGTGAATTTCCCGTCCAACTGTACATCCGTGAACAGTTCCCTGCCCTTCCAGAATGGGACAGCATGCGCGTGTTTCCAGTTGTGCAGAGGAATGCTCATACGGGTACTACCTTGGTATCGTCTTGTAGATGATAGTTCTATTTTGAATCAACCAGACCTGGAATTGTACTCTAACATTATGTCTCTCCTGACTGTAACAGGTTTCTACCACATCATCTCTGGGCTGACGGGAGGAAGAAATCTCATCCATGGGGTAATATCCTACTACAGCATGTTACCTAAAGAGCTTGAAACGCTTGAAACGGTGTCCATGTACAACTCTGCAAATGTTTCAGGATGTTCAAGGATTTCATGTTCAAGGATGTAATTGCATTAGCCTAAGAATGCTTCAGCCACAGAACCTCTACGGAGCTAAAATGTAATTACCTTTTTGTACTGGCGTTTTGTTCGCTCTCTAGGTCTACTGTGATATGGATCACTATGGTGGTGGTTGGACAAGAATTGCCTACATCAATCCCACACAGGAGGGCAGTTGTCCTGGTAACATGAGATTTCAAAACCTTCAAGTCAAGCTGTGTACTAGACGAGCCAGCAGTGTTGGTGGATGTGATGGTGCAACGTTCCAGTCACCTATTGCCGAGTACAGTGAAGTGATGGGATTTGTCACTGGGTACAGGGTGAGTGAAAAAGCATATCAAGTTTCAGTTGTTGTACAGATTTAGTAACTGTATCTTTGTGGGAACATCTGGCACGCCCTTAAAAAGAAACCCATGATGATATGAGAAAGAAGATCAGAACGATAATGTGTTTTTGGAAAGATGTTTTTCTTGTTGTAGCAGTTTATTTAACGTCGCACCACAAACAGGCGGTTTCGTCTCCTTTGATAAATGTGGACGACAGAGGGAATGAGAGAGATAGGGGGGTGGGGGGGTGGGGGCGGTGTAATATGAATGCTTTATTGTCACGATGGCACCATCGCCAATAAGAGATACGTTTACGAGAGGGTGAGATGATGTAGGTGGGGCTGCGAGTGATGGAGTTGTAAAATTCAAATTGAATTAAATTCATTTTACAAGTATAGGAGAGGGTGAGCGCTGAACTAATCAGCAGAGAGTAGATCTCTTCTTTGAAAGCAGGTCGGCAGGGAGCGTCACGAATCCTAGCAGTTAGGGCATTTTAGTATTCTAGGAACTTGTACAGTGGGGAGTCTTTACAGTGCCCGGTTCTAGTGGGTGGGAGGTGCCAAGTGCGTGTGTGTCGAAGACTATACTGGGGCGTAACTTGAGCGGGGTATTGAGCACGCCTATGTGTTATGGAGCATAATGGTATTTTATGGAGTGTGCAAGAAGGGTGAGCTTTACTTTTCGGCGAGAGAACATTGTCGGCCATTTGAGCCGATGGAGCAGTACTGAATCATTCAGAGGAGTGAAGAGTGGGAAGCGAAGGCAATTTTTGGCCCCCTTGCACTGGATTCGTTCAAGGTGGTCAAGGGCTGTGATTGAGAGCGGAATGACAGCAATGCATGCATATTCAATTATGCGCATGATAATTACGTGGTTTGTAAATGAGAGGGAAAGAGAGTAATTGAGTGTGTAGAGTTTATTTTAGCCTAAAGAGAATATTTAAAAATGATTTTACAGCTTTCTTCAGCACAAAGTCAAGGTGGGCTGTCCATCTTAGGTCATGCTGAAAGATGATGCCGATGTGGCGATGTTGCAGGAAATTTCTGAGATGTGCATTGTTTAGCTCTATGCGTGGGAGATAGTGAGGGGGTACTTTCCGTTGTAGAAGGTGTGGACTACCGTTTTTGCAGTGTTGATTAGGAGGTGCGAGCGCTCTAACCTTCCAGCGGCGGCTGACACACTTCTCTGCAGTTGCAGTTCGCAGTGTGCGGCAGAGCGGCTTGAACAAACGAGGGCTGTGTTGTCGGCAAACTGGCTGCACCTGGTGTTGGCGTTCTTGCAAGCGGCAGCCAGGTCGATGGTGTATATCCGAAACAGCAGTGGTCCCAGGACCAAGCCCTGAGGCAACCCTGCGGGAGGGGGGGGAAGGCTGATGTAGTGCCCTCAACTCGCACTTGCTGCTTGCACCCAATCAAGTTTGCCGAAAACTATCGCATTGCTGCTTCCTCGACACCGTAGTGCTTGAGTTTGGCCATCAGGTTCTGATGCTATACTCGGTCTTAAGCCTTTGCTCAGGTCAAAAAGCAAACGGTTAAGTGCTTTCCCGAGTCACGAGCCTCCGATATTTCACGGACCCGTCGAGCAAGTTGCAGCTCCGTGTCTTTCTCCCTGAATCCGGACTGGTTAGATATTGGTTTGATATTCGTTTTGTAATTGAAGAACTTTTTGTACAATTCAGAACCTGCCCGGACGTTTCCTGCAGTGTTATTCTTGAAGCATCTGTTGTTGCAAATTATACAAGTCAGAAATGTTGAAGAATAAAGTGAAATGAAAATTTGAGGACAATGCGATTTTGAACTTTGGTGGCCGTACGAAAACAAATCAACGACTGCCAATCATTTACTTTGGGTGGTAAAGACACACTGGCCGGGCCACAATTCGGGAGAATATATGCTTGCCTAGACATGCTCTCTGCCCTGGAGATCTCTATGTGACAAAGTGCTCTACCTTTCTCACTACCTTCATGGGTTCGCGCCTTGCACATGGCCATGCATGACTAGTTATATCCAGAATAGCATGATGGTACACAATGGAGCTCTTCACATAATAGACAATGAAACAACTACTGTAAATATACAAATTTTCGGCGGCTATTTAATTTCGGCTATATTCGGCACCGACCCAAAACGCCTAAATTAAAACGCCGATGAAATTTTTCACAGCATCTGTCGCACTATACCATGCCCTCTACCCCACGCCGAAAATAAATCGCCGCCAAAATGTCAAAAATCGTGAAGTGCCGAAATTTTGCAGCGCCGAAATTTTGTATATTTACAGTATAGACTCGATTGGAAGGTGCGTTGGGTCAAGGCAGGAATTATTACAAAGCAATCACTTTCCTTTCCAGCTGAGCTTATCAGTAACTTTGCCTCAGTACTTCATTTCCATCGTTCTGTTCTTAATTCAATAATGCCTTCGTGACACTTAGTAATGTTCATCCAGTTTGTGCTGTTGGTTGACTTTCTAAAATGATTATTGTCGCCTCGCCGCATCTTTAATTAATTTGCAGTAGGATTGTTTATATTTGAAAAAGGAACGTGCATGTAGCTACCTATGCAATTAAATCATGCTGTGCACCATAATATCTGCTTATTTTGTTTAAGGGTAATTCTTCGGGTGCATTCCATTACGGACATTAATAAAAAACACCGTTGAATAGCTGGTGCATGGACGGTATCTCTATCACACATGGTTCCCCTATGAATCATCTATGGACGTACACAGCTAGTTTTGATGACCATGTCATGGCGGCTCACTGCCCATGTAGTCCCCTAGCTGGTCCACCACCTCCATCATTTGTTGGTAGCCACTACTATTGCGCTGACTATGGCCATGCTTGGAGACCTTGGACATTTACCCCAGCCACACATGCATGGAGCAACATGAGTCCATGTACTGCTGGTGGTACTTGTTGTGACAACACAGATATGCCATGGTTTCATCGTCAACTCGACAATAGTACCTCTGATCAAGTACAAATACGCATATGTACAGATCAGGGCAATTCGGATGAAAATGTTGGTGTTGATGAAGCTTCGGTTTTTGTGAGATAGAATATTTTTTTACCTTTATCAATAGTACAGTTATGTGCTCTTGGCTATATTTTGGGTGATATAATTATAATTATGTAAAAGGAAACAATGTTCCTTATCCCTTGGTGAATTTGCGCATGCCACTTTCACGCTTATTGCTCTACTGCTCAATTTAGGTCTATTGGGTTTTTTACTTTCGCGCCGCTTTCGTTTCCCTTATTATAACGTTCACTGAGTAGTTCAACCATTGTCACAATCCTTCACTGATGAACATATTCAACATAACCATAAAACTGTTCTGAATATATTTAATATAGCTATGAATAGGATGAAGGCCGCAGACATCACGCAACTACGTTACTTGTTCGACATGTATTTACTATGCATTTTATAACAAAAATATTATTGAAAACCCATAATCGATTTTCTTGTTCCTATCATCAGTGGGAAAAATACGGAACTAAGGATACAACCAAAGAAACTGAAGTTAAGTACTGTAAATAGAAAGGTGTTAGAAATAACATCAAGATACAAGTGCAATAAAACCACTAGAGGAAACGCAAAAAGTAACAAGATTACGTAACCAAAGGCGAGAAGGCGCTAAACGAAGTGTCAACCTACGAATACAACTTCAGTGCAACAACGTGCTCCTTCTGCTTACACAAAACAGGCTTATGAATACGTATACAGACTGCCTCAAGGACTTTCACCTGTTGGACATAACGCGCACGACACAGTACAGAAAAATGAGAGTCATCATACACACTAAGACAGTCAGGACGAGATAACAAGTGTAGATACACAGCTGACTTCTTACGATCAACACATTCATCTGCCTCATCTCGCTCCTTCCCACCCGACTCCTCCTCGTCCATCTCATCATCCTCTTCCTCGTTCCGCTCGTCATCCTCACGATCATCATCACTACCATCATCTGCCTCGTCCTCTGTCTCCTCACCAACCGTTTCGTCATCCAATTGCTCTTCTTGCTCTTCTATCCTCTGATCACCTGTCTCATCCTCCGTTTCTGTACAGACCACTTGTCTCCCATTTGCTAGCTGCTCTTCCCGTGAGCGGAGTTGTTCCTCCAGATCCGCTTCACTCACTGACTCATGATCCTGCTCCACCTTCTTTCTGTTGGTATTGTCCGCAACGCGCGGTCCTTGGCCGTTTCTGGCATAAATATCTGTGGAGTAGTTTGCTGTTGCCCTCCGAGGTCTCTGGATTAATGTGGGAGCCGTGGCAATTCGTGTGAGAGTTGGTGATGCCAGCGCGGGTGTAGGTGGGTCCACTGGTTACGTAATCTTGTTACCTTTTTGCGTTTCCTCTAGTGGTTTTATTGCACTTGTATCTTGTTGTTATTTCTAACACCTTTCTATTTACAGTACTTAACTTCAGTTTCTTTGGTTGTATCCTTAGTTCCGTATTTTTCCTACTGAAGATAGGAACAAGAAAATCGATTATGGGTTTGCAATAATCTTTTTGATAACCGCAATCAATAAAACTAGCTGAACCGACATTTGTGTACTTTATTCATGCAATGTAAAAACGGTGGAGACGATGTGCAATAAAACGATGAAAATATGAAGAAATGGTGTAGGGAAAAATATGGATTCAAACAAGTTTTCGTACAACACTCATCAGGAATCGTCGTTGTACTAAAGGACACTGAAACAAAAATTGAACTATTATGGAAAATCTAAGTTAGAGAAATAACACTAAGAACAACAGCAGTGAATCTTACAAGTGTGAATTTTAACAATCAAAGCGAGAAATGAACAAAGGAGAAAGGAAGAAAAGACAACGTGATAACACATAACAGCAGTACATTACACCTAGAACATTAACGGCCAAGCTTGGCCGCACTAAACACGACACGTTACTTGAACAATTTCAACCCAATTATACTATATCTTTCTGTACACACTAATTAGTCTTATACAGACGCTGATAGATAGCTTC